ATAAATAGATTTGGCTGATCATTGTGAAAATTGGAAATAGAGAGAATAAGGTGGCTTTACATAAAAAAAAATTGTCCACCTGTCAACATAAAGTCACATGATAAATTATTGACATGGATGGACGTCCAATAATGATATTAATTGTCTGGTACCTTACCCCCGCGAAGGACATAAATGAAAAGGGAACAAAAGAGTTTCAAAACATCTCTAAAAATAAGTTGGCTCCGCGGCTTACAAAACCATCTTCTGCATCTGTTTAAGACTCGACTCTTGCCAAATTCACTAGACGGATAACCTTCTATATAGATAGGCAATGTCGGTCTCTTAGGCCTGCCAACCAATTATTTTAATGATTCCCTATACAACAACGACCCTTGAGACCGACAGCCCAGAATGTCAGATATTTTTAATCTCCCTATGTATTTCTGGTTTTGTTGGTCTCGTGGGCCGTCGGCCTCTAGGGCTGTCGATTTACTCAAGATAACCCTAATGAGGCCTTTGAAAAAAAGATGTTGTATTGCCCTTAAGGTGCCAAAACATGGGTCAGTCGGTCGGAATTTTTTTTTATCTTCTTTTTTTCTTCTTTTTTTCCCCCCTCTTTGGGCTGATATTTTTCACTTTTGAAATGCTTTAATATTTTTTTCTTTCTCTAAAAACGGTTACAATTTTTGTTTATTATTTAAAAACCGACCGTAGATTTCAAGATTTTTGGGTCGGTCGCAAAGGGCAATACAACATCGTTTCTTTTAAGGCCTGACTTACATCATCAGACCGTTAACTCTATTTCGTTGATATGAACATGCTTGGAGTAATGAAAAAGAGATTGATAGAAAGTGATTATTGAAACTACAAAATAGCTAACAACAACCAAAAAAGAGAAAAAAGTGAGTATTGCAAAATATTAAACCCCCTCTCCATTTTTCTTCTTCAAATAAACAAATAAATGAATGGAATACGTTAAGAGAAGAATTAGAGGAATCATGTGCAATGGCAGGGATGAAAGTAGGTATAGCGGCAGTATGTAGGGGGTACAGGGGTATACACAGACAGTCGAACGATGCGGGGTAACGGTATACTTCCTGGTTAGTTTTGTAATTGTTGCAACCAAAAGTGAGGAAGATTCGACGCAATTTCTTTATTAACGACTGGAAAGAAAAACTCTTTTCTTTTAATTGGAAGGGAATTACATTTATCTTTAAATTCTTTGTGCCGTTTTCTTTATTTGTATGGTTATCGAACACCATTAATACTCATATTCATATAACCATGTAGACACAGCTAGAACATAATGCTATAGTGGTTTGGCAATATCATTGGCTTATCCAAAACTCGAGTTTAAAAAAGGGGCGGAATCCTCCAAAGAGCTACGCCTCTGCTAATTGAAGTGATAAAATGAAACCGAATGTGATTATATCGAAGTATCGTTAGATTTCACAGGTGTCAATGAAAGAATTGAGCCGGATTATGAAATAAAGGTGTTCAACTAAAGTCATCTTGATTATCCCAAAATACAGTTGTCCAACATCTATTTTGGGCACATGAATTGTATGTGTGAGCGATTATACTTCTTCTGTAAACATAACACATGATTGTGATCTCTACATACACATACACCGGGTCGATTTCATGCTATTTTTAAGACATGTTGAAGCATCACATGTTCCTGTGGTGTGTGGTTAGATGTCATCTTGACGTGACGCGGCGACTTCAAAAGGTTTCCATGTCTTTAGTCATACAAAATAAGTCTTCTTTAGAGTGGATAAGTCCTTCCGGCGGCTTGACAACATTATGATAGGATCTTCTCCATTTTTGAAAAAAATTTCAAACTGTCGACTTGGAGCTGCAATGAACAGGAATCAAGCATTTTATATAAGCATGTCTTTATTTCTAGTTTTCACTACCAATCTCCGCCCCCCTCTCCCCTCCCTCTCTTGATATACCCTCCTCTTTATAGTTTCCCTCTCTCTTTCTCATCCTTAGCCTACTTATCCTCTTGATATACACTCCCTCTCTTTATTTATCCCTCATTCTCACCCTCGGAATACCCTTCAACCTTTTTTCCTCTCTCCCCTTTATCATCTGTCTTTCTCCGCCTCTGACTTTCTCTCGCTCTCTGTCTCTCTCACCCCCGCCCCCTTCTTTCTCTCTAATTCCCTCCACCTTCTCTCTCTCTCTCTCTCTCTCTCTCTCTCTCTCTCTCTCTCTCTCTCTCTCTCTCTCTCTCATTACTCTGCCCCTCCCATTCACATCATTTCCTCACAACTTCCACGCCAATTTCTGTCCATTACTCTCCCTCCCGTCCCCTTTTCTTTAGCCACCACTCACTAACTATCAAACGCTTGTACTTCAATTTTTTATGTTTCACTATCAGAAGTGCATTATCTGCCAATAAACTTTTTCTTTTGATTCCTGTCATTGCATAAAAATATATGAAAATTCTTTTGTAAGAATCAAAAGTAAATCAAGGAAGAACTCTTCAACTTATCTTCTTCCCAAAAATTAAAAGAAGAAGTACTCACGATTTTCCACTAAACAGACTATAAATTAGTGAAAGGGAAAGCTTGATTATGTAAGAGAATAATGTTTAATTAAAATACATATACATATATCTATATTCAGTATATACCGCTTCATTCAAATTTGTTAGGAACATCGGTCATTATGCTCAACCAAGAGTTTTCAGATTTACAAATAATTAAAAGGTTATTACTCCAAAGTGTTTTTGATTACCGGTAATGAACAATGAACCTTGAAGTCAATGAATCAAAAGTCATTTTTTCTGATCAAAGAATATCCTTCCAAAAGAAAATAAGCAAGTTTATCCAAGTTCAAACCTCCTCAACATTATAAACATGATGGCCCGTATTCTGAAGTCGTGTCTAACTCCTGTTTAACTAAACAGTTGTCTAAGTCTTGTCTAAGTCCCGTCTAACTTTAGACACGAAGTCGTGTCTAACTTTTTTGGTATTCTGAAGTCGTGTTTAAATAAAGTTAAACACGAAGTCCTGTCTAAGTCCTGTTTAACTTTAGACAACTGCAAGGGGTTGTTTAAGTCCTGTTTAAGGGCGCGATTCTGCTGCTTTTCAACGTCGACGGTACACTGTACTTGCTGACCCCGAACTTGCGGGGGAGAACGATGGTACGTGCATTCTCCAAAATTTCAAATACGTTTTGCAGGATTTTTTCTCGTGTAGCCTAATTTTTTTTCTCGATAATATCAACTATTCTTATCTACTGGTGACATCTTGGAAATTCCATAATCTATAATAAACTAACCATTCTGTTGGAGAAGTTTCTTTTGTGGTTCTTCCGAGCACTGAGGCACCGATAAGTAGTGTTTGTCAATCTCAGTGTACAGTACGTGTACTACGTACGTACGTACACAAAGTACATGCAGTCTAGTCATTACGTCACGATCACATCACCATGGTACCAGCACGCGCACAGCTAGCTGTGCGCGTTAATTTATTTATCCGGTGCGCGCACGCATGCGCATTGGGTCTTTCGTCAGAATTAACGCCTACTGGGCATGCCCAGAAGTCGTGACTAAGAGTTAAACACGACTTGCGCAGAACATAAACAGTTGTTTAGTTAAACACCACTTAGACAGGACTTAAACAGTTGTTTAGTTAGACGAGACTTAGACACGACTTCAGAATACGAAATTTAGTTAAACAGGACTTAGACACGACCTCGCGTCTAAGTCCTGTCTAAGTCGTGTCTAACTAAACAGTTGTTTAACTTTAGACGTGGCTAAGTTAGACACGACTTCAGAATACGGGCCGATCACTTTAAAATCATCAATGTACCCCATAAGTACTGTGGTACATTGGTGAAGGCTCTAGCATCTCATACAAGAGGTCCTTGGATCGATCCTGGCTCGGTTCTTACATACTTGGACAAAGTGCTTTGCCCACATTGTCCCTCTCGAACCAGGGGGGGGGGGGATGTTTCATAAAGCTGTTCGTAAAGTTATGCATGACTTTACGAATGACTTGAATATGAGGAGCTAAATGGGATTCTCAAATCCTTTTAATTGCATAAGCTAAAGTTGAAATACACAGATGTAGATTAACCTTATCATTATTAACAAAACTTTTTTAATGCAAAGTGTATTTTGGGCTACAATTTAATTGAGATTATGGGAAATACAGTCACATTTTGTTATACCGGTAATGTCAGGAAAAACTTTGGGTATCCCAATTGGCTCTTCATATTCCAATCATTTTTAAAGTCATTCGTAACTTTACGCACAGCTTTATGAAACACCCCCCTGGGCCCTGTAATATCAAACTTGACTGACTACCAATTGCATAAATCTATTTGTATCTCCAATCTGGCTGCCATCAAAGTTATAATTGGTGGAAGGAGGTATGTACGATTGATTGTGCATTAAATGGGTATCCAAGGTTACAAGAATTGCAGAGGTTGCAAAAAGTAGTATTGATAACAATATGGATACCCTGTATAAATAACACAATATTTTATTACAATAATAGTTATCATGGATATATAGAGAGCATACTATATAGGCAGATATATGAGCTGTTTAACAAATCATTTTGATAAGATGTATTGCATGTATTGCAAAAATCTTACATCTAAAAGCTGAAGCTAGACTGTACCCTCATTAGTATAATCACAAACCTAGGATGTATAATTAAAATATTTTAAGACGATATAGACAATTTTTATTTTCTATCTTCCTGTATGAAAAAACAAATATATAAATCATATAGAAGGATTCAAACTTGATAGAATACACAGTTAGACTGAGTGGAAGCATAAATATATATATAAAATATAAAATAAAAGAATTTGAAAGTTCATGATGAAATGGAAGAAAAAAACAATTAATAACTTTGTTGTTGTTGTTGTTGAAAGGTTGCATTTCAGTTTTTAGGTGGACATCAGAGTCCAGGTAACACCAGGGACCCGTTTCACAAAGCATTTGTTCAATGACAAATGACAAAAATCAGTGAAAAATCTGCTGATAACCAATCAGAAGCAAGGATTTCACTAGCTTATAACAAAAACTGTCATTTGTTGCTGATGACAAGTTTTGTGAAACAGGGCTCAGATGTGCCATATTTCCTTCTATCCTTCATCCATCTGTTCCTCCCTGACATTGTTGTATTGCTTGAAGCAGTGCTGTTGGGTTGGGCTTCTCTGCTACACCGGCTACCACATACCCATGCTCCTGCATTGCGGCGCGTGTAGTCCCACCAATAGCCAAGAGCTACAGGGAAAATGATTATAATGAATTACTAGATGACTAGTACTAGTACTATTACTAGTTTCCCTTTTTTATAATAATATCAGGATGTATGTCATAATCAACATAGCCAAGGGTACAAATGGATTACATACAAATCACAAAATAGCAATTATAGTCCAGGGCAATGGATTTACAAAAGCAGGGCATAATAGATAAACCCAAAAAGATACAGTTGTAATACGATACATAGTTCAAATATAATATATGGGCACCTGAATAATCAACATCTCACAAATATCAATTATATGGCAATAAATGAGATATAGGTGTTATTTTGAACAAAAGAGAGTGATGTGGTACCTAACATGGAGCTTTATATTGACAACTGAGGGCGTCTGACTAAAAAGCTGAGAGAGGGAAAATAATGTCTGCAACACATTTGAGGCTATCATATACTGTTAGCTTAAAACAAGAGAGTTTAACAATATTTTGAAATATCAATGCTTTGACAATAACACTAAAATTGGAATGCTGGTTACATTATATAAAATGTGAGATATATACTATCTCCAGGTAGTCTAAAAATAACACCAATGGACAAAAAAGTGGGCATACTTGAAATACCAAATTTATTATATATACAGTTATTCGCAGTGGTCAAAGAAATAAATATATGGACTAAAATCACATGACAACTACCAAACATCTGATTTTTACTTAAAGATATTTTCTCCAGAGAGCCAGAAGGTTATTAACTCATTCATTTTTAACACAGAGGTATCGTCCTACTGGCTCTTTACAGATGATATATTCTATCTTTGATGTGGGGTATATGTTTGATTGATGAGGGAAGCTCCTCTCCTGGACAGTGCCTAATGACAGATTTACTCACAAAGCAAGAATCAAAAGATACTTAAGGTGGGAAAATGGGGATGTAATGACAGAGGGATGGAGAGGCGAGAGCTAGAGAGAAAGAGCAATAAATACATCATAGACAGTGATGAATTATAGAGGTAGGAGGATGAAAGGGAGAGACATAGAGGAGGTAGGAGAGAGAGAGAGAGAGAGAGGGAGAGAGAAATCAAGAAAGAAAGAGAAATAGAAAGAAGTAGGAGATTTAATATAAACATTTTTTTTTTAAAGATATGTTGATGGGCCCAATTATAACAAGGACTTGGTTTAGAGGGTAAGCCCACATATAAAAAATTTCAATTAAAGATACATGTACATCATACATGCAAACATTTAACTTGCGTTATCTTCCTACAAGAAAAAAGTACCGGTAGGTCACTCACACACCTGACACCTGACCTCCAAATGACCCAAGATTAACCAAATGCTTGCAGAGCTAGTGCGTTTCGATACAAAAGTTGAGAATACAAGCTTTGCATCATGTGAATAGCACCATTATAGGATGAGAGCCAGAAAGGGTGACATCCTATAGCATTTGACACAAAGCTAATGCCCTTTTGGCTTCCATATTTATCAAATTCATGTAAAACACCAAGTCTAATGTCCCCCCCCTCCCATAAAGGGGTTCTGATGACCCCCCCCCCCCCCCCCCCCCCCAGGCAATAACTGTTTACACATACCTTTGTACTGTGTAGATCTGCTTTGAACTTGTCAAACACCTCTTTGGAATACTGGACCCCAGACGGACTGAAGAAAACTATGCAGAAAGGTGCCCCCTAGGAGGAGAAGAAATGACATGCTATGAGTATTATTTATCTATAAGCTAAGCTTTTCTTAAAGCCAGTTTGTACTAGTTTGGCCAGAAGGGATTAGACCTCCCTGCTAGGTCACTGACGGGTGTTTATCTCATCAACTCGGCTCTCAATTAACATAAGAAAAAGAGGATCATGGGGGACCAACAGGCATCGATAAGGCATTGTTTGCTATATAGAGGGCGCAAGTAGCTATAAGTAGTGCAGTGGGGCTTTAAGGTCTCCTTGTTTTTCTATTTCACTAAAATGCATATAAACTTGTTCCTTATAATTGTTCCTTTTATTTTTGTCACATGTTATAAATTTGTTAAATTGTATTAGATTCATAATTGAAGACAAATAAACTTAAAATGTTATTTGACATGATAAACAACTTAAACAATCTACTTGTCTGCCCAAACCATCTGCTCTCCTTTCCTTTACCAATTTCAGTTGAACCTGTCTTAAGTGGTCACCTCTTTATAGAGGCCACCTGTCTATTATAGTGGCCGTGCATTTTGTCACCCTCAAGAGAGCAATGTGTGTTGTAGAACCTGTCTAGAAAGGCTACCTGTCTACAGTGGCCACTTTTTCTATTTCATTTGGGTGGCCTCAATAGACAGGTTTGACTTTACCTGAATCTACCCGTTCACAATTCCATTCATCGACTAGCAATGCTTCAACCCCCATTCTTCTGTTAAAGATAATCTTGTGTACTTGTGTAAAAATTTACAGAACCCCAATGATATCTAGGGAAAATATAAAAATATGAATACATATTTGACTAACAAAATATGAGTATTCAAATTTACTAAATAGCTAAATATTTAAAATTATTTTTTAGACGGTATCCATAAAATAGAAATTCCACATTTTAACACATCCTTTTACCTTTTCTTGCAGGTATTTGGCTAGCTCTTGTTCTAGATCCGGGTTGGGAACTGTTTGATAGGCTACATCTTCTTTAAAAAGAATTCCTGAGAAAGAAAAAGAAACAATGACATGTACCTGTAAAGTTAAAATTGCATATTTAACCCTAAAAGTGCAATATTGGTATACCACACTAATTACCAATCAAAAGTAAAGTGAAACAAATTCTATTCTGTTCGGTCCGATAAAATTTCTCTAAAATATAAATCATGCAGAAAAAGATACATAGCTTTGACAATTTTGTTGAACTTAAATTACATCAAGTGATCAAATATTACATTGCTAAAATGCGGTGAAAAAAAAAATATTGCATGTTCAATATTCCAATAAGAGATGCAATATAACTAAGTCTTAAAGAAGATGATTGTAAAAACAATCCAAACAAAGGAAATGTTACAATAAATGGTGATCATCATGTCTATTACAATAATTTGCAATAACATTGATTTCAGGCAGCACATACAAAAAAGTAACAGATAAATTCCTTTAGAGGGCGACATTTCTATCATGCAAAATATAGACTTGAGGCTGCAGGACTATGAAAATGAAGCTAACAATATCTTTCTTCCCATCCCTTTTCAATTTTGTTACTTGAAAAATAAAGACATTTGATCCTTTAGTTTTACCAAACATTTCTTTTTTATAGGGAACACAATATAAAGACATTACATTATTACCTGAAGAAATTATATTTGTTCAAATTCTCTGATGTTTGATTTTTTTTGTTACAGATCATTAATCTGTAATTTTGTCCCGCATCTTTTCAAATGTTGTTTAAAAAAATTAATCTAACTACTGTCTTATTAATAGTTGCAATTTATATGAATTGATTGCAATTTCATAAATTTATCATGAACATACAAATCTGGGGTGGTGTTCTGAAATGATGTTATATTTTATGTTAGTAATTAAAAGAAATTAACATCATTTTCCCTAAAATAAAAGATAACTTCCTTTTCCCCCTTCTATCTCTGTAGCGCAGAGTATGAAATTAAAATAAATGTATGATCAATTTGGATCAGTTTATAATTGTACATTAGAAAGGGCCTACACCAAGTAGCAAAAGGAATTCGGTCCCACATGAGGGTCCAGATATCTTAGCCCACTGACTACTGAATTGTCACATTGCCCGTAGATTAAACACAGGAAACATGTTCTAGTAGGCATGGGGTTAATACACTCTATGACACTCAGGGCTCACCTTCCTTCTGCAATGTCTTTGGAATTGTTTCTCTTCTCATCGTACCGCAAGGATAGAGTAGTGGCTTAGATCCAGGCTTGACAGCTGAAAAATTACAAAATGAAGAATGTTATACAATGATATTCCCGGAATAAATTATTATCAACTTATAACATCTTTAAGAGTTCATTAGATAGCAGTACAATGTATACTTAGCTCTATTCACATCCTGATCCAAAATGTTCACACCATCTAAGTTACATTTACTTGTAATTTGAGATTTAACCTAATCATTTTTAGAACATTCTTACAATAAGAACAGTATTTAATTAAAATGGATAATGGCGCTATATAAATCTCATGTATTATTATTATTATTATTATTATAACAGGCAAAAGGAGAGTGCAGGGGTTGGGGGGGGGGGTACGGTGAGAGGGAGATAAATAAGTAGTATCCAAAGGCTGAGGATGTAGTTGTGGATTATGAAAGATTTACCAATCTGTGAATATTTTCATTTTGATCTAGATTTATTTTTCAACATCAACTTGATACAGACTGGAACACACTATACCGATTGATGCAGTTTCTTTTTCTATTTACTCAGGCTCCTTGAATCCTCTTCAAATTTCATTTATGATGAATTAATCACATGTGTGATAAATAGCCTAGTGATAAAAAGAACAATAAAAGTGGAGTCTTATATAGCGCTTGTGTCTGGCACATTGCCACTCCTGGCGCTCCATTATTATTACCCCGGCTTTAGCACGCCTGCCATTACAGTGCTTATGCATCTTAAAGCCCCACTACACTACTAGCTACTTGCACCCTCTATACAGCAAACAATGCCTAACCGTTGCCTGTTTGTCCCCCATGATCCTCTTTATCTTATGTTAATTGAGAGCTGATTTGATGAGATAACCACCTGTCAGACACCTTGCAGAGAGGTCTAATCCCCCTCGCCAAACTAGTGCAGACAGGCTTTAAAGGAACTTATGTTTTTGCCAGGTACCCTTTTACCTCACCTGGATGGAGTGAGGCAAATGTAGATTAGTTCCTTGCCGAAGGACATAAGTGCTGGGATAGAGAATCGAACCCCATACGTTGTGTGGTACATGTGGGGTTAATTTACCTTCTAAGATGATTTTACAGAGATTTTCAGCATTGCCTGAGTCTTCTCCCATGGGATGTAGTCCTAGTTTCCTCACTACTCCCCTGTTGATGTACCTACACTGAAGGCAGGTAGCTTACTCCATTCATCCCTCAATCTGCTATTCCATTCTATAGTGTAATGATAATAATAATAGCCAAATTTACGTATCATTACTATGTTTATAAGCACTTTATAATGTAATCATTATTACCCCGGTCATTGGATTCCACTGCTAATCCAGACATAATAATGCTCACACTCCATTCCTTAGTGAGTGTTTGGCCAGGCACCATGTAACAAACACACACATACCAAGTCAACCATACTAACATTGCATCCTACCAGGTACCCATTTAACACCTGGGTGGAGAGAGGAAAATGTAGATCAATGTGTTGCCAAAGGACACCTAGAGCTAGCTGTGCTGAATCTCTAACCCATGACCTATGCCATTTCCAATCAAGTCTTTTAACCACTAAACTATGACACCTGTAATAAAACTGATAGAGTAAAATTAGATTATCTGTTGATGGTGCATTATCCCATTCATCTCCCAATCTACAATTCCATTCATAGTGGATATTCAGAATTCAGAGGATCTTTCTGTCTTACATAAATGAGAGAAGAAACTTAATATCTTACACATGAATAATCCCACAGTGCAAAAAAATGGTGAAATATGATTTGTAACTCTCACATTTTCCTAGTGTGTGAAAGCCTTGGGAGGGGGTGGGGGGTGGGGGGGGGGGGGGGGTACTCACATATTAAGACAAACGGGGGTGTGCCACTCTAATGGGTCTATTTTTCACAAAAAATCCCTAAACATGGGTCCATTTTTTTCAAAAAAATGGCTAACACCGATATTGTGAAAAATGGGCTTTACTTCAAGAAAAAATCCCCCTAAATGACCCTTTCAAATGGGTAGGGGTTTCGAGGCTTAAGCGGCACACCCCCGGCCAAACCAAATCTGAGTTCCCCCCCCCCCCCCCCCCCCCCCCCCCCCCCCCCCCCCCCCCCCCGGGTGGGAAAAGCCTTATTCCTGCTTACCATAATTCTTATCATGCCTCTCAAGACAGAGAGCAACCGATTGGACGGTCCTGGGGCTTGAGAAGATGAGTCCAGAATGGTCTTCAGGATGGGAGATATGAGCATACAGGGTCTCGAGGTCAATGAACTCAAAGCCAATGGGTGACAGAGAGACGCAGTCTACATCTGCTTCTTGAAATGCCTGTAAAGGATGAAATGATACAATGGAAAGGTAACTCAACTTATCTACGGAAGAAGACCAGGGGGGTGTTTCACAAAGACTAAGATCGACTTTAAGTTGGACTTAACTATGGCAGGCCATTCATGCCACTGGTTGCTCTCACTATTATGATCTTTAGATAATATTTTTTCTTTCAATAATGAATTATCAAAATATATAAATTTTGTAGATTTGTGACTATGATTTGTATGTCCCTTGAGAGACCAATGCCAGTAAACGGTGAGAGCAAACAATGGCATGAATGGCCTGCCATAGTTAAGTCCAACTGAACGTAGATCTTAGTCTTTGTGAAACACCCTCCTGTTCACTTAAGAATACAACTGTCAAGTTCATTTCCTTGCACTGTTAAATAGTCTCACAACTCTGATAGAACCATTGGATATTGTTTTGTTACATTTGTCTTACCGGTAATTTTTAACTTAATTTTTTTTTTAATGAATTATACGACCATATGCAATGTGACTGACAAAGTAAGAGAAAGCATTGAAGTAGGATATAGAAAATAAAAGGGTGGTTCATTCCATACCTTCAAAATAAAATATCATTTTCATTTCTAACACGATGCCTGAATTTTTTACATTTAGTCCCATAATAATATATCTAATATTTTGTATCATGTCATCACAAGTGAAAAGTTGTTAAGTTAATGCTAGATGCAGAGATTTTTGTTTACCTCTTGGTACTTGTCCTTTGTATCATTTTCCTGTGCAGACCTCAGCAGTAAAGTGTTCATCTTGGCAAAGAACTCCTTTGAAATGAAACAGATAAAGAATTCATGAGAACCATGATTAAGGATGATCTTGATAGCCTTATATGATAGGGGACTTTATGTATCAAGTATCAATGTATAATGAGGCTTAGTTAAATACTATTTTCATATATTGTTTTTCTTTTTCCTTGCCACTGTTTATCTTGATTTCAGAGTTCTATACTGATATTTTCATATGAAGACCAGGGAGGTGTTTCACAAAGACTAAGATCGAATTAAGTTGGACTTGAACTATGGCAGGCCATTCATGCCACTGCTGGTTGCATTTGTCTCTCAAGGGACGTCACAAATCTACAGAAATATAGTAAATTGTTGAAGAAAAAATATTACTTTTAATGGGCCTAAATTGTACATTTTAAAGGCACACTGTCCTACTTGTAGCTACTTGCTCCCTCTATATAGAAAACTTCCCAAATTGGTGCCCGTTGGTCCCCCATGATCCTCTTTTTCTTATGTTAAATGAGAGCTGAGTTAATGAGATAGCCACCTGTCACAGTGACCTCGTTGGCTCGCTGTGTGGTCTAATCCCTTCTAGCTGCAGTAGTAACGCCTACCTTTAAGACTTGGACTTATATGATGGTGATGAGTTTGAGGGTCTTAGTATCGGCGCGTTCATGCTTGATTTTGAAGGCAGAATGAGCGATTTGTAACGCTCATCGTAAACGCTCATCGTAATCGCAGTTCCACGGTGCACTGTTCATGCTCACTTCTCCAGGCAATTCTCCTTGGGTGGCCTTCAGCTGGATTCGCAAACCTGTGTGCGCATGCTACGTAGATCCACTAGAGGTCAGTGCATTGACCCCATTTAAACGCGTTTACAAATTGTAAACGCATCTTTTTGTGAGTTTACGATCGGCGATCGTGATCGCCGTTTTTTCAGTGATTCTACAAAAGTGAGCATGAACGCAATCGTGTTTTAAACTAAACGCATAACAGATGCCTGATTCTGGCCGTCAAAATCAAGCATGAACGCGCCCTAAGATAGATAACTCAGGATAATAATAGAGTCGGCAGTCTAGTATGTTGGTAGACATGTTATTTATTCAACTATGACGTATACCGGATATTCAGATATCGCATATAGTAACATACAGTAGGCAATTTATGCCCTTAAAAGTCTAGAACCAGATGTAGAGAGAAAAAAACTTAGAAATTATGATCTTTATATATTGTTTTTTCCTTCAATATTGAACAATAAAAATAATGTTAAATTCTGTCAATTTGTGACCACGATTTATATCCCTTGGGAGACTGATGCCAGGAATGGTGAGAACAACCAGCGGCATGAACAATAGTTGAAGTCCAACTATGTAAGTCGATCTTAGTCTTTATGAAATACTCCCCCAAAGGCTTCAAGAAGGGCTATAAAAGGAAAATGAACCCCACATCATGAGGAAATAGATGCTAAGTAATGATGAATGACGATGACATTAATCTTCATGACATGAACCCATTTTGACAATTTGAGTTTTAACAAGTTTTTTTTTAGTTTCAACAATTTACTCAAATAGCTTCTTCCCATGGACTGCTAAATATTGGAACGACCTGCCTCATTACGACGCCCGAAACATAGATATTTTTAAGAAAAGGCTCTGCGATTTTTTCACAAACACCAATCAGAAATAATTCCACCAGGTCAACCCCCAGGTCAGCCCTCTGACGCGATGCGGGATCCCGCTTTGTCGGAGTAAAATCCAGAATCAGAACCAGAGAAACACAAACTTTCTTTATGATCCCCCTCATCACCATTTCTGATGTTATCATCATCATGATCATCATTGTTTTTTTTATCATCATCATCATAATTATGATCAAGACAATCATCACCACCTACAACATACCATTATCAGACAGGATCAGACATCATCACCAAGGCACGACATTATTATTTAGAGACCGCTTCATGGCAAACTTTGTCTTGCCCTTGCCCTTGGCTTTGGCTAGGCCATGGGCATGGTCAATAACCATCATTTTCATCAGTTCATACATTAGACATCTAGTAGGGTGTCTGAACGATTTTTCAATTTTCAATTTGGGATCGTTTTTCACCATTTTTGTTTGATATTTGAATAAAAAATGTTATCAGAATAATACATTTCAAATTTCAAGTCTCACCGATGTTTCTATCAAAAGTTACAGCCCCTCCAAAACGCTGGTATATTCATATCATTTTGGTCAAAATCGACGATAAAGACGTCCACGCAGAGTGATGTTGTTTTGCTAAATTTAGCCAAACAGCTGTATCGCGCGATATGCAAGCGTATGCATATCGTACGCATGCTGCTAAGCCAATCCGCGACTTGCAGCTTGAGCTACGCTGTCTCCGCGACATGTGCCATTGACTAGTATGGTTGGCGTTCGTCGCACAAAAAACCCGGAAGTGAATGCACGTTATAGTCAATGGCAATATCGCGGAGATGTCTCCGCGATATTGCCATTGACTATAACGTGTATGGCCACCCATACTTGAATTTGAGTTTGGGGTTTCGTTCGTACGCAGAGATGTTACGCGATGTAACCATGGTTTGGACTGAGCGGAGCGCACGCCCCCTAATTAGCTGATCCACCAAATAGCGAGAAGGGTATTTTTAAACTGTTATCAGTTGTGATCCCTGGGGGCTAGCGAAAAAATAAGCACATAGAATTAGACTGCGACTACTTATCGATCGGGGCGTCATATCTCAAAAGTGACAAACCTCAGAGTTAGCCAGGACACAATGTTTCAATTGCTGTTTTGACCAAGATATTTTTAGAATTTCGGGGGCTACGCCCCTTTGGAAATATTGGAATTCACCTGCTCTTTCATATGACACCTCATTTATTGGTTATCACCTTCAGGATCACAACAGATAAAGGTTTGAATCTCGAATTGAAAAAAAAAAATAGACTGCATAGGGATGCGTGTAATCTCTATGGGAAGAATTTTAGCACACAACATCGGGTGCGCGATCAGACACCCTACATCTAGCCTATAGGCTAGATTTCCATATTTATATCTCTAAATTCTCTATCAATATCACTCAGTCGCATACACAATTCACATCATTTTATTCCCAATTCCTAATCATGCTAATCCTCATACTTACTTACTTGATTTCTTTGCCTTTGCCGCGGCTATGGGCTTTTGGAGTGGGACCTTGAGTTGAAAGTTGAATTGAATAAGGACGTCCACTGAGCTGAAGTTCCAGAATTGCAGAAGAACAAGTAATATCTAGGCTAATTATGAATTAAGTCTTACTTTTAGTCTTAAGAAGTTAGAGTAAGATTACAGCTACATCACCGTACAATATATTGTACAATATACGTGTAATGTTATTAGTAATAATGTAGCCTGCAGCTGCACTTTCATGAAGAAGAAGAAGAATGAGCTCTGCACTGTGCACTGTGTACATGTAGATTTTACATTTTACGTATGATGTCGTCTGCTACAGCATATACAGGCAGTGCAGGATATGTTTGTTATTTTGCTTATTTGAATTATTTTTCTCCAAATTAGTTAATTTATATTCATTTAATAAATGTGTTACAAATAAATATGATATATTTTCTTAAATTTATTCATGAGAATTTACAAAGATAGAGTAAAGATAAGAACAATTATTTAAATTGATGAACGAGACAAACTATTGCACAAGATGGCGACTTACTCAAAGAAAAAACGTGTTGACTTGGAGGAAAAGGAGTCCGATTCCAGTGATGATAACGACGAAATGGAAAATGATGACATTGGAGATGATAAAGATGAAGATTGTGATTCTTCTGATGAAGAAATAAATGAGGTAAATTTGATTTGAGGGCGATTTGTATGAAAGGCACTGAGCTGAGAGTGAGAGTCACTATTAATTGTGATTGGTCCCACGAGCGTATATTTATGTATAGTTTTCTTGCCCATCCAGCTGGCACTGAAATTCATTCATAGACATAGTCATAATCATATTATAGAGGCACTCATACACAGCCTGATAGTATACTCATACAAAGAAAGATTATACCTCTTGTTTCACTAAACCAGTATTCAGTAGGGGCGCCTCCTGCGTCCTCCAAAATGACCGTCCACATCTTTGCGGAGGATTCTTATTTCTGATCCGTGCGTTGGCGATGCGAAAAACGGATTCCACAATGATTTTCTTGATGCATTTCACATTAACTTTGCATTTGTACTTTGTACAGAGACTTTCACGTTATGAGCGATAAATCCTCGGGAAGACGGGCAACCCGTAAAAGTAGACAGTGAAATTGGGGGTATTTATTACACGGAATCCATTTCCAGTGCCCGACAATGTGAGTGGTCAAGATGGACAATCATATATTTTTTTAAAGTTTAGTTAACGTAAATCATACACTGGAGACTGTTTTACTCCCCCCCCCCCCCTCTCTCTTTTCTCTCTCTCTCCCCCTCTTTCCCTTCTTCCCTTCCCACATCTTTCTCTGTATTTTGGAACATTATTTTCTCTCCCATTTTTTCCCTTTTCTGAACACAGGAAGTTCAGATAGAATTTGAAGCGTTTCCTCCTCAAGATAATGACTTTCATGGCATCAAGCGACTGTTGCAGCATGTAAGAATGGATCATTCTTTATTCCATTTCAATTCCATTTCTCGTCTCAAGAACTGCTTTGAATTTCCATAATTACCTTTAATTTTGTTCGAAGTTAGAAGAGTATTACATATATGAATTAAGAATTTCATTTAATGCCCATCTTCCTCCAAACAGCTATTTTTTTAATACATCTGGAAAGTTAGTTTATTTCAATGGAAGGAAATTTTGATGAATAAGTAGCTTCTTAGTCTATCAACAAAACCAAAAACAAATCCTAACAGGTGAAGGAAATTGAAACACAACAAACTTAAGCTTATAATTTATATTTTGGCAGTCTTTTAAACTTGAGTGTTGATGTAGAGTAAGATTATTGAATCGGATGCAGCAGAAAATATCATTGAAAGAGGCTGTATTTAATTGTTATTTTAATTTTTTTCTCTTTCTGTTTTACAGCTTTTTTCAAAGACCAAAGTGAATACCAGTCAACTTACTGATCTGATACTATCCCAGAATCATGTTGGTTGTGTATTAAAGGTAATGTCGCTCTTCAAGCATATCTTTAATACTAATATGTGGCATGCTCAGCTATAAAACAAGTGTGGAAAGTGTTAATCTGACTTTATGAATGACTTTCTATAAGATATCAGTTGTACTTTGTGTTTGTAATCTGCTGTCATTCCTCTCCCTCATGATTTGTCAAGTTAAAAAGGCCTTCCTTATTTTCTCACTTTACCATATTTCTCTTAAACTTGCCTACATGAACAAATTAAGGCCAAATGGAAGCAATCATTTTTTGTGTTAGTATGATGATTATTATTTATTAATATTTGTAAAAAGTTCATCTTGTGTATGTGCATGACGGAAATGCGTAGAGAAAGCCATTGCTTTAATAATAATAATACTTCAGTTCTTGTATAGCGCACAGTACGTTATGAAATAACATCTCTTTGCGCTTCAAAAGAGCTTTGGAAATTATTACCCTAGCTTTAGCTCCGGCAGCCGTTATCAGCGCACGGTGCTATGACCATTATCTTCACTCATTTTGTTTCTTTACAGCAAAGTGATGCTCAGCTTGCAGAAGAGAGTGACTCTGATGATAACGATGATGATGATGTATTTGGATTTACCACAGTGCTGAACATTATTGAGAAGAAGGTAAATACAACTACAGTCAAACCTGCTTTAGTGACCACCTGTCTACAAAGACCAAATCTTTTGTTTTCCTTGAAAATAGTTTCTCATTGAAACAGGTACTTACGGAACCTGTCTACAAAGACCACTTTTTGTGTTTCCCTTGGGCGGTCGCTTGACTATATTAATTTCATGCTGAAGAATCATACAATATATTGAATATTTTGTCTATTGAGAGACTGAAGAGCGTCAACTCTATACTAAAGTATATGAGTTAACCCCCTTCTGGCTCCAAACAGACAATATAATCTTCCAGGTTCTGTGCTGTTCTTTTAAAGTAAACTGGCATCAGTAGACCATTTGTAATGGAGTAGGGTTTGAGACCAAATTTCTACAACTGAGAAAGAAAGTCGTCAATGTTTGCAATTAGTTGACAAGGCTTGAAAATTCAAAAGTTTACAATAGTATTTGAATAAGGGAAATGATCTATCACAACCTCTCCCCCCCCCCCCCCAACCCCAGCAATGCATCTTTTAGAATAAAATCTTTCACATCAATCTCCTCAGAACACTGAATGCATCCAAGAAATCCACAAGCTTATAGTGGATAAATGTTCAGCCTGCAACTCAGCTGCACAGGTCGACGAACTGTCCAGGATTCTTGGGGACGAGTCACACAATGTCGGTCTTCTGCTGTGTGAGCGCTTTGTTAACATACCTCATCAGCTCGCTCCTCCTCTTCACAATAGTCTCCAGTGAGTATCATCTCAGGAATTGAATCAGATTGTTCCAAGAGTAATTGTTTGATTTAAAGGGATTGTATAATTTTGTCTCAGATTCTGAAACAAAATCCTGGATTTAGCTCATGCTGCAATGATAATTATAAACCTTTAGGTCAGTCAGGAACCCCATGACTTTTACAAGCTGATCGCCTGTCTAATTATCAAGATATTTATGATTGGAAATCGAAATTTCAAAAGTTTTCCTAACAATTTTTACAACACTACAGTCTATTGGGGAAAATGAGTATGTTAAAACAGGTCACTCAAAGATATTTACTTTTTTGAGGCACTTTATGATCATTTGAAGCGCAATTTTTTTTAGGGCTTCAATATTACACCATATATCACAGACACTGATACCATGTAGGGCCATGTAGCTCAGATTTAACATTGTTAAACGATGCCTTTCAGAGATTTGTAAATGATCGATCACAATACGATGTTTTGCTCTTTTTTTTGGGGGGGGGGGGGGGGGTCAATATACAGCTTTTTTTGCTTCTGTTCAAAGAAATTGCAGTTTCAGGTACTCTCTAAATACTTGATACGCTTGTAATTGCACTCACATTCACATGACCCAAAGGCAGAAAAGTCATTTTAAAAACATACATATGAAAGACAAAATCAATAAATTAAAATGTGATGAGTCGTCAAGAACAAAAAATAGATCAGTATTGATTGGGGGGGGGGGGGAATTCTCTAATTAGTGGTCCAACCATGTGTGATGTCAAAGAAGGATTTAATAAATACAGGAGGAAAACATTTGGGAAGATAATGAATGCAGCAGAAGAAGATGAAGGAACATGAATAGATGGAGTCATTAGAATATGTGAGAATGACAAAGAATAGCATGAGGAGAAAACTAAAAATGGTTGAAATAATGCCTTTTCCATTCTTCAAGTTATTTCCCCATTCATTTTGGCTCTTTTTTATTAATTGGGGGTATTCTTTTTCTTGAATTACTTTATAGATGTAAGCCCACAATTATACCACTTTCTCACAAGGACACAAAGATCCTAAGTTGAACTTATCTCTAAGGTGGACTTAACGATTATGGAAAGCCGTTGGCATCTTTGAAAATATTTTTGTAAAATTTATTTTAAAAGGCATAAAATGTTGATTCAAATCATTCATATTTTCTGTCATCAAGGAGATATCATGTTCCGGATGTGGAGTTTATGAAAAGTCTAAAATACTTGAAATTTTGCTTAAGAATATAATTTATTTTAAGGCTACAAATGGCACTCCATAATTTTTATGTCCAACTTTGAGTTTAAAGGGAAAGTCCACCCCCAAAATAAGTTGTTTCGATAGAGGCAGAATAATAAGAAAATCAGGTGAGTGAAAGTTTGAGCAAATTCTGAATGAAAATAAGAAAGTTATGAATTATTGAAGTTGTGATCAATCAAATACAAATTGGCAACTCTGTGACTTATTATACGAGCTCTCCTTCATTTGCTTTGTGCATATATATTTGTTCCTTGCAGGGGGAGTATAGAAACATATTTGCAATTATTATATTTAGGGTGCATGTATGGTTGAAATTTTTCTTGAGGGAAAATGAAAATTTTAGATTTTTTTAGTACTGAGCAAATGGAAGTTGAGCTCGCATGATACGTCATAGAGTTGCCAATTTGTGTTTGATTGATCACAACTTCAAAAATCCTAACTTCCTTATTTTTAATCGGAATTTGCTCAAACTTTCACTGACTTGTTTCTCTCATTTTTCTACTCCTATTAAAACTAACTTAATTTCAAGGTGGACTTCCCCTTTGAGTTTGACTTAAGATCTTTGTGAAACACCCCCAGGAGTGTCAATTTGGACAGACATGGCGCATTCCCAATGTTCACTTCTATTATTATTATTGTATCTTTCAGGAGTGACATCAGAAGAGCAGGAGCTAAAAACCCTCATCTGAAGTTTGACTACTATCTCCTAATGAGCAGAGCGTATCAGCAGCCCAAACTCCCATCCAAGAAGAAAAAGACTCAAGACGAAGACAGCATAGACTGGATTTTCACCAATGCTGAAGATGAAATCTTTCTCAAGGTGAGACGACGTAATTTAGCCTTCTAAGAAATTTTATAATGAAATCCCACAAAGAAAATACAGAACTAAATAATGTATTTTTTGCATGCTAGGGTGAAATATCAATGCAAATGGTTAAGAATACTAAGAAATACTAATACAATTAATAAACATTGAAATATTTGCTGATTTGTATCACAACTAGATTCTACAAGACAAATTTAGAATGTGGTTCCCTTTCCCCTCATTCACTGTCTATCAAACATCCAAATTCATGAGCCCTTTATGAATTTCATGAAGAAAATAAGCCTTTTGAGGCCAAAAGAGGTACATTATTTGAATCGGTGGTTACAAACTGCACAAAAAGGCACAAATAGTCTACAAAATAAAAGATATAACTATTTAGCAAAAAGATGTGTATCAAAGTTTAATTATTCAGCTAAGGTTTTGCAGGGTCTATGTAGTACAGTAGTTGTACAAACGAATTAATGTTCCTCTGTTCATATTGGTAATTCTCTATCAATGATCTGTGTATTGACTGCAGGAGTCTTGTCTTAACCTGCACTACCCCAGCCAAATGGACCAGGCTGGAGCAGTGGGTGGGAAGTGGGAAGAAGACGACGCAGAAATGAAAACCTTCCGAGTCGTCATGGTTGTACCTGCAAGCAAAATGAACAATATCCTCACAGAGATACAAGAAGTGTTTGCTGTGTGATGCGACTGATAGAAAGACAATCAATAGATCATAGACAGATTACTCCTTTTTTCTTAGAAAATGCTTTGAAGAAATTTCTTGGATGCCACACGGTTGTTGCCATCTTGGAAGGTGTGCACCTCTTTCTCTTCACACTTTGATGCGCTACTTTTGAAAAGAAAAGGAGGTCATATTACAGCATTCAACTGACAAAAACATTTCTTTTTATCTTGCTCTGAAATTCCTGATGTTAAATGATGCTCATGTAGGTTAATTTACCAAGAGGGGAGATTACCAGTACATATTGGTCTTAAAAGTGTAAGATATCACATTTTCCATCTGTTCCCTTTGACAGTGCTAATTGCATCATGCCAAATGCCTTGCTTTTTTCCTTTCTGTTATGATTTCCTAATTGACCATTGATTTTTTTACTCTAATCAATCCTTGTATCCCCTTAGATGACTTAATATCAAGTATGGAGACATTTCCTCCCTTTCTTTTATTTAGTTTAAAGCCTATCTGCACTAGTTTAGCCAGGAGGGATTAGACCTCCCTGCATGGTTACAGGCAGGTGGTTGTCTCATCAAATCAGCTCTCAATTAAAATAAGAAAAAGGGAACTATTGGGGGGGGGGGGGAATCAACGAGTACCACTTAGACATTGTTTGCTATGTAGAGGGCGCAAGTAGCTACAAGTAGTGCAGTCCCGCTTTAAGACATAGAGGTAGATTATGGTTGTAATTGGATTTTAGGTTAGGTATAGCAAGTGTTTGGTCCAGGGTTAAAGTTAGGAATTCAGCTACTGTGGGAATATCAAGTGACCATGGAGCAATATTGCCATACATCATGTCTTAGAACAGAGCTGCCAACCATTCCATTTTTGCCGGAATTACTTCGTTTTTTCCTCCAAATCATGGTATTACGTTTTTTCTTCATAAAATACGTTTTTTTTTATAATTTTTTTTTTTTTTAATTAATTTTTAAATTTTTTTACATACCACACGTCAAACAACTACCCTAAATGGTGATTTGATCACAAATTCAATAGAAAACTAATTTTAAAACATACTTGAAGAGAAAAATATTCTCAAAAAGAATGAAATGCCAATAATACCAAAATAACCAAAACCTGCATTGGAAGTGTGCAGCGCGTGGTTGTAAGTTTCGTTTGTATGAATTCCTTTTTTTTGCTTGAAATTCCTTTTTTTTGCCATCTTGATTCCTTTTTTGGTCGCACAAGGTTGGCAGCTCTGTTAGAACCTCTTCTTTAGGCTTAAGTGTCGTGTTACATGCACAACCCAGTGTGCTACTGTATTTTACGTAGGTAATAAACATTATTTACTCAACATCTATTAACTTTTAAAGATTTTACAGAAGTTGGAGATATACTACTTCTTGATTATTGGTATGCAAATGGGCTTTGTAAATTATTGCTAAGCCCTAGCTTACACTTGACTCAGTACATGTGTTAACAAAATTTAACTATTTCCAGCTGTTGGAAATCGTGTCTCACTTTTTACCAACTCAAAAGTTGGTTTTATGGCTTTTTGTAAAGTTTAACTGGATGACAAGAACATGAGGTCATCAAGCAGTGCAAAGAAAGAAATTGAAATATGCATTGTCTGCTTTTTTCATCATGAAGTTTAATTATGTCCCATCTCCATATGTTTACCATACAAAAACTGAAATTAGCATGCCTGAACATAAAGCAGAATTGTTCTATGTCAATTTCTGTTTCATTTTCATTTGTGGACTTTGAGTTTGTTCCTCTGATTCTATTTGTAGCCATATTCTTTTAATTTTTTAAAAGCTTCACCTTTTTTAAAAATACAAATTCTTATTAAATTTGCAATATTATGTGCTACTTTCCTCTCTTAATTTAATAATTCCTAGATATTTTTGTAGGATATCACTTAATTCCGATGAAAATAAAGACACACAATCATGAACGGACAAAAATGTTGTTTCCAGGTGTTTATTTTGTTTTCTACTAATTTTCACACGAAGCATAATAATGCCACAAGATTCTTAGACAGCATGTACATAGTAAACGTAAAAAGGAAATAAACATAGAAAACATAAAAAGCAACAAAGAAATGCTCCTAAAGCATGAACTATGTACATATCCATACATACATTAGTTGTACAATACCTCCTCATGCTACATAATTTTGTCAAAATGACAACAGACATCAACCTAAATGTAATTATGGAAATTGATATGAACATCAAGTACATTTCTATTTTTATCTTGCAGTTAGCATGTTGATATGCACTGTATGTTGCAACATTTACTGTGTAATAATCATTTTAATTATGAATATAAAATACAGATATTAAAACAATCACTCTGAAAATGAGGTGTTTTCATTTTATGATTCTTTCAGATCTATGTAAAGAAGAAAGCAAATCAAGAGCAAACATTTTGTGGACAAATTACATGAATCATGTGCATTGTACATTTCCATTTAAAGACATGAGAAAACCGGTGCCCATTTCTACATACACTGCAACAGACACATCTTTCTATTAACAGTATTATGACTAGCGACAACAGACAAAACCCAGGATGATTTCATCAAACTGAACTGTTAATTGGTAAAGATACCTTCCTATTGATACAGCCTTAATGTAAATCAAATAGAGGCCCTCTCATCTGAACACAATAACAGAACAATCTGCATGTTGCATTTAAAGGTTGTACAAGAAGTACAAAATACTGGTTTGAGAATTCATTTGTACAAATTTTACTCTTATACGTTCACTCATTTTCCACTTTGTAATAAAAATATGGAATAGAAATGTGGTTCTCCACCTCTTTGGCCTCATGAACACTCCCCCCCCCCCCCCCCCCCCGACAAAATGACTGTACATAGAATTTCAATGGGATTTGATTAATTAATGAGTCCCATTCTCTAACCATCTACAAGCCGGTAAACAATCCTGAAACCCTACTACAGATAGCATCTATATGACACATAAATATAACTGAATTGTTGCTACCATGTCAACTACAGAAGAAGAAAAAATGTAATGCCATAGAAAATGATTTCTTTTGCCTCAGGCATGATAAACATATGAGTTTTGAGTTTGAGTTAGAGTTTGAGTTTATTAACAACAAAAATAATAACAAGTAAAACATAATGTATCGTCCCAGTCGAGTCTCGTCCCAAGTCAAGTCGCGAACAAGAAATAAGCAACATTGTGCTTGACAAGTAATTTATTATCAACCATACACAGTATAAGCTATGGTTGAAATGTTGATTTTTAGTATTCAATACAAGATTTCCAGTTCAGATTATATATACATAGACATGGCACACATGTTCTGTTGCTAGAAGTTGCATACCACATGTAGTTAGTGGGAGGGAGGTATAATTAGAATACACATGCGATGTCAATGCAAATGTCAGATGTATAATAATTCAACTTTGGTGGTGTACAGAAATACAATCACAAATGTAATCTCTTAATAGCTGACGGAAAAATGATATGTTGATCAATAGAGAGGTGATTAACATTTTTTACTATAAAATGAGGTTATGTAATAGCCTTATACAAGTTTAAAGAGAAAGTTGGGACAGTATATTCAATACCTATACTGTATAGGTATTGAATATATTGTCAGAAGGGCAGCAACTCTGACAAATTACAAAAGTTTGAACACCCTTCTTTCATTTCATTCATAGCAATTTGTTTTCAGGGGATTGTCAGGATAATTAGATGTAAATATTCCATGATAATTCATACAAATACATAAACAATGGAGAGTGTGTTATAGACAAGCATGTATGTTGTTCTAAATATCACTTCCTTTACATTGTTTTTACTCATAATGGTGATTAAAAGGGAGTAGCTACCATAAGCTGTTAAAGATGTTTAAGCATGGGTATATAGTCGGTCGTGAAGTAGTCAAGTTGGTGATCACTACATAACATTGAGCCAATGGGTATTACGCTCCTGTGCGTACATCCGTGTGCTGCCCTCTATATACCCATGCATGAGCAACTTTAAAGCTAAAAGCAAGAGCCTCCAGCACACGCCAACGACATTGAAATTAGGGCTGCGACGTGTAGTCGAATGCTCGAGTACCCACACGGTTGACAACTACTCGGGTACGATTTCTCTTACCCAAATATTCGACCGCAAAAAAAAAAAAGAAACAAAAAAATCTGTCCAGGCCGACGCTTACCCATGCCTGGGTGAGCGGCGGCTGCTGGCATTGTGCCGTCGGTAAAAATGTTTCCCAACTCAAGCACTGTCAAACTCACCACTCAGAAACTGGGACCAAATGTCTGGATTTCTGTTTGGACTTGAAGGAAAATGGATTATTCTGCCATTTTTGGTTTTTTAAAACAGCATTGTTTACTGTTATTATTATTATTAAATCGGCGCCTTCAACTGCAACTCGAAGTAAAATTGCATGCGTTTTTCGGCGACAGAACTGGGATACTGCTCCAAAGGTATGGTGGTGGCAAAAAAAAAAAAAAAATCAAAAAAATCAAAAAAATTCAAAAAAATTCAAAAAAATTATAAAAAAACATGGCGTCCGAATATTTGAGTATTCGCTTGTAAGCCTGGGAGTGTACTCGGGTACCTCATTACAATGTTGTGCACAGCCTTAATTGAAATGCCTGCATGGTATCAAAACACAATTTTACATAGACATCGACATCACACATACTTTGTGCTACACTACTCGCGAGTCATTCGCAGAAAATAAGTCTCTTGGATCTCCATGTAATTTACATCAGACTGCAACAGGTCACATGATCAGTCACGTGACCGATCACATGATCCAATCAGGTGACATTACTGTTTATCCTAGCATCCTTGTATCTTCATGGCGATTTTCTCCAATATCCTCTTGGCTTCGCACTGGGGGAAGTTGGGCATGTCATAGTATTGCGGAGCGAGACGCATCAACCTATATGTGAGGCAGAAATACAGAAAAACACATTCAGATTTCACATAATATAGTTGGACTTTTCATAACAAATAGGTTATTAATTATTGGTCTTACTATGCAGATTCAACTGCGATTTAAATTGTCTTTGCGAAAATAGGTCAGTTTGAAAGTGATATTCATGACAAACTTTATTCCATCTTCTTCAAAACTTCAGTTTCTTGAAGATAAAACTTTTTTTTATAAATAATACAACACTTGATGTTCATTTTTAATACAAGTTTCAAACTTTATAGATAAAATCTGAACAAAGTACATTTCGAGCAGGCTGTGTACATGCACTTTGACTTTCAATTCAAGTCAATTTAAAAGTTGCCCCATTCATATTATACATGATTTATGTTATCCACTCTCATTTCATAAAAAGGGACGCCCTCAGAATCACATGTTGACTGAATATTTCAATCAAACCTGTCATACATTAAAGGAAGTCTTACGTATTGTCATACAGCACTTTAAATTTGCATGATTTACAGTCATTAATGGGTATAGAAATTAATTTTTGAATAATGTAAGCCAACAAAGAATCACTTACCAGTCTGCCTTGATATCTGTGACTGTTCGGACATAGTTCTTAGTGGTCAGTACAAACTCATTGTAGAGAACCCATTCAGGCTTATGGTCAAGACAGGTGGATGGATGAAGCTGGACAACCTGGTTATCCTTGACCGTCAGATAGTGACCAGTCCTTTCCAAGTGAGCAACCTGCAATGAAGCACCACAAGGAACAAGAGACAAACGTTACTTTTTTATTCACATAAACATTCAACTCTTATACATATATGTGACCTGCAGAGTCAAAACTATTTAACTGTACATGGTGAAAAACGTTGATTGCTCTGAAAATGGATGCTAATATTTGCTTTTATCATAACATGTTATCTAATCAAATTGATGGTTTAAACCATCTGTTGTCACGTGGTGTCTAAAGAATAGATTATGATTTCCTTGGAGGGAAATTTTAAAGGAAACCCTAATGAGGTCATAACATCAATTATTTTTTTATTTTTCTACACAAGAAAAGCTTTTAATGACATGACTTGTTGGCTGATCAAGAGCAATTAGAGAAGTGCCAACTCACCCCAATCTGAACAAACATTAAAGACAAAACCAAAACAAGATTACAGGATATCCAAAGCCCGTTACCTGCATGAAGAATCCATTGACTAGAGCCTTGCGGATGTTCAGGTAGTAGTCCTTGCTGTTGAAGTTTGTGCTGGTCCTTTGTAGAGCGAAGCGGTCCATGATCCTAGCCAGCTGCTGCCGTACACTGTCCGCTGACTTCAGGGATCGGTACTGGATGAAGTTATCGTAGCACCACTGAGGGTCCTCATTGTCTAGGTGATGGCAATGGGAGATAAATGAGAAAATAGAAAGACCAATGTAAGTAAGTAAGGAATATGCAATATTCATTTTCTCGAAGTAATCTTGATTTGTGTACAGCGCTTTGAAACTTTATGTCACAAGCGCTATATACATTTTTTGTATTGTTTTTATTTTATTAATAACAAAAAAAGATGGGAAAAGTGATTTTTGGATCTACAGATATTACAAGAAAATCAAAATGAACATCTTGGTCACCCTCTATTTACATGAGAATTTCATTTTTTAACTGACTTTTCACATACTTAAAACAGATGATATGGACAAAGTCTCTCCAGCAATCTATAAAGTGTATACTAAAATGTAATGCTTCATACTCTCTTAAAATTTTTGTTGTTGTTGGCCATGATGAATGTGTAATACGTATCTGTTTGCTTATTTTAAAATTCACACATTTTTAACGGCTCATTCAGAGATATCTTAATGAAAAAACAAAAATCATGGGTTAGAACTTGATGAAATAAGCATAATGCACTTCACCTTTTGTTCTTATACTGCATAGCACAGTGATTACACATGGGAGATTTGTTGCTAGTTGCTTTTTTGTATTCAACCCCAGAAATATTGCATCAAGCCATTCATCCATATTCAAAATTAATGATATGATACTGGGCAGCGTCTCACAAAACCGTCATAAGTACAAGTTCACCAACTTCCCATTGAAATGTGTGTATTAAGTATAACACAAGTTTCAATGGGATGTCGGTGAACTTGTACTTATGACGGTTTCATGAAACGCTGCCCAGATTTGAATGACTTACTCTGCTTGAAGGCATGGTAGACGTTGAGTAGCGTCAGGTGATCGCCGTCAATATGAGCGAACCTCATCTTAGCCTCGTCAGCGAGCTTCTTGGCCTCGTTCGGTCGCAGGAAGCACTGTGGGACTAAACAAAATTAGAAATCGGGGGCCGCCGGCCGATTCCCCACACTGTTTAGACTACTGCAGCAAAGCATCGCAACAGTAAGGGGGAGGGAGGGTGGGGATGGATTAAATAACACTTTATACAATCAACATATTCCCTTGTTTTTTGATAATGGTGATAATGAAGGGAAGAAGGAATTGCATTACTATTGTCACTGAATGCAGCTACAATCTTACACAATTCACACTCCTGTTTAGAATCAATTTGAGAACTGATATTCATTATCTGCTGGATGAGATTTTATTAGAAATGACACATATTTCCCAGAGGCCCCAGCTAGAGCTATCTCATGCTTTGTATTCAATGGGTTAAAAGTGTAAAGTTCATCCATAAACTATTTTCTATCTATATAACAAATTCAGCTAATATCAAACATTCATAATCTGCTTGCATTTGTATCATCGTTATAAAAAAATTCAGCTCCCGTCATGCCAGCTGTGTGCAATATTGAACATGTATCCTATATTTGACCAGTGATGACTAAGTCAGTCAGTCAATCAGTCAAAGTATGATTTATATCACATGGCATTTTGAGAAAATGAGTACCTGGAATAGTGACAATGATCTTTAAACCTGTCTAACAAAAGGAGAACAATACTGAACATACTGTACATGGCACCAGATAGACACACTCAGACCAGATAGACACACAGAGACCAGATGGACTCACTCAGACGGGACACTCGATGCATTACCTGATAACATAGCTGTGACAGAGAGGATCTCATTGGAGCAGCTGTAGTCAGTGCTGGCGATGACCATCTTGGCCAGCTGAGGATCGAGAGGGAACTCGGCCATCATTGACCCCAGACGGGTAAGGTCACCACTGTCATCCAGGGCACCCAGGTAGTTGAGAAGCTCCAGGGCTCGCATCAAAGTCTCAGGGGCTGGTGGAAAGAGAGATATGATCATTTTTAATTTTTTTTTCATTGTTAAAGATAAAATGAGTGTACTGCAACTCTGCAAGGTTCTGGAATCATCAAAATGATAAGAAATTTGACCCAGTCTTGGTAAAGTTATAAGGACTATACACATAAAGATGTATATGGGACTACACAGTCATGTGGCATAAAAATCTGTCCCGGTTTTTGATGTTACATGCCATATTTAGAATATTGAGGCATTTGAAGAGCCATGCTTTTCAGGGAACATGTTTTATCTGATGTTCTTCCACACTTGCATAATACAATGATAATATGATAATGCTCACAAATTATTTGTCACCTCTTCCCACAACCCATCTTTCTCTTTGAGAATACAAAAGAAGAAAGAAAAACAATTTGAAGATAAATCACTAATCATACTAATCTGATAGTGTTTCATGATTATCTTCCAGTTTGTAATGCTTTGTACCTTTAAATCAACCTAAAAACTATTAAAAGTGGCTTCAATTTGAATGAAGAATTAAGACAAGCACAGAATCACATTGACAGTAAAATTAGAGATGGAGCAAGATGAGGAGACAAAGGAAGACAGCAAGAGAGATGATACAGAGAGAGAGAGAGAGAGAGAGACAGACATACATACAAACAGACAAAGAGAGGATGAGATACAGACAGAGAAAAAGAAAGAAAGATAGACAGACAGACAGAGTTGAACTTACCTGGAGGGTCCATGAAGTCAAAATGAACCAGATCATCGATACCCAGCTTCTTGAGCTGCAGCACCACGGTACCCAGATTGGATCTCAAGATCTCTGGATATGTGTTGTCCTGCATCTCGCTATCATAGGCCTTCTCGGTGTAGAGGCGGAAACACTTGCCTGGACGCGTACGGCCAGCACGTCCAGCCCTCTGCTGGGCGCTGGCTTTACTGATGGGCGACACCAGCAGAGACTCCACCCTGATACGAGGGTTGTACACCTACCAAAATATCAAATAACCATTAAATCAATCTTTCCTTTGCCACAGATATCAAATCAAATTTGAATAGTGTCCTTCACGATTGGACCCAAAACGTGTAAATTTTGCAAAATCATCAATTATTATTAATTCTTTGATGTCATATTGTCATTAGTAACACGTTTTCATGCAAATTGGAAGTTTGTATCATTTGTGCTACCACTGTCTTAGATTTTCAAACAGTTGGTGTAAGGTCGCGGCCAAAGATATGACTGTCATGGAGTTGGGTTTCACAAAATGACAAGGTCTTTTTATAGAAATAGGAGGTTCAAAGTCATAATACAGTGGAACCTGTCTATAAAGACCACCAAATGAAGACAAGAAAAGTGGTCTTGATAGGAAGGTGGTCTTTAAGTACAGGTTTCTTTAGTACATGTTTCAATGAGAAACCATTTCCAAGGGAAACAAAAATTGTAGTCTTTGTAGACAGGTGGTCTTTATATACAGGTGGTCACTAAAGCAGGTTTGACTGTATCACCATTCCTACCTTTTGCTTTGCAAATCCAGGATCAATCACAAACACAACGCCATCGATGGTCAGTGATGTCTCAGCAATGTTGGTGGAGACCACCACCTTGCGACCGATGGCTCCGTTGGCCTTATTGGGCGGGGCATGCTCAAAGATCCTCTGCTGCATGGCAGGGGGGAGGGTGGAGTAGAGAGGGATGGTTTTCAGGTCCCCTACCTCAGGACCCAGGTTGTCTACCTCTCGTTTGATACGTTTACACGCCTCTTCTATTTCCTGTAGATATGACAACAATGTTGATGATTGAATATAACTTCCATTTTCATTCATTTTTTAGATGCAAATCAACTGCAGTATCAGCCAAAACAAGCCTGCCCCCCCCCCATAAAAACTTGACTAAATGATATGCTAAGCTAAAAGTGATGTTATATCCTAAACTAGAAGGGATGTTATATCCTATCCTGGTATCAATATTGAGTCCAGACTCTACCAAAATACACAACAGAAAGAATACTGCTAATTTCATAAGGAGGGGCGATCGCTCAGTCGGTAGAGCAGTGGTCTCGTAATCTGGTGACCCGGGTTCGAAACCAGGGCCATGCGCTGGTGCCCTTTGGTAGGCATTAATCCTCATTACCAGGTTTCTTGGGAGGACCTAAAGCCGTCGGCCGTCTGGTTGCTTACTAACAAGCATTTATGCTTTCTAAGCAGTCGGGTAAAATAACCACCACTATTACTACTACATGATAGGTTTTGGTGGTGAACTAAGTCACGACTCTCAACCCTACTACGCCATGGATATGACAGTGCTACACTATTTCTTACCTCCTGGCCAGTCAAGAAGAGAAGGACATCTCCCTCCACCTCCTCACACATGTGAATCTGAACGACGGTACGTATAGCCGCCTCCAGGTAGTCTCTCTCGGGCTCTGGGGTGTAGAAGATCTCTACAGGATGGGTACGTCCAGGGACGGTCATCAGAGGGGCATTGTCAAAATAATGCTGCAAGAGATAACAGAAGATTTCAAAAATCATTAATAAGAACATAACTAGGAGGGCATTAACGTTGTGTTAACATATATGAGTTAATTCCCTTCTGGCTCCAAACAGACGATATGTCGAGGCAGGCAAAACAACACAATTGTTTGCATGATGTTGCATATGCAAGTAACTAATAATGCATAAGAAAGCAATACTGGTTGACAACCATTTCATCCATTCATTCATTGTTTCATACAGGGAGTTTTGTCTTGTTAAAATGAATTCAGGTTGCAGGTAAAACCAGTTTCAACAAAGCAGTAGCCTCTCATTTCTGCATAGCTGTTTCATCAAGCACAACATATTTTCCTTTCCTTAATTTCAAATAACCCCAATGTGGACAGGCTTCTCTTTATATTTCAAAAATGAAAAGACAACTAGAAATGTAGCAATCCTGGTAAGAGGGGGATGGAGGGGGGGGGGGTGGACAGCCATTCCTCATCACAGGAAGTACACGTAACAGAAAGGTTTTGTAATATATTTGACTGGGTACCTGGAATTTTCCGGCATCAAGGGTAGCACTCATGACAACGAGTTTGAGATCTGATCTCTGTTTCTCCACCTCTTTAAGCAGACCCATCAGGATGTCTGTAGCTACGGTACGTTCATGGGCCTCATCGAGCAGGATCACCCCATACCTCTCCAACAAGGGATCAGTCATACCTTCCCTCAGCAACATACCGTCAGTCATGTATCTGTAAGGCAACATTGTTTACAGACATTGTTATTTCTGGCGATAAAACTGTACCCTTTGTAATTTTCTCAACAATCAGAATTTTACATTTGTGAGGCAAATGTACAAATATTTACATCTGATCTTCCAAAAGCATAATCATGCAATCAACTACATAACAAACTAACATCATTTCTAAGAAGCTATGTTAATTTTGTTTAGGATCTAAAAATGAGTTTCAAGTGGTTTTCTAAAATATTTCACAATATTTAAACTATCACAGTAGCCTCTTAGTAAAGTATTCAAGGAATAATGGTTCAAAGTTTTTTCCTTACTAAATGTGCAGGCCTGAAAGGTAGGCGTACATGCCATGAAATATTTTCAAACAAAAATTGTCAACAATAAATTTGCTCAATAAGACAATGACCTTAACTTTTTTTTATCTCCTTCTACTTAAAAAAGAATGGCAGAATTTAATTGTTTGAAAACAATTTTATCAACAATTTCATTTTTGTTTTAAATATGAAGAAAAACAAACTTACTTGACCAGCGTCTTGTTCGATGTGCAGTCTTCAAACCTGATGCTGTATCCGACCTCTTGACCCAGGACGACATCGACCTCATCGGCTACACGCTGGGCTACACTCATAGCAGCCACTCTCCTCGGTTGGGTGCAAGCAACAATCTTCATAGAATTCACAGGGAACTTCTTCCTCACATACTCCATGCACCATTGAGGGATCTGTCAACCAAATCATGATAAAAAAAAGTTGAGGAGATATAGAGTGGTGAAGTGTGACGTCATCAAAAATCTATTTTTAGAATTTTTTCTTCTTTACCATTACAAAACACAAACAGAACAAAGAAACAAGTTTGATCTTACCTAAAGATACCTGAAATATCTACCAAAAGCCAATTAAAGGCCCACTGCACTACATGTAGCTACTTGCGCCCTCTCTTTATTAAACAATGCCTAATCGGTGACCATTGGTCCCCCATGATCCTCTTTTTCTTATGTTAAATTAGAGCTGAATTGATGAGATAACCACCTGTCTAGTGACCTTGCAGGGCGGTCTAATCCCTCCTGTAAACTAGTACTGATAAGCTTTAAAGAGAAGGTTGAGTTCTGGGAAGAGGTGAAAAATAATTTGTGAGCATTACTCATTCTTATTATGCAAGTGTGGAAGAACATCAGTTAAGACATGTTCCCTGAAAAGCATGGCTCTTCAAATGCCTTCATATTCTAAATATGCATGTAACATCGTAAAAATCGGGAGGGGGGGGGGCAGCTTTTTACGCCACATGTTCGTGTAGTCCCATATACATTTTTCTGTGCAAGTGTTTGTAATTTTACCAAGACTTGGCCAAATTTCTTATCATTTTGATGATTCCAGAACCTTGCAATACACACAAATTCTTATATGCTAGATGATCAACCTTTTCTGGTCGGTTCCACACCGTTTCTTTCACAATGCAATCGCATGACCAGAACTCAACTTCATCTTTAAATGTTCCCTGGCAAGCTGATATACACATTATTAGCTTGGTTTAAATGAGCTGAAATCTTACCAATGGCAATCTACTCTGTGTAGCTTGGATAAATTTACAGTATTATTATATCTCCTGGGCCCCTATTTCACAGTTTGTGTTTTAAGCTAGTGAAATCATTGCTTCTGATTGATTATCAGCAGATTTGTCACTGATTTTTGTCATTTGTCATTAAAAAAAGGCATTGTGAAACGGGTCCCAGACTCCCAGGTCATACTCCTTCCATGTTCCGATTTTACATGATTGAATTTTTGTCTGTGGACCACCCTGACACTTTACAATACTGAACCATACATAAACACAAAACTTATTTTGATAATGCACAGAAATTCTTGCACATAAATGACATGCTTTTCTACACTATATCTTACTTGTGTTGTTTTACCAGACCCAGTCTCTCCTACAAGCACAATAATCTTCTGTTCTTCCAGCATTTGCATAAACTTGTCTTTGTACTCCCATACTGGCAGTGTTTTCCTCTTGGCTAGAATGGTGAAGTATCTTTGTGAGTAAGGTGTGAGGCTCAAGGGATTGATGGCCACGGTAGACGTTGGGATGGACATGGGGGCACTCGTGACCCCCGCAGACTCCCATCGCGTTTTATCTCTGTCACGATCTCTTCTGTCACGATCCCGGTCCCCTCTATCGTCATCTCTGTCCCTCTTTTCCCTGTCTCGATCCCTGTCTCTGGTAAAGGAACAAGCAAGACACTTACAGACCAGTCTGTTTCATTTGGATTTTAACTGAGCACAGCATATCAATGGCACGTATACAGTGACCTACAGGTGTATCCCCACAAAATGAATATTGAGTTAGTAATATGATTTTCCTTTTTTATCTTATTCCTACATATTTATTGACTCCCGTCATCTTTTATAATTTTCTCCTGTGCAAGCTTTTTTCTGTTTCTCTTTCCATCTATAACTCTATATTTTTGTCCATCTTACCCATCCCATATCCCATTAGCCCAGTATGTTTCTTTTTTTCCAAATTTCATCTTTTCTCAATGTCTCCTATTCTAATATGAATATTCTTAATTTTATCTCTCGTTTTAATTTCATTTTTTCATTTATTTGCTTTTTTGTCTGTGCCCAATTTCCTATTTTTAACAATACAGCTCCCCTCTTCTCTTTCTTCCTTTCCCCATTTATAAACTCTTGTAATATGCCTTGCTCTTCTCTTTATCACATGCCAAATGACGGGACAATAATGCCATTATGCCACTTATTTGTTTCATTTTTTGTTGTGGCCTCTCCTCTTTCTAATTCTATCTTTCCAATCGGAAGTTCTTTTTCTAGTTCTGCTCTTTTCTCTTTTGTTTTTCTCCTAATCTCTCAGTCTCTCTCTCTCTCTCTCTCTCTGAGTCTTTCTCTCTGTCTCTCTGTCTCTCTTTCCAAAATAGACATTTGCCATATTTCCTCCTTTTTCAATCTTTCCTACAGAATCCTAGCGCCCTAGATCTAGATCTAGGCTTTCATTTCCCTGTCCATCTTATAATTTTGCAATTTTCAATAACAAACTTGGAGATGAAAAAATAGTGTTTCAACACTCAACAGCCATGGCATGGCAGCATCATTCAAGGGTCGAACCTCAAATTCTCAATCCATCATCATGATCATTCTACTCATCACTCATGCTGCATGCCACTGCCAGTGCCACTGCATTGGCCATTCACGTAGATCGAATGAATAACGTGCGTGAGATGAGGGGTACGGGTTACAATACAATAGTCAATGTAAAATAAATGCAGCAACACCACCGATCAGCAACACGTGAAATCAAGATAAAATAAGTATTTATACATTACAAAACGCAATCAATTAAATATTTCATCATTATCATTACCTATAGTCTGACTCTCCCTTCCTTTTACTGTATGAATCATCAATATCTAAACGTCTTTTTGACATTTTGTTCAGATTTCTCAGCAGCAGACCGGTCAAACGTGCAAGCGCTCCTGCTAAACAGTACACTAGCTGTGAGTGGTTACTGCCGAAACTAAGCACGCGAACATATTGTAGTAGTACAGTACGTACATGTGCAAGCAGTGAAGCGGCCGGAGCACGTATATAACGTTCGTAACAAAGCTAGGGGCGCCGATCGGGGACGCGGGGGGGGGGGGGGGGGGGGGGGGATCGTCCCCCCCTGGAAATTTGAAAAAGTGCAAAACAAATTGTATAGCATATACTGAATAATGACTGCAACACACTTTTAGGCTCTGGAAGGCCCAAGAGTGCAGCGTTTAGACTAATAAAATTGCAAAAAAAATCTCGCTCGGTCGCTACGCTCCCTCGCATAACATTCTCGTAAAAAAATTCGCATTTCGTCCCCCCCCCCGGTCATTAACAGAAATCGCCGCCCCTGGGTATATATATTATGTCTATTATAGTAACAGAAAAAACTGGTATATAAACAAAAGCATCTGGCCTCTTTTTTCTGGGACTTATGCGTCGTCTATTGGAATTTTTGAGCCTCAATAATATCTATTAAGGTCTTTGAATTTTTAAAGTGAGTCGTACATAATTTCAAGTAAAATGGGAATCATATTTTACTACTCATAGTACTTAGCTATAATATATGGCGACGGCAATTTCAAAACTACATGCAGTCAGTCTCAAAATTTATGAGGGGCTGCCTTAATATATTTTGATTTTGGATTTTTCCCAAAGTCTAAAATGTCCACATCATCAAATTTTGTGTAACTTGATCAGTTTGGAAACCTATAAGATGTGGCAGCTAAGCGATCAAGTCGATTATCTGACTTTCAAAAGCATGCATAGTCAATGTATTGGCAAGATATCCTTGCTCTGATTTCATTTCATTGGCATAGAGGATAATAATATTGTTCATATTATAATTTACATTTACAATTCACAGTACTATTTCACAGGAACAAGTTGGACAATCATATGTGTCTGAATTTTGTTCAACCGTCGTCACTTCTGATATACTGGCACGATGACTGATATACTTTTTACTTTCTTTCTTAATTCACTTCTTCTTAATCTTCTTATCTTCAATCTTATTCTTCTACTAATTATTCTTCTTCTCATTTTCACTTCTTCTACTTCTTCTTCTTCTTCTTCTTCTTCTTCTTCTTCTTCTTCTTCTTCTTCTTCTTGGCTTCTTCTTCTTCTTCTTCTTCTTCTTCTTCTTCTTCTTCTTCTTCTTCAAGTTCTTCTTCCTCTTCTTCTTCTTCTTCATCTTCTTCTGATTCTAGCTTCTCTCTCATGACCCTCCCTTAACTGAAGTATTTAAACTTAATTATTCCTTAATATGACCTAACAGTAGGGGATACAACAACACATTTCAGACATAATTAAGATATAAAATATCAAGAAAAAGGAGAGAATGCTTTCACATAATAGAGGCAAACGTAAATTTTCGAGTCACTTTATACAGGAAATCTTCGCCTGCCATGCGTACTACGAAAATAAGTCAGAGTACATTGTCCTTACACAAATGGTCTTTGGCTATCATGGCTGACGCGAATATCAATCCGAATATTTATATCGTAGGAAGGCAATGTAAATTCGCGGCCCGCGTGCGAAATCTTTTTTAATCGTAGGATATGCAAGGTCGATGGATAATACCTTTATGCAACAAATCTATGACAACCTCGTAATTACTCTTGCTTTTTAACTCATTTTAGTAGTGCAAATATTATTTAATACTTACATTTGGGGGTTTAGGATTTACAGATAAATGGTTGAGATTGGGCTTCTGAGCAACAAAAAGACGATATGAGCTACACACGATTGGTCTTCTCAGACGCTTAGTTTACATTTTAATCTTAATTCACTGCATCCTCGGTGCATCCTATATACATTTAACACTAAAAACTCGATATTATTCGTAGGCCTACTCCTTGGGAAACTGATGTTTTTGTGATTTTCGTAACTAAAAAATGAAACATAGACCGTGGTTGAATACTTGAATTAGCTAGGATCGGATGCATGAAGCTCTATATATTAGAGCTTATGTTAATGACAGTCTCAATAAACATTAATCGGTAGTTTCCGGACAAATCAAATTTTAACATTTAATTCGATTCAATTCAATTCGTTTTATTCATTTCCATTTTCAATAAAAACGATGCAAAGATATATACAATGATCATTTGCAATATATGAGAAAATAAGGCCAAATGTCCTAGGTAATTGCGGGGGGCATAGTTCCCCGAACAGTAGTAGTTAAAGGTATTACAACGTTTTGGTATGGGGTCAAATGAACATTATTGGAAGCACATCCTACAATATTCAGTGATCGTTGTCGCGGTTGAAATTGAGTCTGAAGTTATGAAATTGTAAATAATAAACTCTTTATGTTGTATAGCTCCCTCTCAAGGCCAAGATATTAATTAAGCTATAAAACAGTCGCATCTCCAGTCGGGCCATGGTCATCATGAACAGCTTCGTCAACGACATCTTCGAGCGAATTGCCGGCGAATCTTCCCGCCTCGCTCAGTACAAAAAAAAAAAAAATATAAAACAATGTGACTAAAATCGACCGAATAGCTATTCCCGTTAGAAAATTATATATCACAACTACATAATTGTGAGATTTTCATGATCGTAGCTACCATTGAACAGCCGTAGGCGCTATTTGAAATTTATCAAAATTTACCGGGAGCACCGGTAAATTTTTATATTCAATTTTTCTCGAAATTAGAAGTACGTAGCAGGGGCTAAATTTTCTAGTGCTTATAATACATCCACAGGGGCATCCAAATATTTCAAAATTGTAAAGAATCGCTATTCACCCTGAATTTTCAAAATTTCCCAAAACTTTGTATTACCTTTAAGAGATTTACATATACAAACAAAACTAAAAAAGAATCATACTTGACAAAACAAGACAGGGACATCTTTCATTATGGCAGGTAATACAAATGGAAATAATCATTAAAAAATCATAAGCTTGAAAACAGTGCTGTATAATATGGTACAAGAAATGAAGAATCACTGATATTTTATATCATATGTTGCTTCAATTTTCTTTTAAATAATGTTAAAGACTTGTAACATACTTCATAAATTACAAAACTTGGTAAGGGCATGAATAATTGAGTTGGTTACTGTAAATACCGTGATCCCTTCGGATTTGTTCTTTATTGTGATTCTCATGCATGCGGTGTACTGAGAAGCTTAGGGTTTTTGTTTTGTTTTGTAATAGCTCCACATGGGGTCTATATAATAGCACTGTACACACACCATACCAGACCCGCCAAACCAGTGCGAAAATACACCAGATGCTGGAATATATACTAATCAAGAATAACGAGTGTTTTTGCAGCCTTTTTTCACTGTAACTCAGAACTGAAAAGGAACAGGTACGACGAAGAAGAAGAAGAAGAGAAGATTTCATCATAATTTTCTTCTGGACTTGAGCTATGAGAGATACCATAAATCAGTTTCCATTTGAATTGTGCAGGGAATTTGAAAGCTGAAGGCGAATGCCGAAATATCTCGGTATGTTTCTCTTTTTTGGCGGAATAGATTGATTTTTTAAATTAAGTAGTATTTTAGAGTTTCCCTATTATATTGTGAATACAATTTAGAGGGTTAATTTTTCAAGGAATAATTAGAAATACGAGTATTTTGTTGTATCATTGTTGATAATATAAGTCGGTGATTAACCTGACTTGTCACGAGTAGCAGTAGCACACCGGGATCGATCGGGAGGCGGAGCGCGCGGCGGCGCTCCAGCTAGCTTTCATGGGAGAGCCGAGCGGCGTCTTCTTTTGACCTAGTCCTAGCTAGACGGTCGACGCACAGTAAACTAGCGCTAAATTTGATTGGCTCAAAAGAAAACTATACGTCACATGCTAATCTATTCATTATATGCACGCACACAGAGTCTCATGTGATAATTTTTCATATAAATTGACAGTAAAGAGCTAGGCGCTGGTCCGAGAATGAGGATCGATCGTTTGTAAACGTCGACAAACACGTTTGCAAAAATACGGATGGTCCGCATTTTCACGGACATTTCTTATTTCGAGTTTGTGATGCGAAAAACGGATTCTGCAATGATTTTCTTGATGCATTTCACATTGACTTTTTACAGACAGAGACTTTCACGCTGTAGTCAAACGTTTAACCGTCCGGTATCCGACCGCCCATGGCGGATTCCGTTTTCAATTGGACGGTTTCGTTTTCCCGATTTTTTTTTTTTTTTTTTTTTTTTTTTTTTTTTTTTTTAATATTTTTTTTTATTTTTTTATAATTTTGTTTTTTTTTTTTTTTTAAGTTTCGATTTATGCCCCTCCACCTGGCACTATGCCTGGCAATGTCTCCCAGCTCAGTAATCTGTGTGTTGACTCACCACTCCAAAACTAGAACAACACTCTAATTTGTCTGTCATCTTGGTTTGAAAGTAATCTTTGTAATAGATCTCATCATCTCAATATGTAGTTTATAATAATAATTCATCCAACTTTTACACAAGGTTCTGTCCTAGGTCCTCTACTGTTTTTAATTTACATTAATGATCTTACACATTCTTCTAAAAACAACATTGTTACTATTATTTGTGACAAGTTCACAAGCACAAATCGGCCCCTTTAAATGCACCTCGCAGTTAAATGAAAGTTGCCGACAGAGTCGGTAAAAAAAAAAAAAAAAAAAAAAAAAAACGTTTTTTTTTTTTTTTTTTTTTTTTTTAATTTTTTTTTTTTTTTTTTTTAAATCGTTTAACCGAAAACCGTCCGGTTTTGACTGGCGGTTAAACGGAATTGGAGATATCCGTGATGTTACAGCACTAGTTATGAGCGATAAATTCTCAGGAAGATGGACAACCCATAAAAGTAGACAGTGAACTGATCGAGTCAATTTAGATCTAATTCAATAATTGGCTTTTATATATATTAAGATTCAGTAACACTAACAATTTAAACATGCACAGTCCTATCAACAAAGAGGACAAAAACAAAAGTCACAGTTTTTCTAAGCCAATTTGAAGAACCCATACCTTTATTGATTACAAATTTTAAAAAATCATAACATTCTCATCTTTTGTCAGATTTCATTCAGACTTTCATCAGTCTATACTTCTCTGATTTCTGCTTTCCTCTAGTGTGGCTTGCTATCAAGGTTGGATTTCCCTTTAATGTTTGCTATTAATATTACATAATAAGTTGAATAATGTGTGTTGTGTGTACAGTATGTAAATTGTTATCTTCTTTTTTCTTTTCCCTCATCGACAGCTAGATTATCTCATTTACTTGTTACATCATGGGCGAATCTGTGAATGAATTCAAGCTGGACCAACCTCCAGAAGATGGCATCTCAGCCGTCAAGTTTGGACCCAATTCCTCTCAGTTCTTGTTGGTGTCATCGTGGGATGAGACGGTGAGACTCTATGATGTCCAGGCCAATCAGCTCAGGGCCAAGTACAAGCATGACAGACCTGTGCTAGATTGCTGCTTTTGTGTAAGAAATCGTTTTACAGAATTTGTTTTTCTTAATTAAGTATTTTTGTTTCGACAGAGAAATTACAAAGTAGAAATGGAAAAGTGAAGTAATGTGCATGCAGTTGTCTGTTGCAATGTACAATGTAGTACCGGTAATGCACATTCTAGTACTTGATGCTTTTATAATAGTGCAACACTTAGAAACATTATTATTAATACTATTTAATGTTACTAATTTACTATTATGATAGGCCTGGGATACTCATGTATTGTCCATGAATTACAACATTTTGTGACAATTTGTGTCAGAAGTAACTCTTTTTGTAGTGAATTTTTGAATTACTTTTTGATAATTTGTCCATTAATTATTTGTAATTATGATATATTTGATGTTAGAAAATGAAGTGCAGTCATTACTAGGGCTGGGAACTTTGGGTATCTTTTTTTTCGGGTACCCGCCAAAATTTATGCGGGACCTGGATACGCATTACTGAGTCCCAGCCCTAGTAATTACTCAAATATTTTCTTTGTGTGTTATGTCTATTGTGACAATTAAATTAGTCCTGAAATCAATCAAATTTTTGTATGTTTTTGTCTCAGGATCAAACACATACTTACAGCGGAGGATTAGACAATATGCTGAAGCTGTATGATATCAACACAAGTACAGGTAGGTAGCTAGCTATTCCTGATCAATTCTATTTTTTAGTAATCCTAAAATATGTTGAGTTCTGCCCAGTTGTGAATTCTTTGTATGTTTGAATGAATAGCATTGATTCTTAGAGGCAACAAGTTTGCAGAGTACCTATACACTTTATCAATTTTCTGACCTCTTTTTAAAACAAATTTACAGAGAATGTACTTGGAAATCATGAGGATGCTATCAAGTGTGTTGAGTTCTGCCCAGAGGTTAATGTGGTGGTAACAGGTAGCTGGGATCAGACGGTCAAGCTATGGGATCCTAGGATAGGAAGGTCAACAGGGTCATTCTCACAACCGGACAAGGTCAGTTTTAGTTCATATTCCAAAGAATCTACTTTGCTAGGTTCTCTCTCCTGCGGTGTTCTTTATTTATCCACTTGAATATTAAAGAGAAGGTTGAGTTCTGGGAAGAGGTGAAAAGTAATATGTGAGCGTTATCATTGTTATTATGCAGGTGTGGAAGAACATTAGGTAAAAAATGTTCCCTGAAAAGCATGGCTCTTCAAATGCCTTAATATTCTTAATATAGCATGTAACATCATACAAATCGGGGACAGATTTTTATGCCACATGTTCGTGTAGTCTCATATACATCTTATTGTGTACAGTGCTTGTAACTTTACCAAGACTGGGCCAAATTTCTTATCAATTTGATGATTCTAGACCCTTGCAGTACACACCAATACTTATATGCTAGATGATCAACCTTTTCTGATCCATTCCACAATGTTTTTTTTACAATGCAATCGCATGACCATAACTCAACTTTATCTTTAAGCTTGAGTTTTAACTCTGGCTGGATCAGATACTATGGAAATGCACGTTATACCAAACTCAAATAATTGTATCAAAATTTTAATAAGATTCCGCTCATGTCTGGATTTTATTTCAATAAACAATATTATGATGAATTGTCTTGCATCATTTTTTCCTAATTTCTAGTGTGCAATGAGTTTGTATATTACTATTCATAGTACTAGTCTCTAAGAGCCAAAAGAAAGTGACATTCAGGAATGCAGAAGGACTCTCAAAGTTTTATCAAGTATTCCAAAAAGGAAAAATAAAGAAATGAATCACATGCTAAAACATGAAATTTAAAATGGAGTTCAACTAAAGACAATGTATTTCTATTGATGTATATTTCATATGTATTGTAATTTATAGCTTTATTTGTAATTGTTTGTTTTGTTTTATATGTAATTGTTTATCATTGTATTTTGTTAGTTATAGCGCTTAGAGACTTTGGTGGTAAGCGCTTTATAAGCACCGTTTTTATTAACCTCCTTACTACCCATTTCAACCCCAGAGAAGGTATTGTAACCACCCTATAATTTGTTCTTCTTTTTTTTATGTAATGCCAGGTCTACACAATGGCAGTCACAGGTGACCGCTTGGTGGTGGGTACCGCCGGACGCAAGGTCCTCGTCTGGGACCTCCGCAACATGGGCTATGTCCAGCAGAGGCGCGAGTCCAGTCTCAAGTACCAGACCAGATGCATCAGATCCTTCCCCAATGGTCAGGGCTATGTGCTGAGTAGCATCGAGGGTCGAGTGGCCGTGGAATACCTTGACCCAAGCCCAGAGGTCCAGAAGAAGAAATACGCCTTCAAGTGTCACAGGTTAAAGGTGAGCCTTCGTTTGTGAATGATGTCACCACCACAAAATAGAAGCCAATAGTCCAATTTAGGATAGTTGTGGACATATGTGGTTTGGGTTAATAACAACAAAAAAAGAAAAATGGTTAGTCCTTACACCCTTGTTATAATGGTAGTGCCCTTTATGACAAAATTTAGTGAAACTTGACTTCCAACCCACCAGGGCCCGTTGCATAAAATTTACCATTGATGCTAACCTTGCCATCAATGGCAACTACCATGATAACAGGGCTAAACAGCCAATCAAAATCAAGGTTTCCATGGTAGTTACTACTGATGGTAAAGTTACCATCAATGGTAAGTTATGTGCAACAGGCCCAGGATTGGGTATTAAGAATGTGTTTGATCTTGGAATTGTGTGCCAGAGGATCCAGTACTTACAGTGATATTGCCACAATTAGACCGTGCCTTGTTTGTACATCATCTTGATCATCAGACTTTCAAACGATCACAACTATTGTTCACACTTGAACCTAAAAAAATATAGTTGCCATTTTTAACTTTCATGTTTTCATCTCCTCCCACCCCCCCCCCTTTCCTTCCATCGCATGCTTACCTAGAATGACGGAGTGGAGCAGATTTATCCAGTCAATGCCATCGCCTTCCACAATCGACACAACACATTCGCTTCAGGAGGCTGTGATGGGTTCGTCAACATCTGGGATGGTTTCAATAAGAAACGCTTGTGTCAGTTCCATTGCTATCCTACAAGTATCAGCTCTCTGGCATTCAGGTTTGTACAAATCCCCTTTTTGCTCTTTGAATGAAACTACTGAACCCTTTGTTATTATAGTTTATTTGTTAAACTTGACTTTTTTTAGAAACCCAGCTCACTCACTCAATTCTTGAGGAAATTCTTTTTCCTTGAAACACATCTTGTATTTCACTTTTGATGATTCTTCATAATCACTATGCAGTGTAATGACTACAAACACATTTTCTTTTGCACATTTTATATTTCATTTCATTTCATTTCATTTCTTTATTATGTCCATAGAGGATAATTGTTCATATTTACATTTACAATCTTGCTTCACAGTAATTTCACAGGAACAACATGTAATTGACAATCGTAAGTACTTCATTAATTAATTAATGTATTGTTTGTTTTTTAATGAGAATGTGGTATTAAAACTTGCAATTTAATCTTCGATCCTTGTTTTCTACAGTAATGATGGCTCTATACTTGCCATTGCATCGTCTTACACATACGAGGAAGGAGATATAGAGCACCCAGAGGACGCAGTCTTCATCAGGAAAGTATCAGACCAAGAGACCAAACCAAAGAGTTGAGATGGCATCTAATCTTCTAAATGCTTCTAGCAACCTTAGAATAACAGATAAACTTCAAGTCTATACCATGTTATCTGTAGCCTAGGCCTCAGCATTTTTAACAGGGATGTGGTGCACGTGGGCCCCAAAAATTTCAACTCTGAACCCCCCAAAATTTGTTATTAACAGGGGCCCCCATGCACACAGATCCTACAATTTTCAATCCAGGACCTGCAAATAGCCAGCATGGAGCAAAGTGCTTTTGCAGACTGATTTTTTTTAATTTTTTATTCTTTTCTGTCTAAAATGTTCTTCTTCACAACATAGTTATCGAATAATTTGTAAAGAAATTATTCTGAATATCTATGATATACTGGTATGTAAATGATTGCAAGAGAGGGTAAGAAGTAATAGCTGCAAACAAGAAAGTTTACTCAGTGTGGATACCACTTATGGGTGTACAAGTCTGCACACAGCATACCCATTGTCCCATCCAGAAAGACCCCCTATTCTTTCGGAGATACTTTGGGTGAGGGATATGTAAGATAATGACTTTACCATATAGGGGAACGGGTATAATATGCAGAACTTTGCTAAGGCCTGTTACCCTGTTGGTCATAAATCATGGCAATCCCGGCTAATCCCTGTGATGGACAACACCTGTGAATGGTGTCAAATTCTCTATCAGAGCCCACTTCCAAGTATCTTCGATTCAATTACCATTGGCTTTATCCAGAGATAATGGCTTGATTTCATATTTTATCTGCATCCTTAGTAAATTCAAAATGGTATGATGATTTCTGTATCTAAACTTAATTATGTGTAAATGAATAAGTTTATTTGTCTGTGTACAGTTCCATAATCTGTTGATGCATGTATAAATAACTTGTTGTTTCATGTAAGGACCAAACATAAAAAGGTAATGACAAAGAAAGTTTTCAATGTCATATATTTGTGATGAGACATAAATTCAGTTTGTCAACAATCAGCTGAATTAAGATGGCAGATGCCCTTAATTTTGAAAGGTACTCCTCTGAAATTTGGCATCCATGCTTTTAATTGCCAATTATGAAATTTATTTGAGAGGAAGGTGTGAAATAGTGAGTAAATAATCGCTTTATGAACATTAAATATGTGAAACATTACACAACTTAAACTTATGGCTATTAATAGGTCTAGTATGGAGGCAGCACTTATTAAAACTCGTTAATCACTTTCTGAGTGCAGTGTCCTAAAAGTGCCCTAAATGTGACTAAATTTCTAATCTTGTGGGATATTAATAATAATAACCGGACCAATATATAAATATACTCTACTACACTGTGATGAAAAACAATACTCACAGTGCTACTTTACAGACACACAACCCAAAAAATATTCAAAAGCTTCTGAAAACAAGTGAATCTTTAACATCACTTTTTTTTCTCATATATATCTCATATGCTGTAGGACTGCTCCAATTATGGGTAAATATGTTTTAATGCACTAGACTGTGATCTGTATAGAGTTTGTACAAATGTAAATAAATTTTCCAGTACAATGTAAGTCATTGCCTCATCTTAAGTCTGTGATTTGTGGTCTAATTTTTATTCCCCGTAATGTTAAGATGAAAAGTTTAGTTATGGAGTACTTCATGCATCTCAGTATGCACTTCATCTACACATCAAATACTGGAATGATTTAGCAGCCATAGCCCAATTTATCATTGATCTTAAAGAAATAAATGCAGAATTTATTCATTATATGTTAATATCCAGGAAGTGAGTGCTTGAATGAATTCATCAACAACAAACATTGAAAATAAAATGGCACACTGGGACTCGTGATACAATTTCATATATTGACATATATATTTATTCAGACTTCACAGATTGGTTCATTTGACAATTGCTTTCATCTTAAAATCATTGACTCATTATTCCTTGCTCATGTTTAATCAATACATGTAGGTAATAAAAGAGCACAGAATATTCCATAGAACAATAAAAGGGTGGTTATACGACATATGCTCCAGCAGCAACTGCCCTTCAGTACCTTGCTACACTAAATGAAGTCTTTACTTCAACCCTTGACCCAGTGCTACAGCTTACCCTAACCCTATACCGATCCCAACCCTAAACCTAATATAAAACCCTATTGCAACCCTAACCCTATACTTCTTATGAAATAAAGCCCAGAGCAAACGTCAGATCACCATAACTGCACTGCCCACATACATGTCTGGTTGAAGCAAGCAAGCATACAAATACAAAGGACAGTACAGGAAGTGTGTTTCTCCTTCAAGAGATTGACAGAATCCTGAAAAATAGGATACTAATGTTCTGTTGAGCTCTAATTAGGGGATAATTTCAGTCTACCTGTAGAAGTAATTCATGCTATTTGGGGGAAGACATGAAAGCACCAGAAAAGAATTCCATACTACATTAATTTAGAATTTGTTATGTAATGTTTACAAAAGTAATACATGGATGTGAGTCTAGAATGTGCTCCTTAATTCCAAATTTATGAGATAAATACCTTTGAATATGTGCAATTTGCTGTGCTACACAATCAAAACCTGAACATGGTGTGACATATGGAAAAACATAAAGTTCTATTTTTACCAACGATGAAAAAAATACTAATATAAATTAACATAATCCTCAAATGGTTTAAATTACATGGACCAGTTTACTATTATATTCAGAATGTATATTTAATAGAACCCCATTTTTATGTGACAGCACCTGTGTGGATGAAATTTAGCTTGCATGCACATTTGATGCAATGTCACGCAAGCATCTCACAAACAAGGATATCAATGGCAAGTCCTAATGCAGAAGAATTTGTAAAAGTTTTAGTAGACTGGACCATTTATTCACTATTGAAATCAAAACATAAATTCATCACATGCCATATTTACATGGAATGAAAAGGAGTATGAGCAACATCAAAGCGTGGTAAGTAAAAAATACCATTTCTTTTTCAAAATTGAAGAATTTTTCAAGTAAATGATTACTCCCCAATTTAAAAAAAACATAGAAACAGGAGTAAATATCCAAAAATACATTAAATGTCAAATGAAAATAGACGGATGAAGCATACGCAATATATATTTTTACAACTTTCTTTTATACTGTACATATATTTATTTTCTTACAAGTACATGTATAAACAAAATGATGATGGGGAATCAAATTTGTGATTTAAAGTACATCCACAAAAAATCAGAGGTACTGGGTACAGTTAGATGTTCTTATTCATTTTCATCTCCAAAATATATCACGGTCTTGATGTTAGGTGTTCTATGTTGCTAGACTGTAGTCAAAATATAAGCTTCAAATATTACTTCTACAAAAAGATATTGCAGTTTAAATACACTCTAAATGTCTTGTTGATTAAACTAGTTAATGCACACCTACGCACTCGCATAGAAAGAATAGAGGGTGCGCTCGGAACCCAAGTCTGACATGGGTTCTGTGCAAGACCTATACGCAGGGTGTTGTGTTATTCTTTATTTTCTTCTCTCCTTTATCCATCCAATGCCAGGCAATTTTTTTTTTTTTTTTTTTTATGGGGGGGGGGGGGGGGGGTTGACTTTATACATTCTACTTATACAAAAATTATATTTTTTAGGTGATTGGTAAACTTTAAACTCTTAACTATCTGTCTGAATTCTGAGTATGTTTCTGCATAACAAGGAGACATGTCCAGTCAAACTTTTCGTTGCAGAAAAACTTGACACTTCAAAATTAGTTTTGAACTCCAATTTTCTTAATGCAAAGCATTTTATGGGTGAAAGGAGGAGCAAACACAATCTACCATTTTCATATAACAGAGAAAAAAAAATGATTTAACACTAAACTGCTCTGAAACTATATGAAACAGTGTAAACCAAGTATCGGTACCCAAACACATGTGATAGCTGTAACACATCATACAAACTTAGTGTACCAACAGTGTAAATTCAAGATTATAACAACTGTCATGGTGATAATGATTCTAACTAGCCACATATCTAATTCAGCATCAAGATTGTATTTTACTATCTTGTACGGTTGCAACAAATCTAAATACCATCAGATAACCTACACAAGGAATGAGGCATTTCAGGTCACACAAAGTGATATCAGCTTGATAATAGTAACCAAGGGCAGCGTTTCATAAACCCGTCGTAAGTAAAAGTTTATCCCCCGGCCCCCCACTCAGTGTTATTTAGGGTACGCATATGCGTGTTCCCAGCGTCCCCCATTTTCAGCAAAAGTCTGGTGTGTTAAGTCAATATGGGTAGATCTTTTTCTTTTGTTACGAGCTGGAGAGTTTGGGAACACGCATGGTATCCCTCCGTTCACGGAATAGGTGGGCCGGGATTTATCCACATTGGTGATATTGGTGAACTTGTACTTACAAGGTTTGGTGAAATGGTGCCCAGATCTTCAGCAAATTGGACATTCAACATCATAGTGTATTGCTTTGGACATGGTCATTAATCTAAATACATCGCTATTCAACTTTAGTTTGATATTAATCAGGCAATTCAATTGCAACTTTCCGGTTGATCTCGCACAATTTTTATGGGGCCCTATTGATCATGATAACATCATATTTGCCTATTTCAATTGTTTATTTCCCTTTCATGATTGGCATTCTGAAATTATATCAATGCAAAGCTGTATGCTGCAGCCCTTCAATAGCCCCATACTGTTATCAATATGTCTGTTTGGAGCCAGAAGGGCATTAACTCCTCATTTCATAAAGGGTTAACGCCATTCTGACTCCAAACAGACAAAATAAACAATCCGACCGCTGGCCATCGCTTTCTAACATATCGCTTGCCGAGAGAAAGATGAGTATTAACTTCATAACTTTACAATAAAAAGAGGAATGCCTTTCTGGCTCTGGTGGTTTAATGTTCCCTGACACAATAAAAAGTGAACCACTCACTGTGATAAAACCCTTTTCTCAAGGTCCAACACATTTTCATTGCATTAACACATGAAATTTACTTCACATAGGCTATTCCAGGAGTTATCATTAATTGCATTACAAACACTGATATCCACAGCAATGATAAATTTTCTCCACGTTCATGCATTGAATTTGCAACAATAATAAAGATATACAGTAGGCTTGTGGGTGCACCATGTGAGAGAGATAATAAAGATAACAATAATATGACTCCATTTTGGATAGCCAAGCTTTATCACACAGATATCCCACCTCGGATGGATGTAGCAAATGGGATTAGAATTATAATGACCATTCTCGTGTGAACACAGTCTCAAATTCCTTAGTGTACATCCTGGCCAGAAGAAGACAATGTTCCTCCCGTTGCTTAATACAAGGTATTCTTCATTTTACAAGATTTTGATTTTGGTGTTAAACCTCGGTGCTTGAGCTGTGGTGTTGATACCGGGAGGTCGAGGGTCAATGTGCTACTGCTGCCATCTGGTAGGACATTAATCCTAGTCTTACAAGTCTCTCAGATGGGACGTTAAAGCTGTAGGTCCACTGGCTGCTTATCTAAACTGTACAAGAATGTACTTGCTTTCACAAAAGTCAGGTAAGAACGCATTTTCATTACTATCATCCGATTCTCTCATCAAGCGCTCCGCCCGAGATCATCATCATCAACAGTTTCATTTTTCTTGATTAACGTCCATTCATTATTTCTGCCGTCACATTCAGAACCCGACGATAGGGATACAACTCATGCTTTTTACTACATGGCTGAATAAGTCCAAAATCCATTACGATGAGTGCTTACAAGGTGCAGATGACAGAGATATATTCTTTACTGTAAAACACAGCAGGAGTTTGTTTTCCGTGCCTGTGAAAAAGAAAAGAAGAAAAATGATGTTGACTCTTGCCTTTCTCATGTAGTATTGATGATAGAACTGAACCTTTTAAATGGCGTGTTAACTGATTGCTTAAAAGGTTATATAGTAAATCATCCGATGTTTTTATCAAGGATATATGCATGCCATATATTCTATTATATACCTCTCTTTAGAAATCTAGCCATCTGATTGGTCGAAATTGGAGTTGTGATTTTAGCCATTCCCATAAAGAACAAAACAGTTCCAGTACCGGTTAATAGTTCGATTCCCGCAAGATTCCGGGTACCGGGAAATTAGTAAAACATTTGCTGCGATCCCCATTGGTTTACATTTTAACACTTACTTGGTGCGAGCGTGGCTACCATAGAGTGCTTTTTTTCTGTGATTTCCAAATGATTGTAACATTCAGTCATCTTTCCAGCTAAGATTAACTGACAGTGTCACAGATTTTCTGTGATGTTTTAACCAATCTTTACTCAAGAAAAGGATAAGGTAAGAATTCTTGGTAAAAATGTTACTCTTCTTTATCCTTCATTCAACTTCAAAACCCAAGGAGCATAGCTTTTGATTACAGATTACAAGCAATACATTCATGTTGTGCTGAATATTACAAGTGAAAGATGACTAGTGGTGTTTAAGTACGCCTATATGTCAAGCTGCTGGGTACTTACCGTCTTGTAGAATGTTTTTGATTGGGCGCTCAGGTCATCTGACTTTGCTACAAGATCATCTAGCTTCTCTCCTCGGTTTAACATCGATTCTATCGTATCGTGCTGGCAAGACAACAAAAATCAGAGTACAATAATTGCTCAATAACAAACAGTTATGTTGTCAGGGAAGCAGTCAAGGCCACATAAATATCAAATGTGAATTTAAGAAAAATAATTGGTTTATAAACTGAGATGGTTACTTTACAAGATAATTACATATTTACAAAGTCATTTATCACTTTACCAGTATCCTAAATTTGGTCTCCAGAATAGTATTGTATTATTTATTACAATGCAGGATTGCTGTTAAAAAATTGTATATTGGGAGATGGGCAAAAGTGAACACTTCTGTAATTGTTGTTATCGTTTCAGCTTGTTCCCTACCCACCCCCCCCCCCTTCTCTCTATTTTTTTCTCTGTCCCTTTTTTTCACTTACTTTACTATTTACATTTATCTCTCCCTCCTTATTTCTTTGAAATAAATTGATGTAATCCATAATTCTTTGTATTTTCCATTTTGTTTATCCGTTATTTGTGTATTTCTTTCTGTTTGTACTGTTAATGTAAACTTCTTTGCACTTATTGTACTATATCTTGGTCAACTAACCCTTTCAAACTGTGCTGCTGGTCAGTATTTATACACCTATTGCCACTCTACACCCAGGTGTAGTAAATATGGGCAATTCCACGGTAACGGAAGGACACTCAGACAAGATTTTTGAACTTCAGGTTCATACTAAAAGAAATGTTTTATTAGTATGTATTAAACTATGGGGAACAAAATGTGTTTCAGTCAAGTGGAAAGCTTCATCAACTTCACAAAGTTTGGATAAACACTAATTAACTGGAAAAACCCTGTCCATTTTTATGTCCTTCTGTTACCGAGATAATTAATATGCACATTCTTAAACTACTTAACTATAATGACAATTTTTTGGGGGAGAATTAAAGGCACTTATATAGGTATTATATCTGTACTGTTTCACATCTTATACTAATAAAACAGTTCTTTTAGTATGAACCTGAAGTTCAAAAATCTTGTCTGAGTGTCCTTCCGTTACCGTGGAATTGCCCATATGTAACCGGTAGAAATTTATTCCTTGAAAGCTTTTAGCACCTTGGACATCCCTGCTAAAGCTAGGGTAATAATAGTACTCTTATGCACCTTGGGCATCCCCTGGGATGGATATGTGCGCAAGATTAATGTAAATAATGTATAGCGAATTTCACATTATAACGTACCTATGCTTTTCCAAAAAGCTTTTAGAAATTATTACCCTCACTCTAGCTCCGGCAGCCGTTACCAGCCCACAGTGCATTTCAAGGAATAATCCTACCAGATACCTATTTCCCTCACCTGGGTGGAATGTGGCAAATGTAGATTAAAGTCTTGCCAAAAGACATTAATGCTGTGGCGGGACTCTAACTGCGGACCTTGTGATCCACAGTCCAATGACATATCCACTCGTAGCTATTATTATTGTTATTAGTTTTTTTTTTAATGAAAGATAAGCCTTACCATTATAAATTTGGTTTCATCTAGGTCCTTTTGAATCCTCATCATTGGATCTGATTCTGATGGATTCTGTTTGAAAGATAAAAAGAGTTTGGAAACTATAATTGCAAGTGAAAAGGTATTTAATTGTACTAAAATCACTTTCACAGCTGAATTACAGCAGAACTTACCATTTAGAGTCATGAAACAAATACGTTAATAGCAAATCATAAAAATCATTAATAATTCAATGAAATCCATTAGAGTACAAACACATATTAAAAAGAAAAGAACACAACAATAGTTTTTGCCATCAAGTATTTGGGGAATTTGGGGCTCCCACAGACTAGAAGGGCTTTAACCAGCTATTAAAGAGAAGGTTGAGTTCTGGGAAGAGGTGAAAAATAATTTGTGAGCATTACTCATTCTTATTATGCAAGTGTGGAAGAACATCAGTTAAGACATGTTCCCTGAAAAGCATGGCTCTTCAAATGCCTTCATATTCTTAATATGCATGTAACATCGTAAAAATCGGGGGGCCGGCTTTTTACGCCACGTGTTCGTGTAGTCCCATATACATCTTTCTGTGCAAGTGTTTGTAACTTTACCAAGACTTGGCAACATTTCTTATCATTTTGATGATTCCAGAACCTTGCAATACACACAAATTCTTATATGCTAGATGATCAACCTTTTCTGGTCGGTTCCACACCGTTTCTTTCACAATGCAATCGCATGACCAGAACTCAACTTCATCTTTAATGAATGAACCACAATACCTGGAATCCAGTCTGCATACATTATTTGTTGCTATGTTGGGCAAGCACCGGGCAAGCTTTCAGGTTGTCAAGAATGACCTTTCTTTAAACAGTATGCATACAATTTAAATATGTTAGTAAACCGTTCAACTGTCGTCAAAGCACCATTTTGCCTACAGTTTGAATGTAGCAAGATATAAATATTTCCATACCTGATATTTTACTAGATATGGTTCAAGTCCTTGATAACCTGCGGAATTTTCTGAGAGTGTTGGCCAAGTTGATGGTGACACAGCATTTGAAAACTCCTCTAGTACCTGCAGAATAAAAATAATGAGATTGATTGTTTTTTATTCTTTATAGTTATGTGCATGTGAGTTTGTAAGGCTGCTCACAAAATGCAAACACTCAAAATCGTTGACACAGGATTATTCTCTCTCTCTACGTGCCATATCCTGAGACGTTGGCGACCATGGAGTGCCACAACTCTGTGTCCCATATTCAATGAAGTAATTCATTCTCCCAGGGTTATTAGTAAACAAATATTAACTACATTGTTGGGCATGGCTAAAACTATTGCACAAAATGATCTTGAAACTGTCTTGAGGAACTTGAGAAGATTTAAAGGGTAGGGTGCAGTCTGGAGATCACAGAGGAGCTCAAGTTGGAATGATTTACTGCCCAGCAGTCCTTGGGAAATTTTATGCCCAGTCTGTTGATTAATCATTAACCTAAAACCGTCATAGGTGGTGTATAAAATGGCATGTATCCTGTTTCAACCTATGTCCCATTTGCAAGCCAAAAAAATGAAAAGGTTAAATTCCAACAGCATTTGAAAGATAAAACTAATTTAGAACTTCCCTAAAAAAGAAAAGGGGGGGGGGCTTGAAAATGTCTTTAAGTGGGAAAATAATGACTATTCGTTGTCGCATCTACGTAAGAGCTATAGAGCCAATAAATAATAGTCTGATTTTCAGACCATTGTACGGAATGCTGGGCAAAGATTCAATCAGTTTAATTTTAGCCATTACAAGAAGTGGGTTATTGATGTAGACAAATGCTCATGTACCCTTTACAGCTCATTTTATGTACATGTATGTTATTACCAAAGAAGAAAAAAAGCCAGTCAGTCACTCAATAGTGTCTGACAGTGAATTCTAGCAAGTAAACAGGTTTCCTGGCATAATTTCAATATAAGGACACTGCTAACGTTTAAATTTCATAGATAGGACATACCTGGCATATTCATAATTCCTGCAAAGTTCTACATAATTTGATGTTGGCTGCAAAAGGGACATTGTACCTTTAACAGTTTGAATACAACCTATGGTTGGCCCCAGAACCTTGTTACAAATAAAGTGCCATACATATCCTATGTGTCAGTCACCCTCACCTTATTCAACAGTGTGAATGAGACGCGTGGTGGATAATCTGAATCTGAGATGATCACTCCTGCCAGGTTGCTCTCTCTACACATCACATGGAAAATGTAATCTGTCAAAGAAACAACAAAAACAAACTTGCTCAATAGATAGATAGATAAATGATATTTGTTAATTCATATCTATGTATCACAGTTACTAGTTACTGAATTGCACATGAATAAAACATTGATTGAAAAGACAAGTATATATTTCAAGAGATATCATAGTTACAAGTAACTGAATTGCACATGAATAAATTGATGAAAAGTACAAGTATACATTTCAAGAGATATCACACTACAATCTACATAGTTATGAAGGGCATTTTTTTAGTTAAAAAAGAAAGAGAGATGACAAAGATTCAGAGAGATAGGAAAACAGGAGAGAGAGAGAGAGAGAGAGAGAGAGAGAGAGAGAGGGGGGGGGGGTAGGTTAAATGAACCCTCATCAGTGTATTAAAGCCCTTACTCACACAGATGAGACCTAACTAGACCGACAGTATTGATAATAGTATATGTTTTTCTATAATGCATTTCAAGACCATAGGCCCTCTCAATGCACTTTAAAATTAAAAATGTATAATCACTGAAAAACACAATGTAAAAGTAATATGTACAGTATTCCCTGACTTCATCTGGTTGTTGATATCACAAGCAAGAATGGCTTCTTTCTTGCATGTTCAAACTATTGAATGGTATACATTTTGGATCTTAGTGATACTACTATACACGCTACAAATTACAGCTGTATCAGACTATTAGTCAAACATACCTTTCTCTTTCACAGACGACCGCAACTTCTGTTGTGTTCTTTCTACAACAATTTTGCTTGTGAAGTTCATAAATTCTTGAACACTGAAACACAAGAATGGGGAGGGGTGGGGGTAAGTAGGGAAGAGACATGAATTACGGGAAGTGAATACCACACGTTTTTGATCACTAATATTATGTTTCAAGGCTGTCGACATTCCAAGGATTTTGTACAAAGGTCAAAGCGACTTGCCATCTAGATTTCAGTTGCCATTCTAATCAAATTCATCTACAGGGATATATACTAACATATACAAAATTAATTTATAATACAATATATCTATCACTTGTATATTCACTTTACAAACAATTAATGATTATATACAATAATACAAACAAAGATTAAGATATTCCTTTAAAATCCATTGATGTGCTGCACCCTTTGTTTCCATAGTTATAAGCTAAACATCATCAACAACAACAACAATAAACACACGCATTGCATGATGAATAAATACCTTGATCTCTGGAAGTAACCGAAAGAAGACAAATCGCTTGCTGACTTCAGTATGGTCACTTTCGTGGCACCTTTATAGAGTACCATGATACTGAATAACTTCATGGTGATGATGGGAGTTGGAACTTTGGACTAAGAGTGAAACGGGACTGGGACCTCTGAATGTTAGAAGATAGTTCCTTCTTGTTTATATCATCTATCCAATGGCCGAAAGAGTAAGGATCAAGATCAGAAAGAAGGCCTCTGATGCTGCCGTTCCTTCTAGACGTCACCTCTTGTTTAGTGTTTACGTAAACCTGTAAAGAGAAGAATGTGGATTCATGATATGGAACAAATTGTGTGTTTATAATCCAGGGGTTGTTTCACAAAACCGACTCCATGAGAGTCATATATTTGTCCGCTATCAATGGAGATGTCATGAAGCCAACAAGCACAAAACCATGACAAATTGACAACTTCACAAAATTTATAATCACTATCATTCTATCAGCTCAGCTAAAAAACAGTCATCATGATCCATCAGATTTAGACCTATCTTAAATTACTCAATTACTCAATAGGGTCTAGATCTAGATCTAGATAGAAAAGAAAATTGCATGAGCAGGAGCATATTTCACAAGAATTCCAATTAAATTAGTTCACGTTAGCTGAGATTTTGATTTCCCACAGATCCACTTCACTCTTCAGTCCTACTCATTATACTTCACCACTCTCACCAGGAATGTTTAGCCATATTATTTTCACTTTCAGATTCAGAATCAGTTGCCCGAGTCAACGCACGCGCAGACAATTTACACTCTCAGTCCGAGTCTCCGAAAACTCAGAGATGTGCGTCAGACCCCAGGCCCAGTCAAACCAGACTCAGTCACTCAGACTCTGAGTCAGACTCAAGTCAAAGTAGAATTCTGTCATTTCAGTCAGTCACAGCTAGCTGCACAGTATACACACACAGAGTCAGACTCACTTCATCTACACTGCCCTGCCAGACTGTCGACCTCCAGCAGCTCTCTCTAGCCTACTCTGAGAAGTTTATAGTTAGATCGAGTCGGACTCCAGTTCTGGAAACAACGCTGAAAAGTCACATCAGCCTTCTTCTTGCAAAACTAGATCACCAGCACCCGGAACTTGCTTCCATGTATTCTTGGGATGGAGGTACTGATTTACATGAAGCAGCAACGGTAGAGAAATGAACACATTATTTTGTATTTGTACTGGCGACACGTCATTTCACTGCGCTGCGCCCACTGCACTGCATTGATATGAGTCACGTCATAGATTGAGTATAGCTAGCTTCTTCTTCTTCTTTTTTAGGGTAGTTGCCGATCATAAAATGTATCCTATTTGTGAATTCGATTTATAAAAAAACTTTTAAAAATTAATAATTATGTATTTTAAAATAATTGTAGGTCTTTAAATATTATTTTTAATAATAAAATAGTATCTACTAGCTATAAATAAGTATTTGAAAATGAATTTATTACAAAACGTAACACTTCCGGGTTCTTGTTGTTTTCAGTATACGTAAATACGGCTAGGTTCGTTGGGTTGCTCTCGCATCTCTAGCTCCGAGTCTTCGTGCACGGGTCGGAGCAGGCAGGGCCAGGGTGAGTAGCGGGGACACTGTATACGGAGTGGGATGGGGGCGCGGCGGCAACAGCACACGAACAGACGGGGATCGTATATCCATATGCTACAGCTACGGTAGACCTTGGCATTGAGTGTTCCTAGTGCTCATTACCACTTTTCATGGTACAGGTTTAGACTCTAATCTCAATACTGTCTTTCCATTTTCATGATTTTAATAGTTTATTGACTTAATTTGTGGGACCATGAGATGGGGATTGTGATTTGTGTAGTCCAGAATCCAGATTCAACTTTCAACTTCAAGTCATTTTAGAATATGAATGAATCTGAGCTGCAGTGTCGGTGTCACTTCACATTTGTTGAGCAAACCTGGCCTGGGACTGGGAGCGTGCTGAGCTGGGAAGGCCATGCAATAACAGAAATTTTCGGTCTAGAGTTGTACTGCATCATGCATGTATGCTGTCTGGACCTCTCTATCTAAAACAACCTGCTGTTCAAAGGTGTTGTAATTATAATACATGTATGGGAAACAACTAAATTATTTGTACCTTTACCAAGCTTTTAAGTATGCAAAAAATTTATTTGTCTTTATTCATTATTATGTTTCTTGAGAATGTGACACATTAAACTGATTAAAGCTTTCATCTAAAAGTGTTAAATACCCGGTGGGGTCACTCAATGTGACTTCCGGACCGCATGACCGTTACCAAAATCGCAGAAAAAGGGGTCAATTTCAAGCAATGTCCGCGGACAAAATATTCCTCGAAATAAAGAAAATAGGGGTGCACAGGTGTCCCCGAAATTGATAAATAGGGGTCAGGAAAAGGGAAAAGAGAAAACCGGGAAGGGAAAAGAGAAAACCGGGAAGAAAAATTCTCGGAGCCGAGTCTTGTCCTTTAAATATGGTAAAATAGGGGTAAAATTGCGAAAGTGTCCTTACAATCTTATAAATAGGGGTATTCCAAAGTAGGATTTTGTCCTTGTTTTGACGTAAAAAAGGGGGTTAAATTTCATAAAATGTCCTTGAAATTGACCGCAAAAGGGGGTTATATGCATTGGTGGTAACGTTCATACGTGTCACTCTTTGCAGGGGAGTGACCCCACCGGGGTTAAATAAAAGCCCTAATTGGACCAGTCCTCCTTTCATTCGTGAGTAAAGAAACAAAAAAGAAAAAATAAAATTTCAAGGGGTATGAATAATTTAGTTGTTGAACTTAATTATCAATGACTTTTCTAAAGTAATGTTCTTTTTTTTAATAAGATGCAGTTTGATGTTGGGATCGTAACTTCAGGATCACAGGACCAATTTGGACACTTATAAAGTTGGAACTGCTGTGGAGTTGTGTACATTTTCAGAAGAGGAATTGACATACTGGTAGTGCTGAGTAAAAGCCGTCCCTTAACTGAATGCTAGTTTTTGCAAAGGATGCTCTAGCAACATTGAAAAAACAACCATGGAGGAAGGAGACCTTGGGTTTGGCAGAGGATTGAAACCTGGAGCAATATCTACATCTAATGAAGATGTAGACCTATCGCCAAGGCAACGAGTCCTGCGAAGCTCATCCGAGTCAAGAGAACATGGAGCAGAGTTAGGTGTAAGAAGGAGCCAGCATGGAGGCTCAACCAGGAGACTTAAAAGGAGCAATAGTCTTGGGTCAGCAGTCAAAACAGACCTTAGAAAAGGTGGGAACGAACAGGAGGAGATACCCATGTACGCAGGTGTGCCAATGGGAACATCTCTCAGACAACAGAAAGTGCTCTACTCTCAGAACATGAAAGACTTTCTAAAGAGGAAGGACCAGTTGAGCTTTGCAGCTGATATTAAAGGTACATTACTTTTTTTTTCTTAAATTGATAAGCACATTTTTAAATTTCATCTTAAGAATATTGAACTTCCAACTGTGAATTTGTGGATAATTTTATTCAATCTTATTTTATTTCATTTCCAGGAACACAAAAGGAGTGTAACAATAAAAAATGTCATTAACAAAGAATACAAGAAAATGAAGTACATTACAGTAACAAAAGAAAAGAAACATCAACTAATGCATTGATTACCAAAATAAATCAAGGTTCTGTACAGTGGAACCTAAATAAAGATCTCTGATATAACAAGATATTTGTTATAACAAGGGGGTTTTGCTGGTCCCAGCTCTTTATATTCTTTTGGTTTTTTACCCTGATATAACATGGTAATTTCTTTGGTCCCAACTCCCAAGCTAATGTAGACTGAATTTAAAATAAAGTGTATTAAAAAACTATTGATACCTTTGTTAGTATGATTACGTGTATCTATATTAAGCTATTCAAAACGGGGTTTTTTTTCTCTCTTTTTACAACAGTACAAGAAAATGTTTTACCAATGATAAGGTAGAATTAATTTTTGTGTATATTGTAAATTGATAAAAGATTGATAATTGCTAAAACCTTTCTTTTAACAGTATATGACTGCTACGAGTACATACAATTATCTTATGCAGCATTTTTCACTACCGGTACTCTCCCTACTGATAACAGGATCAATTTCCCTGTTGACATACCGGTAGATGTTAGACAATTTTATATTGGATGAAAAAGAGGCATAGTTTGTGATTTTGCTAGATATACTTTATAGAGGGAGAGAAATACAATATTTGTCATGTTGTTAAAGGTAAAGACCAGTTATGGTCATGCGATTGCATTGTGAAAGAAACGTTGTGGAATCGATCAGAAAAGGTTGTTCATCTAGCATCTAGCATCTGCAAGGTTCTGGAATCATCAAAATGATAAGAAATTTGGCCCATTCTTCGTAAAAGTTACAAGCACTATACACAGAAAGATGTATATGGGACTACCCTATATCTCTCACAGACCATGAGAGAAACAAATTTACCAAATATATGAATTAGTAGGCGGTTTCCCGGCAAATTTGTTATCATCATGTATTAGTCAAAACATATTCTTTCACATGATTGGTAATGAGAGCTTCCATTTCATTTTTTGAAATTGGGGCGTTTTAATACTGGTCTTTACCTTTAACCTACTTGTTCTTGATGTTTTTGTTGACAGGGTCAGCTATTCCTGCCTCATTCTTTGCTGTTCAGCAAGCTATTGTTGACCGACTCCAGGGAGCCTCGAATGTAAGTCAGTTTTCTATAGGTATATGATTTCTTTTTCCCAAGCTACCATTTACTAAATGAGCAGTGAAAATATGTAGGACTCTGGAGTTCTGGGGGTGGAAAGCTCAAGGAAAGCACCAGGAAAACTTCCAAGAGAATAAATTTGCTTTTACTGGAAATCTCAAATTTGTATAGAAATCACTCTAATACATGTAAGGCAAAATAACAAAAATTAATTGTTTCTTTTTTTTTTACTGTTTATTATTCAGAAGACAAAACCCTGTGATATACATTTTGTTTAAATAGCTTCTAAAGTGATACAAATCATTTTGTTTGTCATGCATCGCATCAGTATACTCACATAGCACAATATATGTGAATAATAAATAGGCTTGGCCAGCTATAATTAGCATGGCAGCCATCTTGGAAAAAAATTGCAAAATAGTAAATAGTAATCCCCTGCCTCCTCTTTTTTTTTTAAAGTCTGGACGAGAAACACATTATTTTTGTTATTTGGCCTAAATGCTCTAATGACCAAACACTAAGATTTTACACGTAGCCTGTGATATGTATGGACCTGTTGGTGTTATCAATATATGCCTTCAGCATAATTCTGTCATCACTAGACCATTTTGAATTGGTTAAGGTGGGGATGTCAGATCAAACTTGCTGAAAACTTAAAACCTATAAGTTTATCCATAAAGCATAACAAAATTTTTAAAAAGAACCAAGGACTTCAAGTTTGCAGTAATTTGTCAACGGAAATGTTTTCGCCATGTATGAATCAAGTAAATTTACCCTTAAATATCAGATCAAATAAAAATCTAGTTGCCATCCTTATTGATACAGTACAGTGCACATTATACATTCAAAAAGTAGGTTTATAATGATTTGGGGGGTATTGTAAATCATGAATTTTCACCACTTTTAAAAATGACCATGTAAGATCAAAACTAAACAAAGAACCACTGTTTAAACAGAAGGTTGAGTTCTGGAAAGAGGTGAAAAATAATTTGTGAGCGTTATCATTCTTATTATGCAAGTGTGGAAGAACATTAGGTAAAAAATGTTCCCTGAAAAGCATGGCTCTTCAAATGCCTTAATGTTCTTAATATAGCATGTAACATCATACAAATCGGGGACAGATTTTTTTGCCACATGTTCGTGTAGTCCCATATACATCTTTCTCTGTACAGTGTTTGTAACTTTACCAAGACTTGGCTAAATTTCTTATTATTTTGATGATTCCAGAACCTTGCAATACACACAAATTCTTATATGCTAGTTGATCAACCTTTTCTGGTCAATACCACACCGTTTCTTTCACAAATCAATCGCATGACCAGAATTACTCAACCTCATCTTTAAATGATCGTTTTGTATCATATATATATATACTGGTACTTTCATTGTACATGTACATACACTTAGTGAAATAGAACCCTATCTGTAACAAAAATGTATGTACGGTACATGCACAGTATAATGATGTGATGGGTGTCCAGTTATTGTATACACATAACAAATACATGTAGTTCACTCATGGAATACGCATCACACAAGTATATGCAAATGAAAAACCAAAATAGTAATTGAAAAACGAAGCAAAGATTTTGTTTAAAATATTGTCCAAGGGAATTAGGATGCATGATGTTTATTTAGGTTTCAAGTGTTTGAAATCAATCAAATGAATCAATATGGGACAAGTTTGGGGCTTTTGTTTAATAATAGTGGAGGGGGACATCTGTCATCTGGTGTTGATCAGTATGGTCTCGTAAAGGGTTTTTATAGAGTTCGACCTTCTCATACTCTTAAAATTTTCACACATCATGACACACAAGTCTACAGTACCACATTAAACTATTAAACTCCCCCCTCTCTCTCTTCTCTCTATTGCCCCCCCCCCCTCTCTCTCTCTCTCTCTCTCTCTCTCTCTCTCTCTCTCTCTCTCTCTCTCTCTCTCTCTCTATCTCTCTCTCTCTCTCTCTATCTATATCTCTATCTCTGTCTCTGTCTTTGTCTCTCTTTCTCTCCCTCCCTCCTTCCTTCTCTCAGAGTCTCCCAGTCTTTCTGTCTCTCCCCCAGAGTCCCCTTCCTCTAACTCTCCTTCCCAATCCCTTTTCCCCATTTTTCTTCTTCATTTCCCCTCTACCTCCCCCCCCCCCCCCTCCCCATCCTCTCCTTCATATTACGCTATTATGTTAGACATTGGGATGTATGTGGTAAGTTGAAATGTTCAATATTTCAAATTGATCAGTCACATTCAGTGTCCATTATACGTTCTGTTAAGATTTGATTTCAGTATTAATATTCAATGAAATTTAAATCATGGGTGCCCGATATCAACAATAGAGAAGTATCGCATCTTCAGTCAAACTAAATAGCTAACTGAATAGTTAATTGCTTGTTGCTCAACTATGACAATAATTACACCTCTACAACTATTTTAAGTTTTCAAAAGACTTGCTTACAAACTCAACTCTTATTTAGTGCACTTTCTTCCATGGGGGAGCTACTTTGAATCAGTATTAGTTATCATTTCATGAAATGCCTTCTTCGTTTGTTTGAAATTGTAGGAAGTTATCGTACTACAAAGTGAACTAGAAGCTTCCCAATCTCAACTGGATAGCAAGTACAGGGCAATACGCATTCTACAGAGTCAGGTAATACTCAGAGCTAGAGCTACCATAAAACCAGAAATGTTTGTGAATTTCCTCGAGTGGTTCGGATGCACAAAGTTTCAAGCCTTGAAATAATGAATCACAACCGATACAACACCAAGTTTTTGCAATTTCTGAAATTTTCCTGTCATGAAAATTGCTCTCATCTACAATTTTCCAGGTTTTGAGTTGTTTTTCAGAACCGATTGTGCTTGAATCTCAAACTATTGTTCTTATGATTACTCCAATTTTTTTTAAATTCTCCAGGGCTCTACACTCACTAATTTATTTTTATTTTTTTTGTAGGGGGGGGGGGGGGGGTTCAATGTGGGCGACAATGTGTCCCAAGCAACTGCCCTCTATATATGAACCAAATACAATACAAAATGTTCTGTCTCTGATATGGGCTTTTTTGCTGATATTTTTAAAGTTTATAACACTCAAAGTACATGTATTTTTAACACTCTACTAAGCTGGGTAAGTATTTTTTGTAGTAATTTGTCTGTGTTTCCCTTCTTTATAATGCTGGCAAATTTCCCTCTTATGACTTGTCAACAGTTTTCACATGTAAGTATTATCTCATCATTTATTTTGTGTGATTCTTTTCATTCAATTTAACATTTAGATAAAATAAAGAAGAAAAAAAATCATAGTGTCATACATTTAGTAATCTTAATCAAATATATTTCATCGCATAAAAAACTATTAATAATAATAATAATAATAGTGGGTTCTTGTATAGAGCTAATGTCAGTCAGATTTGACCCTCCTGGCGCTCCCGATTATTAGTGTTCAATATCATCTACATATTTCTCATACCTTATAGATTCTGCAGATTCTTAGCATTAATCATTACAATAAATGTAATTGAAACAAGTCAGGATCAGCCTGTTTTAATTCAAGAATCTATGATATTAACTTATACATTTGTAGCTGGAAAAATTATTATCAGAATACTGAGAGGTATTTAAAGATAAGCAGATGTTTGATGTCAAGTGGTTTGTATACATGTACATGTGCATTACATATTGCACTACATTTCAAATAAGTTAGGCATGCAATACTATTTACTCTAGGGTCCCACTGTTTAACTTATTCTGCTGCCTGTTTGTGAATAGTAAACATTCAGTTCTTCAAGTCGTGTGGGGCATCAGGGATCCCTCTTTATTTCTTTTTCTTGTACTAATTAGATCCTGATTTACTTAGTGAATGTAAATTACATGTTTTAATTCCTGTTAATGATAATGTATAGCCTCATTAGCCTGCCTTTACTGTGTTTTGAAATGATGTTTCTTGGTTGTTTGTTAAAAATGCTATCTTAAAGAAATGTGTAAAGTGCCCACTCCTTTTCTTTTGAAGTTATCCTTTAAATAGTCTACATTTGCTACATTTTTTTGGTTTCGCTCATTTCATGTTTTCTTGTTTTTATCACACCCGTTGCATATTTTCTTTCCATTATCCATTTCTGGTATTTAACTTGGAGGGGGGAAAATAAGTCGTGTGTTTTGTATCTTGAATTTAATCAGCACAATTGTTGTAAATGTGCATTTCATGTAACCATATCTTATCATTTAACCATACCACATTCTTCAAACAATGTTTTGCGAATTTAAGATTTACACTTAAAATTGGTGCTTGCACGAATGTCTCTCTCTTCTCTTAAATTGTTGTGAACATGGCCAGCTGTGCACAAACATTATTAATTAACTAATGACTTGTTCAAAATTTGGTTTGTTATGACTATTGACATAAAAGATAACATCATTTTCAGAATACCCTCCCCAGGATGATATTGGATGAGTGTCTATTTGGGGATTAACAATTGTCCCTTTCTATTGCTCAGCATGCATGTACATAAACCCCTCCAGTTTAAAGGTAATACAAAGTTTTGGTACGGGGTCATGAATTTGGTTCAAATTAACATATTGGAAGCATATGCTATCCTACCACATTCAGTGATCGTTATGTTGTATAGCTCCCTCTCAAGGCCAAGATATTAATTAAGCTATAAAACAATGTTCTTGACTAAAATCGACCAATTAGTTATTCCCGTTTGGAAATTATATATTACAACTACATATTCTGAGATTTTCATGGTCGCAGCTACCATTGTAGGCGCTATTTGAAATTGATCAAAATTTACTGGGAGCACCGGTAAATTTTTATATTCAATTTTTCTCGAAAGCAGCAGTGTTTTAGGGGCTAAATTTTCTCATGCTTATAATACATCCACAGGGGCATCCAAATATATCAAAATTGTAAAGAATCACTATCCACCCAATTTTCAAAATTTCCCAAAACTTTGTATTACCTTTAAATGTATTCTATGTATGGTGCATTTTTTTTTTAATATAGGAACAACTGAATTATTAATACCCCTTACAAATGTGATGTTTTTTGTGTTTTTCTAAACTCAAGCATGAAAGGTGAATCGGTTGAATTAGTGTCTTTGATAAATACTTTTAGATGTAAGCTTTAATTCGTCACATTCACAAGAAACATAGATCTGGAGAAATCAATTTTAACATACAGTGTACTTAAAACTTGACAAAACTTGATAAGGGTATGGATAATTTAGTTTATGACCTTATTTGCCTAATTTGCTTATGGCCTAAGTAACTCATCATAATGATCATTGGCAAAAAAAGTATTTATAGATATTTGTATTAATAAATGTATTCTCATTGAGCATTTTTTTCTGTAATCCGTACATATCTGCATTATGTACATGTATATGTGATTGTACTTCTTCTACAACCATATTGCTGCGCTTCTATTCTATCTAGTTATAAACAAAAAAAAACTATTGAATTCATCAACATACAGTGTTTGCAACCCAAACAGATATTTATTAAATTATTGCACATATATATTGCAGTCCATTTTATATAAAAAAAAGTGATGAAAATGGATAAATAAACAAAATTGTTGCTATTATAGTAAAAATATCATGTAAGTGAATATTATTTGAAGAGAACAGTTTTGCAGCCAGTTGAAATAGGACAAAATATTTGTTTAAAGATGGGTATACCAACAGTTATAATATCATTAATTTTGATCTCGTTCTCTGCTTTTAGGTGGCTGCATTGAATGCGGAAAAACAAAGAAATATCAATACAGTACAAGACCAAGCTAAAGTTCTTCAAAAGGTAAAGATACATATTTACAACAGCTCTTATTGCCTGTCTCTCTCTCTCTCTCTCTCTCTCTCTCTCTCTCTCCCTCTCTCCCTCTCTCTCTCCTTCCCCTCTCTCTCTCTCCTTCCCTCTCTCTCTCTCTCTCTCTCTCTCTCTCTCTCTCTCCTTCCCCTCTCCCTCTCCCTCCCTCTCTCTTGCTCTCCCTCTCTCGCTCTCATTCTATCTCTCATTTTCTCTGCTATCTTCATGTTTTATCAGTATCATAAATCATTGACTACTTGTACATTATTGCCATTTATCATTCATCTCAATGTGACCAGTATGTGTCATTTCCTCTACCAGCCACTCTTTTTAATAAAGATTGAATTACTAGTAACACAGTAAAATAACTTTGTTGTGCTGTATAAGTGCATGCATGTCTATTTTACTGTATGTCTTCCTAAAACTACAGAGATTACTCTTGTATAAGATTTAGAAAGCACATTTAATTAATTACATGCTTTGTTTTGTTCCAAAAGTTAGATATTTTATCAAAATGAAAGTGACTTTGACATTGCCCATTTTTTGGAATACAAATTCTTTTCTGTGATTGACATTAATTGCTTGTTCCCTCTATTTTTGTAAAGACTATTATAAAATTAACTACCCTATACGAACCCTACATTATATAACTCGCAGGCATAACTTTCACCATAGATCCCTCCATATTTCACTCTTCGTTGTTGTTCAGTCTTTTAATGTAATGTATTACAACAATTGATATGAGGTACTAACTTTCCTGTTTTTGTCTCTGTTAATAGAATCCACATTTATTTGTACTATTTACTTTGTGAAATCATTGCAAATTTTAAATGTATGTGAAATATGAAACAATTTAAACTGAAACTTAAAACGTCCTGATAACACCCCTTCTCATATCTCTGATTATCTTTTTCCATCACTGTATCTATCGCAATGTCTTGTAGGAGGTGAATGCGTTACAGTTTGAGCTGGATGCCAAGTCAAGTTCATTCATGTTCAGTGAACAAACATGGGCTCAGAGATTTGACAGGTGAGACGATGATCATCATACATTTAGTCATATATGTTTACCAAAATTGTGCTTAAAGGCATCGTTTAACAATGTTAAATCTGAGATGCACGGCCCTAAGTGTTATCAGTGTCTTTGATATGGTAGCCCTAAAAAAATTGCGCTTCAAAATGATCATGAAGTGCCTCAAAAAAGTAAAATCTTTGAATGACCGGTTTTACCATACCGTACTTGTTTTCCCCCATAGACTGTAGTGTTATGAAAACCGTTGGGAAAACACAAAGTTTGATTTTGATTTCCAATCATAAATATCTTAATAATCAGACAAGCAATCGGCTTGTAAAAGTCATGGGGTTCCTGACTGACCTAACGGTTTATAATTATCATTGCGGCATGAGCTAAATCCAGGATTTTGTTTCAGAATCTGAGACAAACCTCCTTTGTGAATTCGGGCTAATGATTCAGTGATTTGGGTTTGATGGAAAGGAGCAAAATTGAGTTGGTCTTGTCTACGGTAGTTAGAAACAAAATGTGATGATATTGAGAACCAAATTGCGTTATTGTGCTCAGGAAAAATGGTTAGATAACATTATTCTGGGAAGATGTATCAAATCTTAATAGTTTCATAAGAGATTAGCTTAAAGATCTTGTAGAAATGTTTTACGAAGAAATTGATTTCATTATGTGATATATTGTCAGGTTGAGCATAGAGAATACTGCCCTCATGGCAACGCTTCAGGCCAGGTCAGATGAGGTCAGACGCTTACATGCCGACAAAACAGGTGAGTTGTGAAAAGCTTAATTGGTATTATTAAGGGAGCATTTCGGTCAACGTAAGATACAAGTATGTTGCTCTATAATTTCATTCAAAAAGTACAGTGGTACAATAGCTAATGAGTGACAATTACAGATGCTCATTTCATCATCTCATATAATTACATCTTCATTTCTATATTTTGTTTGTATATTTCGTGATCAACTTTGTTTAGTCAGACAAATATTTCTGTTGGTCCAGTTTGAGTCATTCCCCCTCTTTAAGAAACTTTATATGGAATTCAGCCTAGTGCATTTTGTTACGATGTGATACCTCGATAGAAATAGGGTCCTCCTTGCAGTTTATTTTGCTTGAATATTTAAGGAAATAATATCTAGTTAAGATGATATTCTTTTACAGCTCTGAAGAGGGAGAGGGATGAACTTCTTGCCATGATGGATGCTAACGAGAGACTTCAATATGATAGACATTGGTCCTCTAAGAATGATGCCTGCATGAACAACTCAGTATCTGAGGTAGGTTGATAGAATGATTGAAGAAGGAAGATGAAAGGAAGAGTAGATGATGGAAGGAACGAGAGACTTCAATATGAGAGACATTGGTCCTCTAAGAATGATGCCTGCATGAACAACTCAGTATCTGAGGTAGGTTGAGGGAATGAAGGGAGATGAAAGGAAGAGTAGATGATGGAGGGAACGGGAGACTTCAATATGATAGACATTGGTCCTCTAAGAATGATGCCTGCATGAACAACTCGGTATCTGAGGTAGGTTGATAGAACGATTGAAGAAGGAAGATGAAAAGAAGAGTAGATGATGGAGGGAATATGAGGTAGGAAGGAAGGGATGAACTGCTTGAGGATGATAGTGAGAGACTGCAAAAAAGTGTTCCAAACTTTGATAGCTTTTAATAGAAAAATATATATAACTTATGTGACCTTGAATCATATTTCTTGTTAAATGGTAACTAATACCCTGTCTAATGATGCCATATATATAATTGTGCAGCCACGGATCACTAAGAGACATGCTTTTCAAAAAGTATTGTCAAAATCAACTTGTACCAAGTTTGGGCTGAAGCAACGAATGTGGGTCAAAAGCCATTATGTGTGGTTATCTCATTACATAAACAATAGCTCACTTATTAATGTTGACTATTAGGCATTTGAAGATTAAAGGTGTTAATATCAACTTTAGCTCAAAGAAATCCTTATTAGAAACAAAACTTATGATATTCTCTTCGTTATGATGATTACAATCTTGAATTCAGTCGCATCCCTTGTTTAAGGTAACCCTTCTAATTGAGTGAAACAAAATGGATACAATTTATTTGGGACATACTCTTCTTTATGAAAGTCTACTGTCAAATTCTTTGATAATTATCATCATACATGTTTTTTCTTATATGTTGGTTTAGTAACCTTTGAGTTTTCATTCGCTGTTTGATATCAACACCTTATGCTCCTTACGCGTGTAAAATGGCACAGCTGACAAGTGAGCAGAGAGAACTTAGATATCTAGAGACAAGAAGTTAGTAGGCTGTTCAAAATAATCAAAGGTTATCCTAGGGATTGAAAGAAAGAAGGTTCTGTGAAAGCCTAGATACCAAAGTTGGGTACATTTTTTTTATATGCACTGTAACATGATTTTGTTTGACCATGTCAACCTTGTCTTTCATATTCCTTTATAGCAAATGGCCGTTCTTGGGTCATGCTTATGTCGGGGTAACAAACCAGAGCCTTGCCGATGTGCAAAGACAGCTGCCTTACTCAAGAAAGATAACAGTGTTCTTAAGGATGAGGTAAGAAATAATTAAAGTAAATGTATTCAAAGACAATGTGAAGGACATTGAGGGAATATTACTTTCCTCCTGTTCATATTTTACAAAAAATAAAAGACTTTTTCATTTCTTGAATGTTCTCGCTTTGAATGTTATTATATTTTGTATCCATTCAGTGCCTTAAAGCCGCTTTATTTCATTTTTTTACGTTATTATTGTATATCATACAAATTATTGAATTTATACAGATATCTTCTATATCTTCTATAAATTTTGTCCAAACTTTGTAATTAAAAATGTACAAATTGTAAAGCTCGAACCCAGTTCTGTATATCTCTCTCTATCTCTCCCTGGCTCTATTTTTCCATACCCCTTTATCTGCCATCCTTTTCCTTTCTCTTTTTTTCTTTCTCATCGTGCTATCTTACTCTACATTCACCTCTCGTGCTGTTTCAATTTTGTAGAGGTATTCTGGTCTAGGGGATAAGTCACCCGACTGCAGATCACAAAGTACGGGGTTCGAGTCCTAGCTGCCACGGTACTAATGTCCTTTGGCAAGAAGTTAATTTTCATTTGCCACTCTCCAACCAGGTGTTAAATGGGTACCCGGTAGAATGCGAATGTTAATGTGGTTGGATGAACAAGTGTGCTCTTGTAAATGGCGACTGGCTGGAATGCTCCCCAGGGAGTGGAGAATGTGCATATATTGTGTGCGGGTAAGCCTGAATTCGATGACCGGGGTAATAATATGTCTGTAAAGCCCTTAGAGACATCGTTGATGTATTGTGCGCTATATTAATATAAAAGTGGAATATTATTATTATTATTTGAAAATCCAGAATTTCAAGTTAAATGAGCACCTCCAGGAAGCATACCTTGTTGCCGATGCCTTCCGGAAAGCCTTTGAAGAACAGCTCAACCGCAATTCCATGATGAGCAGAGATCTAGCCAGCACCCCTCAGCATCCTACCATGAAGGATGGTGAGAAGAACGGGATGAGACGAAGACCACTCCAGCTACCATGGATGAAGAAAGCACAGCCAAAGAACGGTATCTACAATATTCTATATGGGTGTATCAACAACAAAGAACAATCTCTTGGTACCAGAGATGTTAAGTTTAAAACCCCACTGCACTATACTTGCGGCCTCTATATAGCAAAAATGCCTAATCAATGCTTGTTGGTCCCCCATGATCCCCTTTTTCTTATGTTAATTGAGAGCTGATTTGATGAGATGACCACCTGTCAGTGACCTTGCAGGGGGGTCTAATCCCCCTGGAAAAACTAGTGCAGACTGGATTTAATGCAATAGTCTTTTTGGTCAGAAATCTCCATCTGGCATACTTTGCCAGGGCTATTACCCCTTGAATGCAATTTTTTTTTGTCAGTGCAGTTAAACTTGTAATGCAACTGTACACAGAGTCTATCAGGTCCATACCCCCCCCCCCCCCTCCCCGTCCCCTGTAACAACAACAAATTAAAAATACATCCAAATTACTCCCATATTATTCTTTATCACTATTGAATCAGTTGTAAAAATGACTTGCTTGTTTTGATTTAGGTCTACATTTTTTATATAAACCGTTCATAAACGTAGGCCATCACTTAAAAGTATTACAGTGTTGGTAAAAGTTGATGTAGCAAAACAAAAGCAAACTATTTTCTCAAATGGTGTTGATTTATTTAAGTCTGTTCATTACTTCATGTATATTGACATAATTGTTCAAACAAATCTAATCTAGGACATTGCCAAAGAGAGGATGTTGGTCAGCTGCTAGCAGAGACGATGGACATACAGGCTCTGCTGGTCAGGGAATTGGACGAGGTCCACCACGAAGGGTCAAGGAGTGTGGGGATTCAAGTCTCTCAGCCAATGCCCGATCTGATTAGGAACATGGCAGAACTGGTAGGCATCTGTGATTTTCTGTGCTTGTCCCTGTGTATGGGGAGTCAATCTTCCACTCAATTAATAAAACTTCATTATTGTTTTCTTCAGATGGGGACCTAACTTTCATTCTCTTGCTCTCTCTCTCTCTCTCTCTCTCTCTCTCTCTCTCTCCTTCCCTCCCTCTCCCTTTTGTATAATATCTCTGACATTCTCTCTATCCATATATGCTCCAGGCTTTATGTCATCAAGGATATAGATTAAGTCTTTACATTTCATTTTGGGTTTTAGGTCGCAATGATATGAATTTTGCATCGATTCAAAACACTTTTGATTCTTTGGGTGACTACTTTAAGAATTCAGTAAGTGTCGGAAATCAACAATGAAGCAATTATGGCTGGCACCTGTGTTATAGAACTTGTTTCCAAGACAATTGTTCTATCTATTTAGCCTTATCAGTCAATTGATATGACAGATTATGTGCTTATTGCTTATATTTGCTGGAAATGATAAATGTTTTTACACATTTACTTTTTTTGTCTTTATATCGGTGGTGTACAAAAAACAAAAAATAAAATTACAAAATCCATGATATGGTATGTATGTATTTAAACTTTGTTCAACTTCCTCCGTATTTGTAAGCTATAATTTGTACATGGCCTCTCAGGATAACAGCTTTAATACTGATAGAGTTACCCTGTTTAAAGTGGGACTGCACTACTTGTAGCTACTTGCGCCCTCTATATAGCAAACAATGCCTAAGCGGTACCTGTTGGTCCCCCATGATCCCCTTTTTGTTATGTTAATTGAGAGCTGAGTTGATGAGATAACCACCTGTCAGTGACCACACTGGTTGGTCTAATCCCTCCTAGTGCAGACATTCTTTAATACTGATATAGTTACCCTGCTTAAATAAAACAAATAGATAAATAGTTTTGAAAAATAAACCTCACCAACGACTTTGCTTGTACTTTTCTTCTTCTTGATTCAGCTGAATGACAAGAGTGAAGCCTTAGCTCACCAGCGGTTGGTCACCAAGATGTTAGCCAGACGTACTCAAGATCTAGAGGCCACCATGAAGAAATATGGTGACCCTTGAGTGAGAACAGTCTTCCAGGATGCTCCAGAAAACTTCAACAGTTGGGAAAATAGATCGGATTCACTTGCCCCAAAGTGTTTCCTAGAAGGATTATTTATTTTAAGTAACTCAATTGTAAGAAATATGGCAACCTTGATGCTTCCAGGATGCTCCAGAAATCTTCAATATTTGGAGAAAATAGATCAGATTCACCTTCCCCAAAGTGTTTCCTAAGAAGGATTATTTTCATTTGATTATCTCATTTGTGAGTTTGGTGAATTATATGAACACTGGAGATTTTCTAACACCAGGTTTTAATACTCCAACATATTTTTGTGTGCATGGTTGTCTTTCTCAATTTTCAAACAGACTAAATACAGGTATTTAAATGTTAATTAATACTTTGCTTGCCTAATAAGGAATTGGTGTTTATACTTTTATTTCCTGTTCTGATAACTTTGATTCATTTATTCTAAGGAGACACAGAGGCTGTACACAACTATACCGAGAACCGTTTGCTTTTGGATTGTGCTATTATTGTTTGATATTTTTGTTAGGATGGATGCTAAGAAAGCAACTTTGTTCTTATTTGTTGGCAGTCATGGGACCTTCAGTTTTTATTCCTATCTGAGGGACTAGGATATGGAGGATTGATACCTTGAAATAGAGTACTACATTCCTGACTGGGTTTTGAACCTGGGATCTGCTGTTCCACAGATCATTGTGCCAAACTAAACCACTGGGCCTTCTGGGCCATTGTAAATAATATAAAGTATATTTTCAAAGTGATTTGGCAAAATTGCATGATAACAACAAAAAAACATATCCTGTCGATCAAATTGTGCATGATGCCATCGTAATTCACTATAGAAGACAGATTTTGAATTTTAAAGTAAAGAAAAGAAATAGATAGGGGGCTGAAATTGCTGAAGAACGCAATATTTAATTTTAATTCAATACGCTGACTGTTTATTTAATTTCACCATATTTATTACATTCATATTGCAACAGTGATAAATAAGCATTTATAACATCATCAAGTTAACTTCTCAACTCATAAGATGAATTTATTTCATCGTATATTGGCATTATGTGCTTGTAACAATATGTTCACCTGTACTGACGTGTGTACTTATTTCATTGGGCTCTAATGCTGATTTTTCTTAAGATGTAATTAATTCTACTTGTCAGGCTATGTTTTATATTTATATTAATACTTATTCTTTGTGACAGGATATTTCTAAATATTATGAAATATGCTGTCAAGCCTTTCTGTAAAATTCTATTCATGGACAGTTGCTTTCACTTTTTTGTTAGCTTTAATTGCATTTTTTCAATGTTAATGGTCAACAAGGACATGAAGACACAAATATCACAAAGTAATACTGACCTTCTTTTCATAACAACAAGGTCATGATTATTTCGCAGTGAAAAATGATGAAAATAATGAAAGTTATAAATGTTTAACAAAACCACAAAGATATTTATGGTTTTTTGTAAGCGTCACTGTGCGACACCCTCTAACATTTAAATGTTTGGAATGGTATATGGAGCCAATTCATTACCTTGTGACAATTTACATTCACCTACAATTTAATTCAATTATAATAATATAGTTGGGAGAATTCAAAAATCGATGAGATCGGTTTTTCCCCAATTTTTATCATTAGTAATGGTTTTCGCTCAAACTTTCAGATTATCTTTAAATGTACATCAAGCATTGAAGTCACTACCTTAGCACCATTTTCTCTCATCTGAACAATGTTAACAAGTACCTTTAAGGGAAAAAAGTATTTGTCATGCCTTGCAGATTTTTTAAAGAGGCTAGCTGAGTTACTTGGTGTATTACGAGAGGAGAGCTATCAAAACTAAATTCATACATTTTCATATGTTACAACTTTACACCTTTTTCTGAATTAACTTTGAACAAATTAGAAATTTGTAACGTAATCCAAGTATCTACCTTTTTTTCTTTCATTTCTTTTTATAGTGGTCAAGATTTCGCTAATTATTTCCTCTTGTTTGGCTTCCAATCAAAGCATTTTTCATGTATTTATTTATCATTAGTTACAGTACTCGTTCATTTATTATTGTTATATAGACTTCTTCATACCTTGGTCTTTCTTAATATTGTATTATTGTGAAGTGTGTTCAACTACATGTGCTTCCAAAGTACTAGGTGTATTCAAATTTCTCTGTAAACCAAATATGTATTATTATATTTATTTGTAAATTCTAACTTTACTTCCATCTGTGTTGTAGATGTGAATACCTGGTGTTTGGAAGGTGAATTTAATGTGCATGCATTCTTGTGGGAGCCTTAACAATTTAGGAAGATTTAAAATATTGTGCCTCGTGGAGGCAAGTTGTTTCCAGATGAACAACACTCTCTGTATATCTGTATTTTTATATCTGGACTTTTCAATTCCTGCATCATATCTTCAATTTAACCTTAGAATACATGACACATTCTGCATTCTTCTTCTCTCTCTTTCTGTCTTTATATCTCTATTTCCCTTTCTCTCTCTTTCCGTCTGTCTCTTTATCTCTGTGCCTTTTCTCTTTTTGTCTCTTGATATTTTACACTGGTTTGTAACATTTTGTTAGTGTGTATTAATTTTGTGAAAATATTTTACTCTGGTACCATGTTGTATTAATCAAGAGGCTGTTCAGATCTTTCCAGCTATTCAGCATTATTAAGTTACCATGTGTGCAAATCAAAATATTGAAAAAATATATCAATAAAACATCTTAAGGAAATCAGTGAAATTCACTGCAAAAGTATTTCATTGTTTTTATGTGTATTTGTTCTTCTGCCAAAGCTCCACCCACATAAATATATTGGTGCACTTCAATAAGCTAAAATTTGTGTCTTTGCTTTTTCTCTCCCATTTGCTTGAATTAGATTACATTGTATATCAAGTGATTCTGTAGGCACAGAAGATGGACTTAAATAAATCTGTTTTTCATCTTTTCAGACTTTTTTCCTCATCTCTTCTTTCTCCCCATATCTTCTTTCCCCCCATCTTTACTCTCATCATCTTCATCCCTTATTTCTTTATCTTGAAGAACAAAATCAATTTCCTCTTTATATCTTTCTCTTATCGAACTCTCCCTTGATCACACCGTTTTTTTAACCCTCTTTTAAAAGGAAATTTTCCTCATATTCTTTCTACCAAGTAAGTAATTTTCCACAAAATAATTTCTCACATTTTTTTTATATTCCTAGCCAGATTTTAAACATACAGATGATTCCTCATTGCCTATGTGTTGTTTACATCTAATTTCCCAAACCTCATTCTATACCTCAAATACTAGACTCACTGTTGCCTCTATTACAGCAATCATTCATTAGAACACAATCAAAAGAAACATCAAGTATGTTTGTTTACTTTAATACAATATGAGACCACATACATACATTGTACAAGCACTACCTGGTGAATAGGATATTTTTTCTGTAACTTTGTGACAGTTGAAGTGCATTTACCACATGAACAATACATTTTGTTCTTAATATGATATGCCATGGATATATAAAATGGGGTGATGCAAAAATAGCTTGCATGACAATTCCACTAGTCTGTCGTAAAAACAAACTTACTTGTATGATAACAATCTCTGCTCACCTATTCCACATCTTATGGCCACATAATAGTTGTCTTGTGATTGCCTTTTTCCTTCAACCAAGGTGGCATACAATAACTTTTCAACTAATATGAATTACAAAAAGAAAACTTTCATATATTGAAAAAACAAACATAAAATAAGCAAAAGAAATGTACAAACATTCAATAATACGTTATTTCTGTCATAAAATGGTAAATACCATAGATTGCACCTCCATAAGAAATACTACAAAACATCTAATCAATCTAGTGTCATAATGGAGAAAAAAAAACAAGTGACAATTTCTATACTAGTACACTGCATAAAATCTTTGTCATTAAATTTACAAGCATAAGGAATGTAATTGTTAAAGGGAAGTCAACCCAAACATCCAGTTGGCTTTGATAAAAGCAAGGGGGCAGGGTTTCGATGAAAGTTTGCAGAAAATCTGATACTGGAAAGGCATGATATTTGAATTCACTGATCTGTTTCTCATATTTTCTGTTTTATTGTGGTAATAAAACTAAGCTAACATGAAGGTTCACTTCCATTTCAATCTGCACAAAAACGGGAACAATTAAATGTACATTAAAAGGGGTGATGGCAAATATGTATGCAATACATGGAGAGGGAGGGGGATACATCAATTATATATGGCACTCAGACATATATTTGTATACTTTCAAATTCTTAATTAATTAAGATTGGCCCAAGTAATATAAACCAAAAGACAGTCACAAAATAAAATACGTAGCTCTATGAATATATTGGCTGAACTTTGCAAACCTAAGTGACTCGATCCCTGTCCTATTCCACTGGGGTTGCAATTTGGCAATATCTAAATCTAGAGCAAACATGTGCATACTTATGAAACTTCATCTATTTGAGAACAATTTCTAGTACATATCATCATCCACAACGTTATTTCCAAACATTTCTTTTGCATTGCTGCATCTACACATACTCCACAATCCACATGAAACATAAAATCCTAATATACATATACTTGGCTTCATAAAAATGGCCATAGCTGCAAGAATAACTCATCTAAATATAATTTCACTTTGAATAATTACAATATCCACAATATTTCAAGGTGATGTTGACAAATTTAAATACGATGCGAGTACAAAGTAACAATTATAGTACTAAAAGTTTGTGATGTACATGTACTGAATACAATTAACATAATTTCAACATAACTAGATAGTAAAGGGAATGGCAAATACAGCTAATATTCATACCAATGCAGAAGCACAATATAGTTGATATCTATCAGTATTTATACAGCGCATACAATTTTTCACTCAAAGCACAAAACAAACTGCTAAATTCTTGGTACACTTCTGAATTCTAAGAATCTAATAATGAAATAATGAGCATAAAGGCACAAAACTATCATTTGTTCATCTACATTTCATTTCTTGTAAATGGTTTTTCTTTTTGTAGATGTTGCATTGTCAGGGATACCAGTTGGTTTCACCCCAATGGGCCTGAAAAGAGACTGACATGTTGTAGTCCAATATGTGCTGTAAATTAAGTTGCCTGAAAAAAGTCTGAAATCAGGTTATGGTCTTAAAATGACGTCCCTGCATCATAGACATTTAGCCTTCAATATATGACACTCAATGATTAATATATCAATGAGTGACATTCAACATTATCTGAAATGATTATTTAGTAGTTTACCTCTTAATCTGCTTGTGGCAAGTTCTTTGATCCGACTGAAACAGGACAATGTATTCGCTAAAGTGGTTATAGCTCAATGAGTATCATCTTATGTATCATATCCAATATTCTTAATACGCCACTAATGTTGCAGAACATTACTGAATATAACTTCCAACAGATTTCACAATTTTAAATACCATATTCTTTAAAGTTACCTAATATGAAAATAACAAGTTTTACACTGTGCTTATACAGCACACTGAGGGATGAACTTTAGCGGACATTGTCAATACAGTACATTCAATCACATAAACTCACATTATTGGGACTACATGTAGGGTTTGGTGCCTTTCACTGCCGAGCACTCAGCTCCACCTGACCTTTAACCTCAACTAATCCTTACCTGGCCTTAGGAATACGAGAAATGTACACTAATTTGTTCGCATCATGGTGCTAATCAATTTGCCAAGGTTATTGGCAAGAGCTTGCAAGTATGTATTCCTTTACATACTCAAAGGGCAATCCAACTCTTGTAATAATTTAATTTGAATGATAGATGAGTTCTGGTAAGGACAAATACACTGCAATGATCAAAACGTGATGAATCCATTCGTATTTTTGTTTCATACAATGAAAACAGTAATGTGCAACATAATTGTACAAAAAATACAAGATGTTCACATTTTGTGCAGACTTCAAGCTAATCAATGCTTACTGTGATTCTTCCAATAGCCATTTGAGTTGCTCAGTGAGCTAAGCAAATCAATGATTGTCACAACTTCAGGCTCTATGTACAATACACTAGGATGAACAACTCATTCACTGTAAATGTACACGCCATACATGAATTCAAATCAGCACAAGACAAGCAACCCACTGGACTAATTACCTGAAATCACATGTTTCATTTACTTTAAGTTTGTGCCAAATCTGAGTTGTCTTGAGACGCCTAACAAACAGAACACGTTTCCAAATGGGATTCTTGTTTTTATATGAAGTTAAGATTTGATAGAATGCTCGTCATCACAATTTTTCTCTTACCAGTACCCGACCACCACTTTATAAGACTCTTGTTTTTGCATTAACCCTGTTCAGTAAACCTCTCAACTCACCAACCCGTAATCTACTCAAATATAAACCAGGCACTGGTCTTGAGCTTTTGTTTAACATCAGGTTTAACAAAAAAGATTGGTCTACGGTCAAAATCTCCTTCGTTAAATGTGATCTTAGATCTAGGATCAAGTTTTAAATAAATTAGTGGAATATAGATTAAAACAACATCATCTATCACGTATGATGACCTTTAACCTTTAGTGAAACACACGACTTCTGGCGCATCGTATCCACTCACGCAGAAGGAATGGCCTTCCTTGTCAAGGAATTTAGCTCCGCATAGCTGTACGTCCGTGATGCATTCTTGGTGCGCAAGTGATACCTTCATGTACAATTAAAAGAGAGAGATTGAGGAGAAGTAAGACAAATTACAACAACATGGATACCAGGGCCCCCGTCTTATAAAGTGTTGATATTAATCGCAACTATGTACATAAGAGATGAAGACTGCAAACTTAAGATTGATTGGAGGAATTGGATTGATCCAAATCGATCGTAACTCTTTATAAGGCGGGGCCCAGGAGAGGATGGGCAGAGGGTGAGTTAGATGAAACAGGGGGCAAATCTGTCAACTATAGAGCACTTCAATTATGCATTCTAATTTAATGTTCATTTCCCGCTATGTTTTTTCAGTGTTTTACATGTCATCACAGGGAGGCATCCAAGTAATGGACCCTTTACTGTTTAAGAGTATTATTTTGCAAGCATTGGTTGCTGCAAGGTTGTACAGGTCTCAGATAAGTAGTCAACCTAAATTGACCTGGATCATCTCATGTCCTATAGCACCTTGTCTACCCAATCCAAGGCAAATGATGTATTCATTTATGTTACAATTTCATATTGACACTCACTTGGTCTTTAGCTGTTATAGGTGTTACTATCTAGAGGATAAGTCACCAGACTGTGGATCACATGGTCAGAGGTTAAAGTTCAAACTTCAGCACTCTATACCCCTTGGCAAGACATCCATTTATAATTAATGTGTTTACCTTTGCTTGGTTGTCATCAGCTTTCAATGACCATACTCTCAACATGGTGTCTTCGGATGTGGACAATAACTGGAAAACAAAATCAAAAGGTACAAAAGTTCTTAAAAACCTGGAAAAGCACATTTATATAAAAAAAAAATCATTGATCTTATGAATACATGCAACATTAGCAAGTTAGCTTCCACTTTCAGGATTCATTAATACAGCAATAATGTGATCTGAAATAATTAAAAGGCTACATCACACTTTTCAGGGGGGGGGGGGGAGGTGAGCTTTAACGAAAAATAATGTAGATTTCAAGTTAATTCAAATTCCTTAACATCATTTCACATTCATTTGTAAAATCTTTTTACATGTTTAATTGCCTACTTTTCATTATTGGCAGACTTCAATTTCAAATATACTTTCATTTAATAAATACATGAATTTTGACCCAAAAATCTGATATAAAAACACTACATTCCTCCCACTTCAGATATCTTATTAAATATTTTTGTATTTTGAAGATTATATAATTTCAGTGTTTTTATCTTGAGGTGGAAATAAATAAATGAAATGAAATGAAATTACTGACCAGGCCAACAGAGGGGGCTAGATCCATAGCATGAATCCACTTGGCATGTGCACATATTTCAGTCATGAGGTTTCCCTTCTGTGTGTCAAAGATACGAATATGACCGGTCCCATAGCCTCCTATTACCAGGTTCTTATACAGGCACAGAGATGAACATGTAGCCCTGCAAAGCAAAATAAACAAAGAAACACAATTATTTGAAGCTCAAACCGGTATTCTGAACACCGGTATAGTAATGCAACATGGATCTACTAACGGACAAAACAAAATTACATTTTGGGTTGATTGGTACTCTGGATATGGATATGAAACTTTTGGGGCTTATACCCGTATTCATTACAAAATGCTGGGTCCCTATACTACGTTTCACAATCCTCATAAATTTCTATCATACTCGGTCTCAGTAGGCCTGTCTTCATCAGCTCAAGTTTACATTATCCCGAAGCTCGAAATTGCGTCTTCACCAGGCCGAAACGCTCATCACAAACTTGCTCAGACGAGCACAAATTAGCCAACTATTTCCCAAATAGCGGGATATTTTCAAAACAAGACCAAGATTTCTCAGGATATTTTCTTGACCAAATATACCACCAATTGCAACTGCGGGCTGATGAAAACGCAAATTAGCTGGATAATTTGCGATCTGAATAGTTAAAATAGCGGGTTATTTGGCAAACTGGAGCTTGAGAACTGATGAAAACAGGCCCATTAGGGTTTATAGTATTTATTCAAGTGATATTAGAGAAACTGACCCTCCGCCGTTGATCCTGGTCAACTGATAGAACTTAGGTCCAGCCTGCCAGACCATGATGCAACCACTATCATCACCGCTAGCCATCAAGTCCCCTGCACCGGCTACTGCGCTGATGGGATAAGAGTGACCGCTCAGTGTCTCACTTAGCTGGACATTGGTTCCTCGAGATGGGATGGAAAATACCAGTACAGAACCAATGGATGTACCTAAAGATGAATTTTAAAATATAAAGAGTACAAAGGATTTACATGATTAAAATGATAATGAAACTAAAAGACTACAAAAATACAAAATTTCTATCATTACTAGTAATACTACTACTATTAAAACTTGTATTACTGTTACTATACTACTACTATACTACATGTACTACGACTAATACAACAAAAACTACTATTACTACTACTACCACTGCTACTACTACTACTACTACTACTACTACGAACACTAAACTAGACACAACGTGATTGTAATGTTACTACGTGAAAGAATTATATCATTTTATTTTAATATTTTCAATGGTTACTCTTTTCTATATCAATGCATTATATGTTCTGCATGACAGGAAGTTCTCATATTCAATGTACATATTAATTTTACAGTGTTCTATCAAATTCATCCCAAAAGAACTTAAAAGGTAAAGAAAGGGAAAAATACAAATACGGTAAGCAAGACATGCATCAAATAGACGAAACACTGTTCATACATGTGAGCCCATGCCACAAAGTTGAAATGATAAAACATAGAAAGTGAGGTATACAGAGGTAAACAGGAGAACATAATGTGCAGTATAGGACTTGGGTCATATCTTTAAATTATTTTCTTTGCTACCATCATACGTTTCTTAGTTACCGTACATTTATTATAAGGTAACTACGTATAGAACCCGCCATCTGCAGTGGAAGCAGCTGCTGTGATAGAAGTAGTGGTAGAGACCGAAGTAGTAATAGTAGTAGTCACGGTGGTAGTGTTATGTAGTAGAGTATTCAATTTCAATAGTCTATGTCTGTTTATGCTTTCCTCTCTTTTGTAACAATTTGTCTTTAAAATCTTTATATTCCTCCACCTCTATCATAGTAACTGGAATTCAATTTTTTTTTTTTTTTTTTTTTGAGGGGGGGGGGGGGGGAGGGGTAGATTGAAAATGTTACAGTCAGTAAGCCGGGTTAAGCCCCCAACAAAAATTGTGAAATCGAGGGGGTCCTAAGTTAGAATTTGGCAACCCATGTGTCATGGGTGCCTCTCAGTAAAGGCCATAAGTTTAGGGATCCTAAGAAATAAAACAACCCTGCAAAACATACATATACACTGGTACAATCCTACAAAACCTATCTCCTGTAGGTGTTTTGATAACAAAAAAACAATATACGGTAAATAAAATGGTGTGCAAAAAGTATAACTGCAATCCGTGCTGACAAAAATTGTTCTCAGTAGTCACAAATACCGAACCTGGCGATTCGGGATCACGAACGAATGCAGCCCCTGAACGCAGTTAATTGAGTGGAAGGAAGAAAATTCCATTCAGATTGACTTGTGCTATTCTATTCACTGTGCAAACTTGTACTATATTCAAGACAAATTTTCCCCAATCTAAAGGTTTTGTTCCTAACAGTTCAAGGAGTATATATACGTTAATATCAATAATGTTCTCAACTTGACACACATCAAATAACCAGAGAATTAAAGCATAATTTCCTCGTCTTTAATAAATGAAATATATATGCAAAAATTATCAAATTTATCATTTTTTAGGTTTTGATATAAAATTTGTCCGGAGAATTACCGGTATAGGAATGCAAGTACAATGGCACCCCCTAAAGAATGGAGGGCAAGACATAAAAAGAACAATGAATTCTGTAAATTTACATTTTGCACACAAGAGTAGATGGTGTTTGAAAGTAATGTAGGAGAGAATCTAGGTAAATAAATAAAGTTGAACATGGTCTGTACCTTGTTTGCGAGCAACTACAGCAACAACTATAACTACACCCAAGATAGTTTAGAATGTACATGATAGCATGCAAAAGTGTTATAAATCCACACTGATTATATCCATATTAAATCAATCATGATTACAAAAGCTACCTTCATGTATGCAAATCCTCTAAATAGTCAAACCTGCCTTTCAAATGACAACCTGTATATAAAGATCGCTATATTCTTTGTTTCCCTTAAGAAGAAAAAAAGTTTCTCATTGATACCTGTACAAAGGTACTTGAATAAAGGGGACATGTACATACATGTAAAGAGCTCCTGCTTTATATAAAGATCACCTTTTTTGCCTCCCTCGAGAGCGGTCTTTATATACAAGTTTCGCTGTATCAGTTTGTACATTTGCCCGGTACTGTACTACATAGATCTATCTCAAACAAATACAATCTAAATACTGTATCATCAACTATTAAAGCCCATCTGCACTAGTTTGGCCAGGGGGATTACCTCCCTGCCAGGTCACTGAAAGGTGGTTATCTCATCAAATCAGCTCTCAATTAACATAAGAAAAAGAGGATCATGGGGGACCAACATGCACCGATTAGGCATTATTTGCTATATAGAGGGCGCAAATAGCTATATGTATAAGTAGTACAGTGGGGCTTTAAAGAAGAGAGGAAGCTAGAACCTTACCAACTGCAATGAAGCTATCTAGCACAGATGCTATCCCTCTGGTAAATAGAAAGCCTGCAAAATAGCAAGAATAGTATAATGTATCATTACGTATAGATACCATCATTATAGGTTAAAGTTCTTCAGGTACAAAAGCTCCCACAATGGCCCAATGAATTGGATATCAGCAGTCAAGTTTTTACAAACTTTCAAAATAGTCTATTTGGGCAAATAAGCAAATATATAAACCTTCAATTTAGAGAAATATATCAAATATAAGTCAATTCAATTCAATTCAATAAGGGTTTATTCGTATGATGTTCTGGCAGCCAAAGCTGAATTGCAGATCATTTGTACAAGGTAAAAACATCATGATATTTAAAATACACTGAGCATTATACATGTTGACATAAAATAAAATTAATGACATATAAAAGGATAAAAATACTGGACACATTTATACACATAATAGGCAACACCATTAAACATAAACATATACAAAAATATATGAAGCTTACTTTTTTGAATAATAATCGTTTAAGATACGAACAAAATAGGGAATAGAGCTGTTATTAAAGCGACTAGTTTTACAAATAAATTGAGAATATTTCTGTACATTTCGTAAATTAACTTTAACACTTCTTTGACTTGGTAGCCATAACGAACACAAATCATGCTTTTCTAATTTAATGGCGAAATCAAAACAAAGTTTATTCCTACGTTCTTCCAACGTTAACAAATTGCACAGTTCTAGAGCATGATTATATGTTTCATAATTAAGTCCCAAAATAATTCTACATGCCCGTTTTTGTATTCGTTCAATATTATCTGTTTGTATACGTGTTAGGTTGGAATGAAAAAGTGGTGCACAATACTCTAAAATTGGTCTTATGTATCCAGTATAAACAATAACGAGATCAATAATAGGTAAATTAAAACGTTTCAAGGTACGTAACATATATAACTTTCTATTGCACTTCTTTAACATTTCCTTTACTTGAGTATTCCATTTTAAATCACATTGAATATAAACTCCAAGAACTTTGATTACATTTTCTTCATTTAAAAGTGTCTCATCAATATACAACAGTTGGTGAGTTTGATTTTTCATAAAAGAGACTGTCATAGCAATGCATTTAGTTGGGTTAAGTTTCATATTATTGAGTAAAGACCAATTTTCTAATAACAATAATTCCGATTGCAATTTTGATATTTGTGTACAAGTCCGGCTTTCTACTATAGTTAAATCATCCACATACTTATAAAAAGGGAGTAAACAATCATGACACGCATCGTTAACCATAATTAAAAATAATATAGGCCCCAATTTTGTACCTTGAGGGACTCCTACATTGTTATTTTTTACATTTGAAATACGACCTTTATACCTTACTACTTGTTGGCGGCATTCTAAAAAATCTACTATTAATGAAATGACACATGGTCGTACATCCAATTTAACAAGTTTACAAATTAAAATATTATGATCAATCCGGTCAAACGCTTTAGAAAAATCGGTTAAAACTATTGTTGAAATTGTTTTTTGTTTATCTGCATTTTTGTATAAATTATGTAACATTGCAATTAAATAATGGCAAGTAGAAAGACCACGACGATTTCCATACTGGTTTTTATCAATAATATCACCAATATCCTCACACAACCATTTAGTAATGAAAGTTTCAGCTATTTTAGCAAAGTAAGAAGTTAGGGCTATGGGCCGTAATTCAAGTAGAGTTGGTGGATATGATTTGGGTACTGGTACTATCTCAGCATACTTCCATACTTGTGGAAACACCCCTTGCTTAAATGTAAAATTAAGAATATAACATAATGGAAAAGATAACTCATAAGCAAATTCACGTAATATTCGGACAGGTAAGTCGCCTAAAATAGTCGATTTTTGTAAATTAAGTTTACGTAACAGATCATACACTTCTTTCGATTCTATTATTGGGCAATCCACAGGTGAAGGTAAATATGCTGGTAACTTTGTTTTATCAAGTTTCGGTAGGTCTGCTGCCACAGATAAAAACTTATCGTAAATGCAATCGGCTGCTTCCTTAAAATGTTCAGGCTGATCAGTTGCAATACCTGGTATGTCAATGGATGGTTGATCTTGAGGTCCTTGAGTTATGAGTTTTATATGACGATACCAATCAGCGGGATTATTTATTTTAAGTGTATGAATTCTTTTATTATAAAATGAGTCCTTAGCTAATATTATTGCATCTATAACTTTGTCTCTAAAATATTTCCACAGCTCTTTATTACAAGAGTGCCAAGCTTGCTGTCTTCGTTTAATTAACGATTTTATCTCACTAGATATCCAAGGTTTATCACTTTCATGAAATTTGATAGTCTTAGTAGGTAGGGACTGATCAATATGTTCTCGCACAACATTATAAAATAAATGACACATATCCGACGGGTCAATGATTTGATACAAATCTTCCCACGTGTGACGGGTTATCCAAGTGCCAAACGCTCGGATTCCACTATCTGTTAGAGGGCGTACTATTTTTGTCGACACTGCATAGTACATCATTATTTAGTTCCAATGTACATTTTTGATAAAAAAGAATACATAGCAATGAAATAATCACATTTTGCATATTTCAAAAAGAAAACTTATTGATGTAGATTTCAGAAATTATTTTTTAGTTGCTATGTATTCGATGAGCTAGGTTTATGAATTAAAGATATTTTATGAAGTATATTTAATTTACCATCGTTGCCATCAGAGTTGAATAGAGCATGCCAAAAGACCAATGCTGAGCTATCTGGTTCAAACATCTAGAAGGATAAAAAATCAAACAAACAAACCATTAGTGAAACAGAAAATAGATTCAATACATTCAAATATACATGTATCTGCATGTACACACACTCCTTACCTATGATCATCAATTAATGATATTTCATTCCTTCTTTCCTGCGTTACACACGAGTCATGTACAGAATAATGTGCAATTGCCTTGATGCACTTCCAAAATTCTTTAGATTAGTTTCTCACTTTCTCTGCATCAGCCCATATCTGCACTGAAAAGGCATTTATATTCAGACATACATGTACATGTACAAGCAAGTATTTAATTGAATACTTCAATTAAATACATCAGAAATATGAATATTTTGACCAACTTAATATTTTGCTCACATGTTTTTTTTGTGCATGATCAATAAATATGAATTTAATTTAATTTAATTTAATTGATATTTAGGCTGAGATAAAATATTTAGCCAACTTGTACGTTTGGCTTAGTAAACAAAAATATGTTGACCTGTCATATAACAAAATTGTGATGGATGATCCTCTATAATTCGATCACACACATTTACAAACTCATTTTATTACATATTTTTTATTGATATCAATTATCAACTTGTGATTGATTTTATTTGAATCAATCACAACTTGTTGTTATATTAGAGAGGACCCAACGTATTGGTTTATTGATAGTGTTTTCTCACCTGTACACCTTTCTGACAGCATACCACCATTAGAGTTCTTGATGGCAACTCACAGAATTTGGCCTGCAACATACAAAAACAAAGAAACATATTGTCTATAGTTTTGCCCAATTCGTTTAGTGGATCTGCTCAATCTAAGTTATACACATTGCTCCAGAATAACTGAACCACTTAACATTCATGATATCTAGAGCAATTAGACCAAGATCTTTTTGTTTCATCCGCGTCATTATTTTAAGCACTTTCAATTGACATCAACATGAACATTGACATTCAAAAATGATTCCATCTCTCTCATCCCAATTACGCAAGCACTTAAAACGCTATTAAACCAACGTCATCAATCTGTTTAACAGTCTTTCAATTTCTCTTACAAAATTATTATAAGTAATATTAATAATAAGTGTATCTTTTTGTGCCTGTGGGCTTTGTGGCTTCAATTTAAAATTAAAAATTTGCTCATGCCTCGTGGATCATTTTGTATTTGTATTGTATATTTATACCTAGCTAGATAAAAAGAAGAGCAAGACAACATAAGTCAGATTGTCAGTCATTTGGTAAATCAAATGAGTATCAATTCAATGATAATAAGGTTCCATGACAAGATAAATCTACCTCAAGGATGGCTGCATTCTGAGTGACGCCTGCCACATCTTTGCAGTGCAGTTGTCGCTGTGTGACATTGGGGCTGACACCGCTCCCCGCTCCTTCGCTAGCACAGTTCGAGATATTCACCACCGCCTTGTGAACAACAGCGTAACATGTCACATTCCGCTCCGGCGAGCACAGAACAGAAAGGTTGTTGTATCTCAACGACGCAGAGCTCTTCAAATGTACTGATTTTGATTTATGATACATGATGATTAAGGTGTAATTTCAGCTTTCCCAGGCTCAATAACAAGGGTCATTCATTCAGAAGCGTCCTGTAGTGAAGGCAATCGGGTCAAGAGGTGGTTATCTGTATTACGTCGCAGATGGCGACAGACACATTTCGGACACGGTGCATGCCGATGGCAGACCTCGGGAAGTAAAGTTGCTCAGGGCGGTCTGAAAATCGTCTAAGGCTTCCTAATATGGCAAATCTAAAGATACGCTGTAATACAAACAGGGCTAAATGTTTTTCCCGATTTCCCATTCTCTCCTGTTGTCCCCCTTTTTCTTTGTTTCCGTTTTGTATAAAATATATTTGTTGTTTTTCTTTCTCCCTCATTTATCTTTTTGATACAATTAGTCCTCTCTTCCTTTTTGATAATTAATATAATCATCTGATAATAAACTATAAGTGGAGGACCCCCTCCCCATTGTTAAAAAAATACTGTATATTCTCTCTCTCTCTCTTTCTCTCCCTTTCTTTCCAATCTCTTCCCTTCTTTCTCATAATTTATCCCGTTCATAATTCTCATACCTTCATTTTCCTTCTTCTCTTTCACCTACTAATCTACCTTTCTTTTCCCATCTTTCTTGATCCCTCTATCCCTTTCCTTCTTTCTTTCTTATTTCTGATGCCTTCTCTTTATCCTCTAAATCTCTCACTTTCTCTCTCTTTCCACTTTTCCCCATCCTTTTTTCTATGACACATCTCCTTCCTTGTTTAAGGAATAGATTTGTACAAACTTAGCAAACCCTAGTGGCAGAAAGAACTGTGTCTGCAATGTCCTGTAAGGACAGGCCCGAGCAGGATTATACGCGCATGTCATATCTATATCATCCATATACATAGCTAAGAGTCCTTTAGCCTAGATCAGGCTAGCCAATAGCAAAACAGTTGCCAGATAAAGATGAACCACAGCATGAGAATACTAACAAAAATCCTACATCTCTAACAGACACCGCTTTTAGAGCCACCAGAATTCATAAGTATTGAAATATAAACACCAAAGACATATCTATACAGAATCATAATTGTTTATGTTTTAATACAAAATATATTTCATTTCACAGTAGTTCTCATTTTCAACAAGCTACTACATGTACATTCATTATTAAACTTTGTGCTTGAATATTGTGCTTCTCCCACAAAGAAAATTAAAGAACTCCATATATTCACGTCTCAGTCAAATATTCATGTAATAATGTTGAGTGAAACACAGTAAATGAACTAATCAACGATAATGGAAATGCATGTAATGTTTATTCATTCTTATGTAAAGAAAGAAACATAACAGAGGGAGGTGTTGCAGTATATATGAGAAATGATATCAATTACATGTTTAGAAACAACTTAAAGGGATAGTTGAGTTCTGTTGCAGAGGGCGCTACACAAAATATTTTTTTTGCGAGATAATGAAAAACTGAGTGTCAAATTTGAAAGAACATAATATTTAAATGGCAAAATCATCTTTGTTTGATCAAAATCAGTTCAGAGACGGCTGAAATATAACGATTTCTAATACTTGTGTACCACCACAAACATTAGATATTTTGACAAATTTGAAAAAAACTGTTGAAAAAAACGAAATAATGCCTTTTACGTCGTATTTCAGCCAATGCCGATGTTGGCTTTTTGTTGGCATTTTCATGTTGCTTATATTACCCACAATTCGCCGGCTCATGTATTGTATTTTTTCATTAAATAATTAAGTAACGGTCACCATGTTTTTTTTTAAAGTGGAGCTGAATTGGTATGATCGTATTGGCTAAATTTCACACATTTTGGGGTCTAAAATTACCTTAATAACAATTTTAGGTTCTAAAAGGGCACTATAAATGTCATAGATAAGAATAAGAGCAATAACCATGCACTTTGAAGGCATTTGCGGTCTGAAAACAGAACTCAACTATCCCTTTAATGGATGATCAGTTGGAAACAAATGCTGATTATTGAAATCAAGTGTACAAATGTAAAAACCATTGCTGATTGTTATCTGGTATAGACTCCCTAATGCCAATTGTTTGAATCAGCTCTCTAAAGAACAGAAGATTTAGCCTATGAATGTAGCCTGATTGGTGATATGAATTATGATACAATGCTAGATGATAACAAGTGGAAAAAAAAACAGTTACATGAAATAACTGAAGTTTTGGATATGTGCAACTAGTAAAAATCTGCAACTAGAGTTTCTGCTACTACCTCTTCAATGACTGATTTAATCAAAAACTGTAGAAAATTGGTAGAGCAGAAGTATTACCCAAGCACTAAGTGATCATTACCTGGTTTCCTGCACTTGGGGGAGAAACTGAATTCACAAGAATGGTGAGCACCAATACAAAACTACTAAAAATTTGAAAAAGATCAATTACGATTTATTATAAGAGGAATGTTTCTACAAAATCTTGGGAAATTATTTTGAGGGAAACTATTTTGCAGGAAACTAACTTAGAAGTAGCTCAATACCTAAACTTTGAAAACATAACCTTTAGACCCAGGGTTCGAGCCCTGCAGTGGCACCAATGTCCCTTAGCAAGACATTAATTTACATGTTGATAGTACATGGGCTTGGTGTAGACCATATAGGAATAAACCAATTGGGCAGTAGACGAACTGGTTGTAGACTCAACAGCAGTACCGGTAAACCAAATATTTCCCTATGGGTGTCAGCCTAATAGTGGCCCATGTTCTAGAAACATGTATCAAGAACATTTCCTGACAGTTTTAATCTTTTACCATAAATCATAAAAAAGTTATGATCGAACTAAGAATTATCTTTTTATTTCTTTGCTTTTGTAGTTTGACATTGAGCAAACTCGTGAACCCAAGGCCACCAAAATCATGTTTTGCAAGCAGATTTCATACAGAAATATCCTATAAATCCATCTGAACAACTTACATCTCCATATACGGTAAAGCAAGCAATTGGCAACATAGTGTTGTAAAACAATCCCTCTAAACCACTCACATTCAAGTTCCAATAGAGGTATTCTATCAGCTATCCTGTAACGTTATACAGTGAAATCTGTCTATAAAGACCACCCGAGGGAGAAGAGAAAAGTGAGTGGTTTTCATAGGCAGGTGGTCTTTATATCCAGGTTCCTTCAGTACACGTTTCAATGAGAAACCCATTTTTCAAGGGAAACAACAAATTTGGTCTCTGTAGACAGGTGGTCTTTCTACACAGGTGGTCACTGAAGCAGGTTTGACTGTATATTAGTTCTTTGCCTGTGATGCTTCTCCATCCTCCATCTCTTCCTCTTCCTCCTCCTCCTCACTGGATGTTACATCAGGGTCATCACACTGGAGTCTGCACTTTGAGCAGTCACAGCTAAAGAGGTAGTTCTCCCTGATCAGAGAAAAAAATTGAAAAACATATTGATCATTATAATACTAACTTCTGAGTTTCAAATTTATATCAAACCTCAGACATAGGCTATAACAAATTTCCCCCTAAATATATCACATATAAAACACATTGGTAAGGAAAGTTTTTAATCAAATTGATGTTTTAAATTGACACAAAAATCATTTTGTGGCTTTAAGCTTCATCATACCTAAAAAACAATTTTCAATAACAAAGATAAGCTTCCTTTTGAAGAAAAAATATATATTTGAACTATAAACAACTTTGAGCAATTGAAACTGATTGAAGAATTGAAAAGATTGATTTGGGTCCAGGTTTTAAAGTAAGGATTTTGATCATAACTGTCACAAATTGTCTGTAAGCTATTATCACTTGACCATATGTTGTACAATCGCTGGATCACATGGTGTTTTAATGCTGCACTGAAAATGTATTAGAAGGAATTATTCAGTTACTTGAATGGGACTGTTTGTAACCTTTTCATTCAAATTTACAAAAAGCTACATTAAGATTCACTTCTAATTAAGCGGGTTAGACTCACTGACAGAGTCCTTGCCCATCCATAATAATACCCTCAGGGTACATACTAAACCAGGGAGACTTCCAAGTCAATATAAAACAATGCCAAGGGCAAATTCTCTCAAAGAGGGGGCCTGACGAGGGTAAAAAATTAAGTAAAGCTTTTAAAGTTTCTTTGATCCCCTCAAACCACCTCCCTCAAACCACCATGCCCACAGGGAACATTTCCTTCAATTTTGACCAAATGTGAAGAATTTTTTTTTGCTGAGAAGCCTACTTACCGTAACTCTTTTTGTCTAGAATGTCTGCTCCTTTCTTTACAGCATTTATCCAGATAGCTGATTAATACTTCCTATATGAAAGAATATATTATATACCGGGTGTAAAACACATTTCATACTTTTGAACAATAACTTCTAAAGAGTTATAAGTCACATCAAATTCAAGTTTGAATCTTATGAAGTTACAGAAAGTAACATATTTGGAGTATGTTTTAAAACATTTGATCTGATTTTGGTTTCAAAATAATGATTTCAAATTTAGGAATGGGGGGTTAAGTTCTTTAATTCAAAGCTATAAAACATGCATGTAATGGTAATCAAGTAATTCAGAATATAACATAATTGTGCATTGTAGCTGATATTCCGAAAAAAATTACAATCCAGTCTCATAACAGTTTTGTTTATAGATAGCTTACAACACCGTTGACAAAACTGATGGCAACACCTAATCTTGACTTTTCATCTAAAATTTGGATTTTCGTTGTGTGATTTGCAATATATTCTTCCAACATACTTCTTATAACATCCACACATAAACAGCCTTTTATGGAATGAATATCATTATATATAGCTTTGATTAAGCATCAATTATTTGTTCAAAAGCTTAATAACAAAATTCCAAATTTTAGTTCTTTGAAGAAGAATATTATTCAATATTATGAAGACGAGAGATATATTCATTCTATATCTGGTATGTATAACAAATTTGTTACTAAATGGCAGGCACTTCAACATTTGTTTGTATGAACAACAAGGAGAGAAATGTGAAAGTATTCTGTTTTGTTTGAGTTAAGGAAATATTTAATTTCATTGAATTGTAAAAATGTTTGTCTGACTCAATAAAATAGCCTATGGAGGGCTAACACGTTTAAAAAAAAAAAATTAAATATAGCTATATGTGTTGCCAATTTGAAATAGGGAAATGTGGATCATACACGTTGATTCTTGTCATTGATAAATGAACAAAAAATATTCTTACCTGTCCCTCAGTAATATCTGTGAGAGCAACAAGGCTAAGGGTGGAGTTATTGTGAAGAAAACTAATCTCTGCGTTTGGTACACAGCTGTGATTACCTGCATACACAAATGGATAAATAGAATGTAAATGAATGCCACATTTGATCAAGCAACTTTCACCAAAAATGTAGGACTAAGATTACAAATCTAATTTGGATTTTGGCTAGAGTTAGACTTAGAGTTAGCATACCGATTAATTTTAGGGTTAGGGTTAGGTGTACTTTGGGGTCTAGGAATAAAATCTGGAGTTGATTTTGTGAAGTTTCCTATATCCTCATTACTCATTGGCAGGTATTATACATTCATATTATTATACATTCAGTCTTGATTATTCCATGGAAGTTTGGTTCATGTGGAAATTCATTAGCTAAAATAAATAAGTAAAGAAGCATCCGAGTACTTACAGCAACTTTGGAGTTTATAGAGAGCTGAACCCTCACAATTCAGGAATGCTCCTGATTCTAAGGAAATGACAAAATGAAATAAAATGTATTTAATACCTCTCTTTTAGAAATCTAGCCATCTAATTGTTTGAAATGAGAGTCGTGATTTAAGCCATGCCGCCTACCGATCAATAGTTTTTTTAAAGATGCCAGCTGCCCCGGGTAACGGGCTGCATAAACAAATTTTGGTAAAATCCCCATTGGTTTACGTGTTAACAGTTTCTTTGTGCGAGCGCGGATACAAAATACAGTGCATGCAAATGATTGTAACATTCAGGCAACTTTCCAGCGAAGATTTACAGACAGTATCTCAGATTTTCTGTGATGTTTTAACCAGTCTTTACTCAAATCTTCAAAAAAAGGATAAGGTAAGAATTGTTTGTAGATTTTTTTGTGAATTCGGTATATAAAAGATATAAAGACTTTAATATTCAAGGCATATTTGTTTTTATAGGCTCAAGGGGACGTTACATCCAGCTACATACCTGCCAACATTTGAAAATGAGAATTAAGAATTTTTAGCACGGTATGTCTTCGAAAATAAGAAATCCTTACTCTTAACAGGCGTTCGCACATGCAGCGGCAGTGTAACTGGCAATACGGGATAAATCTGTGCAAAAAAGCGAATACAAATTCGCTGCTCAATCGTGCAGCCCTTCAACGCACGCAATACGTGAACTCTCACATCGCGGCATATGATAAAACAAGCTTAATTTGGCTTAAGCAACACAACAACAACAAAAAACAACAACAACAACAACAAAAACAAAAAACAAAAAAAAAAAATCGAAATTTTGAAAATCTGGAATCTCCCGCATTTTGGGGTCCTAAAAATCCAGAAAAACGGGATATTTCGGATTATTCGGGATGGTTGGCAGGTATGCAGCCAACCCCCCCCCCCCCCCCCCCCCCCCGAGGCATGCTTCCTCTCCTAGCAGTCAATATATTTATACAACAAAATCTTACCAACATAATTATGGTTAGGCATTAATCATCAATTGAGAAATCTAGTGTATGGATAAGGATTGATAAATAAGAAAGAGAAAAAAGTCAGTGAATTTTGTTAGAGGAGGAGGGATGATCAAAAAATTAAAAAAATTAAAACAGAAAATGTTTGACAGGGACCAATGTATCCTTACCCGAGACAAGCAAACTCTTTATAATCACAGTTATAGTTAAATACATCTTCAGTTAGGTCCGCAAGGGGTTTAAACATGTAACAGCAACAGGTTTGAAATTTGATTGTACAGATTTAAAAATCAGCTCTAGGTTTAAATTTTAATTGTACAGGTTCGAAAGTCAGCAACAAGTTAATATTCATTCTCAACCCACATTATTCATGAAATATTGGAGACAAAAACTGTTTGAAATGCTTCAAATGGCGCTCAGATTGCATCAGAGTGCATGTAAGAACCCAAGAGCTTTGAAGCAAGCAATAAGACCCAGCCTCACATGGGACTTTGTGCTTCACAGACATGAGTTCATAGTCCTTAAAGTCCGGCCCCCCCACTCAGTGTTATTTAGGGTACGCATACATGTATGCATGTTCCAACCGACCCCTCCTTTTCAGCAAAAGTCCGGTGTGTAAAGTCAATACGGGTCGACCTTTTTCTTTTGTTACGAAAAGGACATTTTGGCAACACGCATGGGGTCCGGGCCTTAAAGGCATTGTTTAACAATGTTTAATCTGAGATGCATGGACCTACATGTTATCAGTGTCTGTGATATGGTGCAATATTGAAGCCCTAAAAAAATTGCGCTTCAAAATGATCATGAAGTGCCTCAAAAAAAATTAAAAATCTTTGAGTGACCGGCTTTACCATACTCATTTTCCCCAATAGACTGTAGTGTTAAGAAAACTGTCAGGAAAATGTAAAATTTTCTTTCGATTTTCAATCATAAATATCTTGATAATCAGACAGGCGATCGGCTGGTATAAGTCATGGGTTCCTGACTGACCTAAAGGTTTATAATTATCATCGCAGCATGAGCTAAATCCAGGATTTTGTATCAGAATCTGAGGCAATTTTACCGAGTCACTTTAAAGCAAGCAACGGAACCCAGCCTCATGGGAGTTTGTGCTTCACAGACATCAGTTCATAGTCCTTATTCCTTATTCCACATTCCAATTTAGATTTTTGTTTGTGAACTACCCTGCATATCTGAAATATCACTAAAACAAGGAATATCACTAAAGCAAGGAATGTCACTAAAACAAGGAATATCACTAAAACAAGGAATATCCTCAGCTATTTTGAGTGTACAAACATGATGTCTACAATACCTTTCTCCATTTCCACATAAAGCTGGTCAATAAACTGGTCTAGATTATGTCTTTCCTCTGCTTCCAAATCAAGCTCATCACAATTGTGTACATATACACTAAGAGAACTGAAATAAATAAAATTAAACAAATTAAAAAATATTTTCTTTGTCAATGAATGCTATGCCACCACATACCCAAGAAAGAACACTTGTCCAAATGCACTCATGAGATACTAAGATTATGTGTAATGAAGATATTTCTGAACAGCAAAATAATGCTATAAAATTATGCAGTAATTTAGAATCACTAGAGACAACTTTTTTCTTCCACTTTCTATATTTCCTTTCTTATAAAAACTCTTGATTACTTTTTTTTAGACTATACAAGTTCATGGTAAGCTAACATAGATATTAAGCTACAATATTGAAAATGTTCATGGTAGTTATTTGCAGTTGACATGAATTTCAGGATTATTTTAATTCATGCCAACGAAGCCAAATAGAACATATTTTGTGAGCTTTTTAAAGACCTCTGGAGTAGTTACATTACCTAGACCCGACCCCTTGTCCATTCATACCAATAAGAGCAAACGGAGATCTCAAGCCCCCTGGAGTAAACCACTAGAATGGAGAGAGAAGCATGGAATCAAGATTAGAGAATGAAATAATAGTAATAATAATTGGTCAATTTATATAGCGCAGCTACTATATGAATATACTCTACTGCGCTTAATACAAGGTATCATATCATTACTCTGGCTGTAGCTGAGCTGCCATGATAAGGCGCTAAAGCATTTCAAGGAATTAAATTCCTGCCAGGTACCCATTAGTGCCGCGGGGGGACTCGAACCGCAGACCTTGTAATCAACAGGCTGGTGACGTATCCACTCGACCACGACACCTCTAAATGAAAGACATTGAACTGTTTATTGTACAGAGTCTCCTTTTGGAGTCATCACTTTAGCCTCAAATGGTTTAAAGTCTAACTAGGAGGTCTAGGTCTATTAGGAATATATCATAGCAACATTGAACCCCTAATTTACAAAAAAAAATACTTTTTGGAGGTTGGTACATTTTCAACTAATATGCATAGTGCAAGAGCAGAAAGTGCAAAAAAAATATTTTAATCAATTTTCTGTTAAGATAAATAGTATGGTGAGTAAATGAGAACATTTTAAAGACTTTAAATGGCACAATACCTGAGCAACTGATTCTTCATGGAGTGCATTGAGTAACAAAGGCTGAAGAGCTTCATACTGACCCTGCAAATACAACAAAATAACAATAATTCATAATAATTCCATAATTATGAATATATATCAATTTATATTACCATTAACTCTTATCCTGCCATAATGAATACAGCCCAGTGTCATAGGGCTAATCCCCATAGTGCCAAGCCACAAATCCCCCCTGTGCCAAGTTTATTTTGAGATAATCTGATGGTGCAAGCACTCAGCACAGTACAATGAGCATGAACTATAACTGCTAATACGAATGCAAGCATGCCAATCGATAGCACGCTCGTGTGAACAAAGCACTATAACGGTAGCGTGCATGCAGCCTTATGGCAGGATATGAGTTAAAACAACTGTACTGGGTATTTAAAAGTCGTTTCTTCTAATTACTTTCCTTTAAAGTTTCCCATCTTTTAACTACACCGTCCACTCATCAAAAATTATGTACATGATACTAATCCTCTTTACTCTGGCAAATACAGTTCAAAGATTATATGCTCACAGAAATATATTTACTGAATTGAGCTGAAACTGGTTGACAAAAATCTTTCGAAATAAAAAGAAAGTAAAATGTTATGCAAAACTAATTTGGAGAAGTGACCCAACATATGATTGATCGCTATTGATTGACTCCTTTAAATCTCAACTCAAGTTGAGTTTGACATCAATTATATACAAATAACATTTGCTATTGTACTGAACAGTTACAGTGATTGTGATAGAATTTGGATGAATGGCAACTCTTCATTAGACAGGGCTCAGTTTCACAAAATCTCATACCTCAAGATTGGTATGGTATGCAATGATTCAAACTTCATACCTCAAATTGCTTCCCAAGCAGTTTGTGTGACAGTTGTCTCTCTTCATTCTGGGGCACATGGCAGAACTGGTTGAAGGATGCTAAGATTTCTTCCTTTGACTTGGCCTGGAGGTAAGGAATCAACCCAAACATTTCCATACATCTCTCTCATGGAAACTTACATTTACTTCTTAAAGATAAAGTGGAGTTCTGGTCATGCGATTGCATTGTGAAAGAAACGGTGTGGAATCGATCAGAAAAGGTTGACCATCTAGCATATAAGTATTGATGTGTACTGCAAGGTTCTGGAATCATCAAAAAGATAAGAAATTTGGCCCAGTCTTGGTAAATTTACAAGCACTGTACACAGAAATATGTATATGGGACTACACAAACATGTGGCATAAAAATCTGTCCTGATTTTTATGCTTGTTACATGCCATATTTAGAATATTAAAGCATTTGAAGAGCGATGCTTTTCAGGGAACATTTTTCCACATTTGCATAATAACAATGATAATGCAAACAAATTATTTTTCACCTCTTCCCAGAACTCAATCTTCTCTTTAACCTGTAGTTTACTTTATTCTCATTTTCCCCATACGTTGCATACAGGAAATATCCTGTTCCAGTAGGCAACAGGGTTACTTGGCTTCAAGGCAAAAATAGTTAATCCCCTGTCTCAGTAAAACAGAATAACTATTTTGGAGTCATTTTCCTGAAAGCTCTCAGTGTCTTTATAGCTATTGAAAAACAAAAGATTCACAAATTGGCATTTGGCCATATCAACTAAAATGCGAAATAAAAGTTTATTCTTATAAATGGAACAATTAAGATATCTATTCTCTTCATTACTTGCTATCTTACGAGATTGAAGATATTTTGAATGAAAAAAGTCAGCACCTCCAAAAAGAAGATGAAAGGAAATACAGTCAAACCTGCTTTAGCAACCACCTGTATAGAAAGACCACCTGTCTACAGAGACCTAATTTTTTGTTTCCTTTGAAAAAGGAGGAACCTGTACATAAAGACCACCTGCCTATAAAGACCACTTTTCTTGATAGGGTGGTCTTTATAGACAGGTTTCACTGTACCTGTTTGATAGATGCAATCATTTTGGCAATCAACATAATACTGGTAGTCTCAGGAGGGTAGTGCATTGTTCTGGAGCAAGAGAAACAAAAAGAAATAGTTTATTAGCTTTTATATCTATGAAATTAGATATATAACATGTATTGGATGTAAATCTTGAATTCTTTGAAACTACAGTGGAGTTTAAAGGCATCGTTTAACAATGTTAAATCTGAGATGCATGGGCCTACGTGTTATTAGTTTCTGTGATATATGGTGTAATATTGAAGCCCTAAAAAAATTGCGTTTCAAAAAGATCATGAAGTGCTTCAAAAAGTAGAAATCCTTGAGTGACCGGTTTTACCATACCGTACTCATTTTCCCCAGTAGACTGAAGTGTTATAAAAACCGTTAGGAAAACGCAAAATTTGATTTCGATTTCTAATCATTAATATCTTGATAATCAGACAGGCAATCGGCTTGTAAAAGTCATTGGGTTCCTGACTGACCTTAAGGTTTATAATTATGATTGCAGCATGAGCTGAATCCAGGATTATGTTTCAGAATCTGAGACAAAGTTACCCAATCCCTTTTAATGTACACTATGTTGACATTAAAAAAAAAGCAAATTCAAACAAATAACACCATAAACCTGCTATAATAAGTGTGTCGCAGCACTGATTGAAAAGAAATTTTGTTAAAGTGGAATCATTTGGAAAGCTTTGATGCTACATGGAACCATGTACACCTAATGATAAGAAGTCCCACTAAATAAATCCATTTTTGCTTGAATTTCTCGCGTAATCACAGGTTACTGATTAGTAAATATGGGTCGTGGTCTTTCATCTTGACTTACTTCCAAACTTCTTGAAGGATGACTAGAGGGTGATTTGGGTCAGGAGGATGCTGAGATAAACAGAGGACTTGATGATATTGATTCCACGCCTGCTCTCGACACTCACTGCAGCAATACGCAACCTAAAACAGCAAAGAAATTCTTTGATAAACAAAAGCTCTTGACACTCACTACTGCAATACCAGGACTTAAACATGGTATCAAAAACATTTGTAAGACTGGCTACCGCATCTCATTTGAAAGATATTTCTAACTTGACTTGCAAGTTGCCATAGTTATATCTTTTTTTAATCTTTGCTATATTCCAGTACCGGTATTTGAAAGCAGGAAGACAAATTCATTTTAAGGCAAGTAGTACTAAGAGCAAGTCTAAAACATTTTCTGTCTTCTGACCATATCATATTGCCATGCACACATAGTAACTTTAATCACCCTAATAATAATCACGTATTACAACTTTCCAATTATGTACAGGCAATTTGTTGAAGTTCAGGCAAGCCTGCTGAAGGGCAGATATGCTATTTCTAAATGAGAATTAGATCTTTCTTCACAATCAGTAGTAAAAGTACCTGTTTCAGTGAGCTTTCCCTTTTTGCGCTGCAAGCTTCTTCAGAACCATGCCATAGGGGGCGCTATTGCTGATGCAGTACGATAATGAAAGCTTACCAAAAGCATAGGTAATTATTCTGGGTGGTAGTGAAGAAGAAGAGCTAGCTCTAAAGTTACATCACCAAACCGATGAACCTCTCCAGGTATTTCTGATCATCTTGTTCCAATTCCTCTCCCGACTCTTCTGTCACCCTCCCCCCCCTCCAGACAGCAGATAAAATAAGAAGAACTCTTACCCGACAATGGGGGCAGTGCACAAAGTTTTGTTTCTCTGCCTTACAGCACTCCATACAGGGAAGCACCAGCGAAGGGTTGGCCGATAGACGTCTGGCCATTTCTTCAGCATTTTCCATCGACCTCATGCAGTATTCACATGCCTCATAGTGGTAGCACTCGTTCCATAAGAATTGTGCACAGACGAGAGGCTTCTCTTCGAAAAGTACGGTCCCCGCTGCTATGTCTCTTGAAGCAAACAGACCTCTTCCCTAGTTAAATGAATTTAGAAAAAAAAGTAGCATGTGACCCAATATGTTTCAGCATGTTTTTACAGGACTCAGAATAGGACGGCATTGAGTACTCAGATGGCTAGGTGTAACTAACTCCATGACAGTCATAACCTACGGAGATGTCAGGAAGTGGATAAACCGTACCACAAAACCATGATCTGCGACAAATTAATTATTTCTATACTATCGGCTAGAAGAAATATATAGTCCTTGCCACGATCCGTCAGATTTTATCCTAAATTACCAAATAAGATTATGAGGCTTAATTTCACTCAAACTTGTTAAAAAAGCAAAAGTCTAAGTTAGTGGTAGGCTGACCAGTAGCACAAACTTCCAATTCGCATGAAAACATGTGTTACTATTGATATGTCCGAATGTATAAAGTTGATGAAACTCGAGGTTGCTTTGGCGACAAGCGAACAGAAATTTGCAAGTAAGACCCTTAACTTTTTTCAAGAAAGTTATATAAAATAATATATTTTAGAGGTCTATGATAGTTTAAACATTTATTTATCCAATATTTATGAGATATGATTTGTGTCAAGATTTGGCTTTGAAAATGGAAAATGTCTAGAAAATTCACACGAAACAGGTAATAAACATAACGACTTTTAACTCTTGATCTTTATTTGGACATTTAATGAATATTTACTTTATTTTGGGTATGTTTTAGTAGGGTATCTCCACACCGGGGTTACGGTCAAATTTTGGATAGATCTAGATCTAGGCTTTTTCTTAGATCTAAGTTAGGCTTTCTCTAGATTAGGCAAATTCATGCAAAAAAATATATTCAAAAAATTGACTTGAAAACACATCACACAATTAGTCTGAACCGAGTCAGGAGCAAATTTGAAGAAATTGTATTTTTAAATGTTGTAAAACCAAAGATATAAGAAGAAAACTGACCAAGTATCTGTACTAAAAATCGTACATGTAAAATTGGTCGTAGACATTTGACAGCTGAATATGACGCGCACGGTTGCATTACGTGCGTTCTCGAATCCAAAATCGTACCTCACACACACAATCTCGCCATACCGCGAATGGTCCGTCTTGGGGAGCTAGCCGGCTGAGAGTTTGCAGCGATACCAACGCAGCTTCGGAGCTCCGCAGCGCGCTATTTTAGCGGGACTCGGAAAGGTTTGCGATGGGAAGGCAGCGGCCTAGCTTTTTGCCCAAACAACGCTAGATTGGCTGCTGGCAAAATGAAAATAACTACGATCGAGAACATCGTCGGTTTCTTAACTTTTCAGTGAGATAATTCTGAATTCTAATTGAGACTATATAATAAATTAAATCGACAAAGAAACCTCGGTAGAACTCTTATACAAAAGCTTGTTTATTTCTTCATTTGACATTTTGTTTTCGACCATTTTTTCGTGCGCGAGTCAATGTAAACTATGTATTACCAAACTTTCAACACGCAAGGAACGGGGAACACTCGCGGACCTCGTTACAAATTTGTTGCAAAAAAAAAATTTTCAAGGGTGATTTTGAAGCAGTGAAGAACATTGGCGCTGCAATGCGCAGAAATATACTTGAAAGAAACTTAAAAAATAATACCTGAATTTTCAGAAAATCGTATTTGTATTAGTGTACCTAGATGTGACTTGTTTATAAATCAGATTTTATGAAGATTTGTCGGGAAAAAATGTCAATTTTTTCCGTTTGGTGGTCATTTCTAGGCTAATATTTTAAAAGTTGCATCAGTAATGGGCTCGATGTTTCTCTTATCGTACTCGCATGTTATTTCTACATAGATTAAACATAGGATGGTTAAGGGTAAGACCAGATAACATTATAAAAAAGACATATCCTTCCACCCTCCCATATCCAAGTTTTGGGCTGATTATTGCCGACCCACCGCAGCAAGGCCATTCAGATTTTCGTACGCGCGCAAAGCGCCCTCTAGTGCCCCATGAATGTGCCTATCTATCGAGTAGAGTCTCCGGTTTGCGGCATCGCCCGGTTTGCGGCCAGGGGTATTTGTTTTAAAAATAAAATGAATATGACTCGATAATAATCATTGAAACCTACCGTGGATTCCACGGTAAGTTCTGCTTTGCCGAAAACGTCCGTAGCAGGTGCTCCTGTCGGTACGGAGTATCCGTCAGCGATGTCGGAAATCTACGGCACCAGTCGCCGATGAAAATTCCAGCAGGTGCTAACTTTTAAGTTAAGAGATCGAGGCATGACTAGATCAATATTGTAGCTCTATTTGTCCGATATTTGTCCGATTGGAGGTGAAATTTGATGTTTTTGTGGAAGTATGATGGCTGTGGTCTGTCTCCTATCGCAGATATTTTGATTGTGCCACCGCATGGCCAGTTGCATGGGGTGGCCGCAAACCGGCACGTAATTACGTGTTTTTTCTGGTTTGCGGCGGGGGGTGTTAATACACACATAACATGCGGGATCGTGTATGATGGTATGTGTGCTGATGTGTGTACCCGCTATGACACGATAGTTTCTAGTAGTACGTACCCCCGGATGGGATGATCCATTCGAGGAAAAGGTGAAATTGTTTAAAACTTGACAAATTTACCGTAGCAACAGATAAACATGAGAATTTGGGTTACCCGTAGTAATTTGGTACATGCTTTCATCGTGACGTAGCGCATAAAGCTTTGTGACGTACGCGTGCCGCAAACCGGTAATGCGTGCCCGCAAACCGGGGAACTCGAAGCATTTCGAAACGTGGTCAATGCTGACCACGCTGTGGGTCAGTTAGGTTATTTGTGACTTCTATTTAATAAGTAAGTATATGGACTCTTTATTGAGGGTATTGAAGTATTCTGTGAGTATTCCAATAAAAATAGAATCGGCAGTTCCCGCCGATCGGCAGTTCCCGCCGATCGGCCGCAGACCAGAGCCACTACTCTAGATCTAGACTTTATGTTATAGTCTTGACGCCCTTCTGGCTTTCAGCACACGACACCATGTTTTTGTCTTATGTTTTTATGTATTACATGTTATACCAATGGAAAAAAAAATTCTGTATTATATTATGGACAATAAAATATTGAATCTTGAATCTTGAACAAGCGCTCAAAAAATAACTGGTATCGAAAATTGAGTTCCGCCTCCAAGCGAGCGCGGAGCTCCGCTTACTTACACATAAAGGTATGCAATTGTGTGTGTATCTCCAAGGCGCGCAGATGAAGATGGGACATAAGCCATAAATATGTCAATGCGCTGTCATGACTAATGACACAGCTAATATTTCGAATTCAATAACGATGATGATGCAATAATAGTAAAAATAAAATGTCAATTATTACCTTTAATTCATCAATAAAGCGAACGTTGACAATAGATTCGTTTGCCATGGCACAGTTTTCGAGTTCGACGTAGCAGAAGGAAAAACAAGCAGCATTGCGTCTTCGAAAAGTCAAATTGGGAAGAAAAAAAGACAGACATTGCCTCGCGAGCTAGCTCAATAAGGGTGCATTTAATTCTGACGGCCTATAAGCTTCCAAGGTGACCTTGCTATACCATTCAAGCCCTACTAAATAAGGACGGCGTTCCTCATAACCTACGTAACAAGTTAATGCACACAACATTTTGTTTTCTGGTAAAACTACATAACTCAGGGCCAGGGGTGCAGTGACTCCACTTTTCAAGTACCACTAAAGTGCCCCTTTTTACTACAGATAAGGGCTTTTTTCCTTTCTGAATGTCACTTCCCCCTTCTCATAACTGCCAATATTCAGACCTGATAGGTGCCCTACTTTCTTTGACTCTCCTACCGCTTTTTCTTTTTAGTACCCCTTTTCACCTCCCACTGAAAATGCCCTTTTCACCTCTCATAAGTGCCTCCAATTGAAATCTGATAGGTGACCCTTTTGCTTTGACAAGTGCCTATTTTCCTTTGTATTAAGTGCCCCTTTCTAGCCGGGTAGGAGAAGTGCCCCCTTTTAACCCTGATAACTGCCCTTTTAACCTTGACACTTGTCCCTTTTCCTTTCTGTAGGTGCCCCTTTCTGAAAATATGATAAACTCCCATTGTTAGTGTCCTTTTTCCCTTCATAATAACTGCCCTTCGATAGTGTCCGTTTCCGAATTGCGATAAGTGTCCACCATGACCTATAATAGAGGTGGCGGGCGCATAAAGCCTTAAATTTCATAAATCCCGAAGTCCCCTTTCAAAATAATTATATATGTGCTCATTTTCAATACTTTCAAATAGGTCATGTTAATTAAAAAATGTGCCTCTTTTATCCTAAACGTTGCCCCTTTAAACTACAATGATATATTCTGCTCAATATTTTGTTAAAGTCATTAACATCAGAAAGTGTTAAATCTTGAACCGAACAAGTTAATAACAATTAAGGACAGTGGTCTTGTGAATAAGACATCGCTTCACAATGCAGATGTACTCGGTTCGATTCCCTGCTATGCCTTTCTACCTCGTGTTTGTTAATCTTTTTTTTTTCTTCATATTGATTGTTTTTCTCTTTTATTGTTTAGGGGACACCCCCTCCTCCTCAACAAAGGAGTACAAGTAGTTTATCAGCATAATTTTTAAAGTCATTAACATCAAAAAGTGTTTACATCTTGAACCGAACAAGTTAATAACAGTGAAGCACAGTGGTCTTGTGGATAAGACATCGCTTCACAATGCAGATGTACTCGGTTCGATTCCCGGCTACGCCTTTCTACCTCGTGTTTTTTAATCATTTTTTTTCTTCATATTGATTGTTTTTCTCTTTTATTGTTTAGGGGACACCCCCTCCTCCTCAACAAAGGAGTACAAGTAGTTTATCAGCTTAATTTTTAAAGTCATTAACATCAAAAAGTGTTTACATTATGAACCGAACAAGTAAATATCAGTGAAGCACATGTGGTCATGTAGATAAGACATCGCTTCACAATGCAGATGTAAGATGTAAATATTTCTGATGTTAATGACTTTAAAAAATATGCTGATTAAATACTTGTACTCCTTTGTTGAGGAGGAGGGGGGTCCCTTAAATAAAAAAAAAGAGATGAAAACAAAACGCGAGGTAAAAAGGCACAGCCGGGAATCGAACCGAGTACATCTGCATTGTGAAGCGATGTCTTATCCACATGACCACTGTCCTTCACTGATATTAACTTGTTCGGTTCAAGATCTTAACACTTTCTGATGTTAATAACTAAAAAAAATATGCTGATGAACTACTTGTACTCCTTTGTTGAGGAGGAGGTAGTGTCTCCTAAACAAAAAAAGAGATGAAAAAAAAAACTCAAGGTAGAAAGGCATAGCCGGGAATCGAACCGAGTACATCTACATTGTGAAGCGATGTCTTATCCACATGACCACTGTGCTTCACTGATATTAACTTGTTCGGTTCAAGATGTTAAGACTTTCTGATGTTAATGACTAAAAAAAATATGCTGATGAACTACTTGTACTCCTTTGTTGAGGAGGAGGTGGTGTCTCCTAAACAAAAAAAGAGATGAAAAAAAAAACTCAAGGTAGAAAGGCATAGCCGGGAATCGAACCGAGTACATCTACATTGTGAAGCGATGTCTTATCCACATGACCACTGTGCTTCACTGATATTAACTGTCATATCCTAACCAGGATATAGAATAAATGGAATTCAACACAAGTATTACGAGTCTCATAGTCTTTATTGTATCCTTTCCGCTCCGGCTTGACCAACATGTAACATGCCGTATTTGACCTCTTGACCTTGCAACATGCAATGCATTACATTATCTCTCGATCACATTGTTGTTTACATCGATATCAATATCATGTCTAATCGAACATCATGACATCCCTCCCTTATCAGATTAAAAGATATCTTTTCCATTTTACTTCAATGAATAATCATGAACCCTGATTTCAAAACTTGTTTTAGCATGCAATAAGTTTTGAACTGTTTGTATCAATATAATACATGTATGTGACTTTTCCATTGACCACATCGATATCCAAATATCGTTTGTTTGTTTTCATACTAATAACGACTCGTGTATTACTTGACTTCGAACTATTGAACTTGAACTTCAACCAAACACACATTGTTTTTTGTTTTTAAAACAATGAACTCCCAATTCAGAACTTATACATTTCTCATCATACACATCATGAAATGAATATTCAAACAACTTGACATTACAATATATGCAGTGTATGATCAACTCACTTCATTTAACTACTTGACTGACATATCAAACTGCTTTAACTATAAAGTCTCTGTTTGTTTATAATATGAGTCTTTCATAAGACGCATGCATTAGAGTTCTCAATATTCATCTCTGGGTTGGATGTTGATCAGATCTGTCATGAGACATTTTAGAGTTCTCATTATAATTAATCTTATAATGTCCTTTCTTCAGCTGCTAGTCTTTCACTTGAGCTTCAAAGTCAGCTAACAACTTGAGAGTTTGCTTTGAGATGAATCCCCACGTTTCTCTTGGCACTAGCTTGCACCCTTTTCTTCTCTCATTTTTTTTTTGGTTTAAATTTCACTAATTAATCACTTTAACTCAGGGCAGCGTACAAGCATTCACCCAAAACTACTTTTTTTTTTTCTTCAAATAGGGCAGCGTACAAGCATTCACCCAAACTTTTTTCTTCTTCTTCAAATAGGGCAGCGTACAAGCATACACCCGGTTACTGAACTTTTCATTGAATATAGGGCATCGTACAGGCATACACCCTTATATAGTGAACATTCCGTTAAATATAGGGCAGCGTACAGGCATACACCCTATGTACTTGCTAAAATAGCACTTGAACTCTTTGTGAAACATTTTAACACTCAAACATTCAAATGACTGAAAAACTTTGTTGTGTCACTTTTACTGGTTGAACACTTCGCGTCACAATACTAGATGGCTGTTTCCACCGAACCTTCATTCCAACAAATAATCAGAAAATCGCTTGGGCCTCAAACGATGGCGTTTTGGTCTGCTCCAAATTGATGTCTGGGTCGGTGATGGTACGGTCTTCGGAACTCCCATCTGACGCTCAGTCCCCTCATGTTGGCTCTGATCACTAGTAGTCTCGACATCAGACTGCGGTGTTATCAATTCAGCACCAACACCATGGTAGAGTGGAACCTGGGCCTCTGTAGTCTCAGCTTCCGGCTGCAGTATTCCTATGTCACTAGTAGTCTCGACATCAGACTGCGGTGTTATCAATTCAGCACCAACACCATGGTAGAGTGGAACCTGGGCCTCTGTAGTCTCAGCTTCCGGCTGCAGTATACCCTGTCGATGATACTTCTTCACATGTGATGTGTTCCTAGCATACATCACACCTTCTGGTGAGCAAATGTTCAGCTTGTTGCCCTCTCTGGATACAACTGTGTATGGTTGTGGTAGAAATGGTGTGTCCATTTTGCTAGACACTTCCCTCCTCACCAGAACTTCATCTCCTGGCACCACATCAGATGGTTTGGCACCCCTCTTAGAGTCTGCATACAGTTTCGATGCACCTTTGCTCTCAGCGTCCTGGTCTCTGATCTCTTGGTCATTTAGAGATTCACTGATAACAGGTAACTTTGTCCTGATCTTCCGTCCGAAGAGTAGCTCAGCTGGGCTTTTACCTGTTGTGCTATGTGGTGTAGCCCTGTATGCTGCAACATATGACAGAAGCGCCTCCTTCCAGTCTTTGCCTTCTGAATGAGCAATTCTCATTCTCTTCTCGAGAGATTGGTTCTGTCGCTCAACCTCACCATTTGCCTGAGGCCACTTGGGTGTAACCCTATGGTGGTGTACACCTGTCAGCCTCATATAGTCTGCAAAGACTTGCGAGATAAATTGAGGCCCATTGTCAGAATACAGGGTTAGTGGCAAACCATGTCTTGCGAAGATCCCTGCTAGAGCTGCCACTGTCTTCTCTGCTGTTGTAGATCGCATCACAATATATTCATAATATCTACTGTAATAGTCAATGATCACTAGAATTGATTCACCAGATGGTAGTGGTCCCAAAAAATCTACTGCGACATCCTCCCATGGACCAGCTGGTAAGAGCGTACTTCGTATTGGCTCACATGCGTTTGCTACAGCCTCAATCTTGGCCTTGGTGGGATTGATGCCGTCCTTGGTCAACTTGTGTCCCCTGAATACTAACTCGGACACACCAAACAGGCACTTTTCTGCATTGGCCGTTAATCCTGCGTCTTTCAATCGTGTCAAGGTCTGTCGAAGCCTCTCATCATGCTCTTCCTGCGTGGCACCATGAATGATGATGTCATCAGAAATGTTTGCAACACCAGGTAGTCCTTGAAGCACTTTGTGGATCTCGTGCTGATAGATCTCAGGTGCTGCATTCACACCGAATAACAATCTCTTGTAACGGTATAGTCCGCAATGTGTTACAAACGTGGTCAACTTTCGGGATTCAGGATCTAACTCCAACTGATGATATCCCCATTTTAGATCAATTTTTGAGAACACC